TATTCATATTCGAAAAATATTCGAATCGAAAAAAAGCAATTGAATTCGGATTCGTATTAGAAATATTCGAATTCGAATGAATAGAATTTTTTTTATTTGATTTGTTTACACCCCTATCCGCAACCCTATAAAAAGAGTCACTTCAGTTCCAATATCCCATATAATAAGCCTCGTCCTCTTCAATCTTCATCATCAGCTTCAATTCGACATGGAATCTTCGGCTCCATCGTCAAACATACCCAATGAGATTATTCGAATTATACTTTTACAGTTGCCGGTGAAGTCTATCATTCGGTTCCCAATGCGCATGTAAACTGTGGCGTTCGACGATCCAAGATTCGGATTTCAAGTTGTCGTATGGTGGTCCAGGACGATTGTTCATCCTTTCGCACGAATCCGAACGCCCGGGTTCCCAAAATTCCAAACAACTGGTCGTTAGATTCACTACATTCCATGACGATGATCTTCGTCTTGAAAGGCAAAAATGGCCGTTGGGAGAGGCTGCGGATTATCCATTGATTCGTGGGAGCAACCAATACCATGTTACAGCTTTGTGTTCTTGCAATGGGTTTGTGCTTCGCGGCGGCTGAGAGAGATATCTTGTTGTGGAACCCGCTCACCAGGTGTTTGACGAAAGTCCTCGAGTCCCCATATCCCGGGATAAAAAACTCGGGTGCCCTTGCAGGGCTATGCTATAACTCCCGCACTAGAGATTACAAGGTCGTCCTATTGCTTCGCCACTTAATGGATTATGACAATCCCTGGTGTGTCATCTCTGCCAGCCTCACACACAAAAACTGGCGATCAGTGCGGTTCCCTTATTGCTTTGATTCGATCAGAGGCGGTGTTAGCTTTCGCGATACATTTCACTGGTGGGTAAGTGACGTCCCAGATCCCTATTGTTAATGGTATGTTCAGATTGTACAGAGACAACCACTATTCAAAAACTGATCGAGACCATTGTAGTGTGTGTGATACCATTCCTAGGAACCTAATTTGCTAATGGAACCTAATTTAATTTGCTTGCATATTCTTGTCATTTTGTCTGAGAATAAGTTAATTTGCTTGCATATTCTTGTCATTTTGTCTGAGAATACCCTTATTCTTTTAAAATTCCGGCGTGTTTTAATATCTCCGGTGACTGGAGTGATTAACTTTGGTAGTAAAACAATAGTTGTGGGATGAGTTTTGGTAGGAACTAAACATGTGGACTAAAATTATCATTTTGCTAATACTCGTGGGACTAAAATTGGTATTTGCTCTAATGACAAATCTTTTGTGACACTTCGTAAAATAATATTCTTTTTGTGACCAAAAAATTAATAGTATTATACTATTATATTATTTGTGATAATTGTGATATATAACTTTTTTTTTTGAAACATGATATATAACTTTTTAAATCACAAATAGTATAATAAGTGTGACAATTTATTACGAATAAAATGTCACAATTAAGTAATTGTGTCAACGCCTCAACCGATCAATAACAACCTGATCCAAGCCGAATCAGGAGAATTTTTCAATATATATATATATACACGTAGGAAATGAGTATATATTGATTCAATTCCAAGCGGAAAACGGGTGAACCCTAGCTAATATATCTGAATCTGAATTATATATATAATTTCCGATCGATCCTCTCAACTAAGTAGCTTCATTCAATCATTCATCAATTATTGGATCAGCATGGAAGTTTCAGCCGCAAAAAAAGCTCGATCGCCGCCGCCGCACATACCAATTGAGATGATTCGCCATATACTTCTGAAATTGGAGATGAAACCTCTGATCCGATGTGAATCCGTCTGCAAAGAATGGCGATCCACCATAGAAGATCCCGATTTCAAGCTCTCCTACCGCGGAGGACGGCGCGTGGTTGTGGCGGCGGCGCGGCGTCCGGCCTCAGCTTAGCCTTTACATCCATAACGACCGATACTCTCCGCGTTAAAACGCTATTCGAGCGGCGGGGAGCGGGTGAGGGTGGTGGTTGGTGGTCCGGCTTTTGGTGTTCTTGCAACGGCCTCGTGCTTTTCTCCGTGCTACATCATATTCTGTTGTGGAATCCCTCCACCCGCTGCTGCACAAAAGTGCTTGAGCTTCTACTTTTGGAGGCCCCTTCTTGGTGGCACCATCGTAATGTGGTCTTAGCCTCGGGGCTATGTTATGTCCCGTCCACCGGAGATTGCAAGGCTGTTTTGTTACTCCACCCGGATGATGGAAGTACGGTTCTCGTTGCCAGCCTTAGGACTAAAGAGTGGCGAAATGTGTTATTTCCTCACCACACGGCGTCCGTTAGAGACAGCGGGGTTAACTTTCGCAACACACTCCATTGGAGGGTAGCAAATTCCGCTAGGGATTGGTGTTCCACCCGGAGATGCAAAAAGGTGGTTTATTTTGACCCGGAGAGCGATGAATTCAAAGAGCTGCCCACCCCGGTGGGGGAAAGCCCTGCAATTCTCGGGTTGGGAATCATAGACGGCCGCCATGGCGGCCATCTCTGCATGGCTCGCGAGAGGCGGAAGGGAACTGGAGAGGTTGAAGTATTGGTTATGAAGGAATATGGAGTGAAGAATTCATGGATAACTCAGTTTGTGATCTCTGCCTCTCAGTTCAGATCTGGCTATCATCGTGACTTTACATTCTACCCTTCCAAATACAATACACAGGCCCTGATAGGGAGCTGTTTGTATGGTTGGTGGGGAGCTTTAGTTTATCATTTCAAGAATAAGAAGCTGGAGACTTTCTTAGAAGCAGAATCAGGACATAAAAGTCATACTGCCGCTATATGTTCCTATGTTCAGAGTTTTGTTTCGCCACATGAGTTTATTTTGAGAGATAAATATGATTGGAACAAAAATTGTTTTGTGTTGAGATTTATTTTGGAAAAGTTTAATATGTGATAACATTTTATTTTAAGTTTGTAATAATTTGAGCTAGCTTCAACATTATCTCTTTTTTGAAGTCTACCAGCCTTAAAAAGTTAGTAGAAATAATCATGAGAGACATAATGAAAAATTAGTTTTTGAAGTCTACCGGCCTTGAAAAGTTAGTAGAAATAATCATGAAATGTGTCAAATAATTTACAGTTCTATTTTGATCCTTCATCACTTTTTTAGTCCCTAGCGGGAACGACGGCTTGCTAGCAAAGCATCCATGCATAGTTACTATATACGCACTGAGTAAAGTCCACCTTTTGATTCTAAAGGACCAAATCAAATTGTTATGGTAGAAAATCGAATTTGTAATCTTATAATTAACAATGAACAAATGATACATATATTATATTATTGCCAAAGGAGTAGATCAGAGGTTGTGACAAGTGAGAACCTTTGCTGACATTGTTATACATGATCCTCTAATAATTTTAGTATTGTAATATAGCAAAAAGGAGGGATGTTTTTTTGTTGGGACTAAAAATGTAATTAAAGTGTAACTATGATGCATAAAAAAGAAGGATATTTTCCCTGACTATAAAGGTAATCACAGTGTTACAACAAAGTTGTAGTGGTGGCAATATGATGTTACAAAGAGAAGTTTTAGTGGTGGCGATATGATGTTACAAAGAGATGAATTAATCTACATTTCTAAATCTCTTAACAAAACAAAACACTGTTGTTAGACAACGAAACATTAGTGTTCCTTATCTTCAGACGTTATGCCATGGAACCGTGTTCACCATTCATGGTGAACACGGTTCCAACGGTGTTAGTGCACCGTTATCTTTTTTTTTTTTTTTTTTTTTTTTTAATTAATTACGTGACTGCCTACACATTCACTTTGGAACCATGCCTACACATTCACTTTGGAACCATGAGATTATGAATTTTCTGTTATGAGATTATAAATTTTCTGTTATGAGATTATGAATTTTCAGTTATGAGATTATGAATTTTCTGTTATGCGATTATGAATTTTCTGTTATGAGATTATGAATTTTCATTACATTCATAATTTCGGAGTTTCGGACATTCATAAATTATGAATTCATGCATGCACATTCACTTTGGAACCATGCCTACATATTTCCGTCTGAAATCACGGACATTCATAAATTATGAATCTATGCCTGCACATTCACTTTGGAACCATGCCTACACATTCACTTTGGAACCATGAGATTATGAATTTTCTGTTATGAGATTATGAATTTTCAGTTGTGAGATTATGAATTTTCTGTTATGCGATTATGAATTTTCTGTTATGCGATTATGAATTTTCTGTTATGCGATTATGAATTTTCTGTTATGAGATTATGAATTTTAAAATTCATAATCTCATAACAGAAAATTCATAATTTGATCAGTAACGCGCCGTTAACTCCACATCCGCGATTTTTTTTTTTTTTTTGCCTAAAAACGACGTCGTTTTGACTTGTGTTCACCATTCTCGGTGAACACGATTCCACGGCATAATTTGCGTCCTTATCTTACATATAACCCGAGGTTCTTGTAATTGTTCAACCAAGTCAGGCTGGGTTGGATATTCAAGCCCATGAAGGGCCAGTATCCGTCTTAAATAGCAAATTATATAGTAGAATACACATAAACTCATAACATAATATATATAATTTAATATAATAATTAATACATAATACACCTAAACTCTTAACATAATACACATAAACTCTTAACATAAAAAACGACGTTGTTTTGAGTACCCTAATGCACGATATTACGATTGGTCTTAAATCTTACCGACTGTACATTCCAAACACCTGATACAAGAAACCATATTAGTAACCATATCAAGAAAATACATACATAATACACACATGTAAATAATAAGTGATCATTGCACATTCCCTAAGTTTAAGTGCCCACTAAACTCCCAACCACCAAGATGGTCGTAACAAACTGAAATAACTGAATTTTTTAAAACTTAATACCCAATTATTAGTCCTCCGTTATGTGGTCAGCAGTTTTTTTTGCTCACCTCTAGGTAGGGGGCCTTCTTGGTGATAGCTACTTTTAAATACATAATCCATACATCAATGGAACATGGAAGTAGTTCATCATAATATACCAATTGACATCATTCGCAAGATTCTTTTGAAGTTGGAGATAAAATCTGTGATCCGATGTGAATGCGTATGCAAAGAATGGCGTTCCATCATACAAGACCCCGATTTCAAGCTCTCGTATGACGGGTCGAAACGAGTCATTGTGGTGGCACAAAGCAGCAAAAGCTGCTTAGCCCTAACATCCATAACCAACACTACTACTCCCCTCATTGAGACGCTATTCCGGCGTGACACCCGTGGTAGTACCACGTTTCCCCCCCTAAATCGTTGGTGGTCCGGTGTTTGGTGTTCTTGCAACGGGCTCGTGCTTTTCTCCTTGAGAGAACATATTCTGTTATGGAATCCCACCACTCGCTGCTGCACAAAAGTGCTTGAGCTTCAACGCTTGCTCTCTTCGTGGGATGTCCTCGATTTGGTCGAGGGGCTATGCTATGACGTCCCATCTTTGGGGCGTAACGATGTGGTCTCGGGGCTATGCTATGTCCCATCCACCGGGGATTACAAGGCCGTTGTGTGTTTCCTCTGTGATAGAACTAGTGTTTTTGTTGCCAGCCTCAAGAGCAAAGAGTGGCGGAAAGTGTTGTTTCCTTACAACACAGAGTCCATTAGAGACGACGGGGTTAACTTTCACAACACACTCCATTGGAGGGTGGGTGATTTGCAAACAGGATTGGACAAGATCGTTTATTTTGACCCGGAGAGCGATGAGTTCAAAGAGATGTCCATTCCCGTCCCAGAAGGAGAAAGTAGTGTAATTCTTGGAATGGGAATCATTGACGAGTGTCTCTGCGTGGCTCTCGAACTTGAACGGGGAGGATCGATACAAGTGTTGGTTATGAAGGAATATGGAGTGGAGAAATCATGGGTCACTGGGTTTAACATCTCTACCATCTATTTGGACTGTGAAAAATTCAGTAGTGATTATATAAACGCCACATTATACTCTTCCAAATGCAATGCCAAAGTGCTCATGATATGCAGGAACATCTCGTCCTCCTGGGAAATATTAGTTCATGATTTGAAAAATAACACCCTCAAGCCTACTTTCTTCACAGAATCATCAGTATATTGGGGCTTTATTGGTATATGTTCCTATGTTCAGAGTACTGTTTCTCCACGTGAATTTATTTGGAGATATAATGATGATCAGCACAACCCCCCAGCCCAGAATGATGATGCTTTGTTGAGGTTTATTTTGGGAAGGTTTAATATCTGATCAAATTTAGTAGCCTGCCATGGAAATTTAGTAGAAATAATCACGAAGATATATATATAATCTAGGTGTGTCAACTTTAGCACTATTTACCAAGACTATGTGATCTAATAGTACCCGGGTTAGACTTCCATTTGGAAGGTTGTGAGTTCGAGCCTTAGTGGAGGCGTTATTGGTTCTTTGTGTTTCAGTAGGTTGAGAAAGTATATGAACAGATACTACAATGTAATAAAACCAGTAACATTCAAAAAAAAAACTTTAGCACTATTTTTTTATCGTTTATTTTTTTATTTTTTGAGTGGGTAAATTTACCTAGAGTCAAGCTGTCCACTCTTCTTGTTGGGAGGAATTTGTAACCCTGAAATTGTCAAGTGATAAATATATTATATTATTGTCTTAAAACTAAAGAGTAAAGATTGTGATGTAAAAGATAATAATAGTCATTGCTTGTTTAAATCATATATACCTTAATTATGATGTAAACCTTCTACAAAAGGTGAAATTATTTCTTCATCTCAAGGCTAACCGTAACCTAAGAGGCTGGAATGCTAGATAGTGGAAGGGTGGGAGGATCATTGCTCTTTAATTCTAGTGTCCAAAGATAAATTTATTTTCGATAGAATAAACAATAGGAATTTATTTTTATATTAGAACAATAGGAAATTTATTTACATTGTTAATGTTAATTCGAAGGTTTCAGCGATACTGTTATCATTAGTAATCCTATTAATAATGAGATAATTACATATATATATATATATATATATATATATATATATATATATATATATAACTAGTCTTTTCTATGCGTGATGCGCAAAAACATATACTCAATATTTATATTTTTAATAATAACTAACAAATTTTTACTAATTAAAATTTAAGTGAAATAAAATTTATTTATTATACAAATCTAATAGAATAATATATAATGAATATATAATGTTATTACAAATATTATTATAATTAAAGAATATAAGAAAAGATATGATAGATGTATTTGCATGATAAAAGTACTGGAAAAGATAACGGAAGTTATCATGGTAAGGGTATTTTTGTCCAAAAAATTGTATAGTACAACTCTAAAAGCACAATGTACAAAATGGTTAGCATTAAAAACATGGACATAAATTAGGGGTATAACTTTGATTGACACTTATTATGTTTTTATTTAGATAATTAAGTAATAAATATATTTAGAAAACTAGATATATTTTGTTAATTAGAAATAAAAGAGTTTCTTAAAAATACAAGTCTTAGATATTTTACAAAAAGGACCCGGTTAATATTAATTTTATTTTTAATGATGTGTCATCTCCTCATTCATTGTTTTTGTATAGCATCTATTAGTGTTGCAAAAATAGCGCCCGCCGGCCGCCGCGAGGAAGGCCGGAATCGGCCTCCTCCGCGACCGCCTAGCCGGCTGAAACGGCATTTAATTTTTTTTTTTTTTTTTTTTTTTTTTTTTTTGCGTTGTAAAGTGGGAAAAGTTCGGGAATGCATAACTTTTGACTTGGTTGTCCGTTTTAGACAAATATTTTTTTCAAATCGCGTATTTTTTTAGATCTATACACCGCAAACAGCCAAAGGCGGTTTGGCCCTCTAATTTCTCCCAAAAAAAATGCTTCTTTTGCTCTTAATTTTAATTTTATATGTATTTAGATGGTTTCAACAATATTTTAAACTACTTTATAGCCACTTACGTAAATAATTTGTAAAAAAAAACTAGAGGAACCTTATGTTTTATTAGTGAATTTTACAATTTCTAGTTTAATTTTTTTTAAAAAAAATAAAAAAATAAAAAATCGACGCCTTGGCGCCTAATGGACGCCTAACATGTTTTGCAACATTGGCATCTATACACTGACCATAATTAAATACTTCACGTTTTTGAATCGTTAAAATACTCATTGTTAACGAGAGTTTCATTGACACTAAACATATCTACAATCTACAATTTTAATAAGAACCAATAATGTTAGGCCCTTAACTGGAACAAAAAAATGTCGGTCCTATTGTTTCTTAAAATGAATGGTTCATATTATAATATTATTTCTTAAAATGAATAGTTCATATTATTTTTATTTTAGTATATTTTATTGATTTTCCTTATTTACCCTCTATTATATTATTTTCTTCCCTTAAATAACCTAAATTCCGTTAACATAAACTTTAGTAACGGAATATTCCGTTAACTATTTATTATTTTAACTATTTATTATTTTAACTTACACATTAATTTCTATAAGAAAAGTCTTAGTTTCGAACCACATCCCAATTAGAGTTGGCATAATTGTAATCATAATCTTCCAAATGGAAGTCCAACCCGGGTATCATTAGACAACATAGTCCTGGTGTTAAAATATATTTAAAATATATATAATATAAAATTTAACATAAACTTTGTTCAAATAATTAGTCTAACTAAATACATAACATTCAAAGTTAAGCATCAAAGATTATAAATCAAGAACTTTAAAAATCATTTGATCAGAAAAAAACTTAATATTCTTTTGATTATTTAGATCAGAAAAAAAACTTAATATTTCAATTATACTTAACAATGCATGAAACATGTAGGGAAAAACTACCACTACCAAATATCGATTAGAAAATTCAATAAATATTATCTTGCATTTATATATTTTGAATTAATGATTTAAATAAACAAATTCAATATTTATTTACATATGCATGAACATCTCGATATACTTTAAAATACTTATACTTATTTAAAAATAATCATTGGGCATTATCCCATTCGCGCAAAGTGCGTAAAAAAACTAGTTACTCCTATATAATTCAAGAATTAAAGCTGTAATTTGACAACCTGCCATATATAAAATTCTATGATTAATTTTAAAAAGTAAAATAAAATCGGGAACTTTATTTATTTTTAAAATATGTGAAGAAATTTTAGTCCGCAACTAGGGTGTAAACGAATCGAATCGAGTCAAATATCTCAGTATTCGATTCGAATTCGACTATATATTCGAATATTCATATTCGTATTCGTTTAATATTCGAATTCATATTCGATTCAACCAGTTTATTCGAATATATTCGATTCGACTCGAATATTCGAATTCGAAATGTCTAACTTAATTTTTTACAAAATTTTTCAATAAATTAAGATAAAATGTAATAAAAATTTATAATTAAATAACATAAAATATTCGAATACTATTCGAATCGAATACACTCTAATTCGTATTCATATTCGAGAAATATTCGAATCCAAAAAAGCAATTGAATTCGGATTCGTATTAGAAATATTCGAATTCAAATGAATAGAATTTTTTTTATTTGATTTGTTTACACCCCTATCCGCAACCCTATAAAAAGAGTCACTTCAGTTCCAATATCCAATATAATAAGCCTCGTCCTCTTCAATCTTCATCATCAGCTTCAATTCGACATGGAATCTTCGGCTCCATCGTCAAACATACCCAATGAGATTATTCGAATTATACTTTTACAGTTGCCGGTGAAGTCTATCATTCGGTTCCCAATGCGCATGTAAACTGTGGCGTTCGACGATCCAAGATTCGGATTTCAAGTTGTCGTATGGTGGTCCAGGACGATTGTTCATCCTTTCGCACGAATCCGAACGCCCGGGTTCCCAAAATTCCAAACAACTGGTCGTTAGATTCACTACATTCCATGACGATGATCTTCGTCTTGAAAGGCAAAAATGGCCGTTGGGAGAGGCTGCGGATTATCCATTGATTCGTGGGAGCAACCAATACCATGTTACAGCTTTGTGTTCTTGCAATGGGTTTGTGCTTCTGGCGGCGGCTGAGAGAGATATCTTGTTGTGGAACCCGCTCACCAGGTGTTTGACGAAAGTCCTCGAGTCCCCATATCCCGGGATAAAAAACTCGGGTGTCCTTGCAGGGCTATGCTATAACTCCCGCACTAGAGATTACAAGGTCGTCCTATTGCTTCGCCACTTAATGGATTATGACAATCCCTGGTGTGTCATCTCTGCCAGCCTCACACACAAAAACTGGCGATCAGTGCGGTTCCCTTATTGCTTTGATTCTATTCGAGGCGGTGTTAACTTTTGCAATACATTTCACTGGTGGGTAAGTGACGTCCCAGATCCCCTATTGGTATAGGGGTTACTCGTCGGGAGCCAATAAGAATAGGATCATATATTTTGATCCTATGCGTGATGAATTCAGAATCTTACCCACCCCTTCCGAACGGAGAGAAAACAACTCGATAGTCGGGTTAGGGGTTATAGATGACTGTTTATCCATGGCATGCATTCCTCATCACAATGAGGCAAAAACAAACACGTTGCAGGTATTGATTATGAAGGAATATGGCATAGAAGAATCATGGATGACTGCGTTTGATATCCAAATGCCTCAACTTAGTTATGGGAACCATGGCTTAACATTCTACTCTCAGCCAAATAATACAGAACAAGTATTATTCATGCGTAGGGGTTCAAATCGGCATCACGTATATGTTTATGATCGGAAAGATGAACGGAAGGAAGTGCTGATGGACTTTCTAAAGCAGAGCACAGGTCTTGATGATGAGAACTTTGCTAGTATGTTTTTCTATGTTGAGAATTTTGATTGCTTAGCCCTGCAGCCACATGATTATATATTCAGTTAGTTGAAACTATTTTAGTAATTGCATGTTATGTATTTTCTGATATGATTACGTGATTTTTTTTTTATCACCAAGCATGAGGTAAAATTGTGTCACTGGAATTGTGCATATATATGTTGAACAATACAAGAACCTTGGTTATGTAAGATAAGAAAACCACTAATTTTCGTCATTATAATCTCTTCAAATAAATTCATATGTCGAAACAAAACTCAAAATTCTGCACATAGGAACATAGAGCAATAGGTCGGGCCCCCATAACTACATTCTCGTAAAAGATAGTTGAATGTGTTCGGAACGGATGCAGAAATTTGGTTGGGGGCAAAAAAGAAACACATCAAAATTATATAACGATGGGCAAAACTCTGCACATAGGAACATAGAGCAATAGGGCCCCCATAACTACATTCTCGCAAAAGATAGTTGAGTGTGTTACTCTTCAAATCATAAACTACTACTCTCACATTATAGCTGAGTATAATGTGATAGATGTTACGATAATCCAAATTGAAGAATTAACTATGATTCTCAATCCAACAATTATATTAACTCTCTTTTTCCCATTCGGGGGTGGACAGCTCTTTGAATTCATCGCTCTGAGCATCAAAATAAATGATGGTTTCGCATCTCCATAACGAAACCATTCGAGAAGAAATCACCCTCCAATGAAGTGTGTTGCGAAAGTTAACGCCGTTTTCAATGAAGTGCACGTGGTAAGGAAACACCGTCTCGCTATCATCACAGCTTTTACCTCCAACTTCAAAACAATCTGGCGAATGATCTCGATTGGTATGTGATGAACTACCTCCATGTTCGATCGATATGATGTATGTATACGCTATGGTGAATTGAATTGAGATAGAAGCAGCGGAGTGGAGAGGCTGCGACATATCTTTTTTAGGGTGAATTATATATATTGGCGTTGTTGCATGCCTTGGGTTTACATCTATCATTGTGTCTTGGGTAGTAGATTCTATTATTCTAAGCAAGATCAAGCCCAATAGATTATAGGTTGGCAAATTATCCTTTGGATTACGGTCCACAATGTATTATGATCCAGGCATCAAAACAATGCCATTTTCTTTTAATGAAAAGAAACTGCACCCGTTCTGCACTGTTCCGTAAAAAGTAACTCTGTTTGTATAATATGTTCAGTTTCATTTTATATATACACTGCAGCTTCATTTCAAAACAACTACAGTTTTATTTCAATATAACTACAATTTCATTCGACATTATAAACTCAAATATGTGAAACTGTTATTCAGTTTTATTTTATATACACTCGTACTATAGTTTCATTACAACACAACTACATTATCATTTCGATATAATTACAGTTTCATTAGACAATATATATTCAAATATGTGTTGTTACTCAGTTTTATTTCAACACAACTATAGTTTCATTTTGATATAACTACAATTTCATTCGACACTATACACTCAAATATGTGGAACTGTTATTCAATTTTATTTTATATACACTCGTAATATAGTTTCATTACAACACAACTACATTATCATTTCGATATAACTTCATTGGACAATATACACTCAAATATGTGAAACTGTTATTCAGTTTCATTTTATATACACTGTAGTTTCATTTCAACACAACTACAGTTTCATTTCAATTCAATTACATTTTCATTTGATAATATAAAAATAATATGTGAGGCAGTTTCATTTTAGATACAATGTTGTTTCATTTTGTAATTAACATAAAAAATACGAGTTCCATTAAGCTATAACGGCAACCGTTTTATTACTTAAAGAAATGACACCGTTTTTGGACCATGGTCCACAATATAATTACTCGTTGCAAGGATACAAAATTGAACCCATTCAATGTGACGGGCTCGTGATTTTGAACATCGGTGCTATGTATATTTTCTTGATATGATAACATTAGGACCGGTCCTGGTCATGTCTGGCCAGGGCGACCGCACAGGGCCCCCAATTTTTTTAAAAAATATTATAGATATAATCTAAAAAAAAAATTATGCTTATAATTATTATTTTTTGAATTCATAGATTAGTCTTAATTGTAATTTAAAGTAAAATTTTAGAATGAATTGACATCGAAATTTTGGTAAATAATTTTGTATTTAAATATAAACGAAAAATGACACTTTTTAGGGGGTGTATTCAATCAAAACTTTTAAAGACTTTCAAAGACTTAACGACTTTAATGGCATGTTTGATTCATGGAATAGGCCAGGAATGGAATAACATTCCTTGGAATAGACCTATTATTCCATCGTTTGGTTGGATCATTTTGTCATGGGAATAACATGCCTAAGAATGAGTTATTACCTTCGCAAGGGGAATAGTCAGGGGGGCCTTGGTATTAGCTATTCTCATGCCCTTGGGAATAGCTTTTATATCACAAATACCAAAAATACCCTTTGCACATTATATAATATTTATATTTATTTAATCAATATAATGTATTATATATATATATATATATATATATATATATATATATATATATATATATATATATATATATATATAACATTCAGTATAACATACTCATTATTATTATTATTATTATTATTATTATTATTATTATTATTATTATTATTATATTGTATAAGGGTATTTATGTCTTTAAAATCTATTCCATTTATATTCATTTAATCAATCAAACACTGGAATACAATTACTAAAGTTTATTCTTTCAGCCAACCAAACGACAGAATACAATTCTTATTTTATTCCTTACATATTTTATTCCCTGTGGAATAGCATTCTTATTCCCTCCAAATTCATTCCGTGAACCAAATGTGTTGTAAAAGTTTAGTCGTATTCAATTTAGATTTTTAAAGACTCTTGTAACGAGTGATTGCTTATATTAATCTTGGATAGTATAATAATTGCAACAATTTGGTACGAATAAGATATCACAATTAAGTAATTGTGTCAACGCCTCAACCTTGTCAATAACAACCTAATCCAAGCCGAATCAGGAGAATTTTTCTATATATATATAGATATATATATATATATTGATTCAATTCCAAGCGGGAAACGGGTGAACCCTACCTAATCTGAATATATTTCCGATCCTCTTGATCAACTAGGTAGCTTCATTCATTCATTCTCATCAATAATCACCATGGAAGTTTCAGCCGCAAAAAAAGCTCGATCGCCGCTGCACATACCAATTGAGATGATTCGCTGTATACTTTTCAAATTGAAGATGAAAGATCTGATCCGATGTGAATGCGTATGCAAAGAATGGCGATCCACAATAGAAGACCCCGATTTCAAGCTCTCCTACCGCGGAGGACGGCGAGTGGTTGTGGCGGCGGCGTCCGATAGCGGCTTAGCCTTTACATCCATATCAACCGACAATCTCCGCATCAAAACCCTACTCCAGCGGCGGGGGATAAGAGAGGGCGGTTGGTGGTCCGGCGTTTGGTGTTCTTGCAACGGCCTCGTGCTCTTCTCCGTGGGGAAACATATTCTGTTGTGGAATCCCTCCACTCGCTGCTGCACAAAAGTGCTTGAGCTTCAACGATTGAAGCATTCTATGTGGCATCGTCATAATGTGGTCTCGGCCTCGGGGCTATGTTATGTCCCGTCCACAGGAGATTACAAGGCGGTTCTGTTACTCCATAATGATGATGGAACTGTTCTGGTTGCAAGCCTCAAGAACAAAGAGTGGCGAAAAGTAGAGTTATTTCCTCACCATGGAGTGTCCGTTAGCGACTCCGGGGTTAACTTTCACAACACACTCCATTGGAGGGTAGCTCAATCTGCTACGGATTGGTGGTCCTCACCGAGATGCAAAAAGGTGGTTTATTTCGATGCGGAGAGCGATGAATTCAAAGAACTGCCCACCCCCAGTTTTCCGGCGGGGGAAAGTTGTTCAATTCTTGGGTTGGGAATCACAGACCACGGCGGCCATCTCTGCATAGCTCGCGAGAAGAGGAAGAAAACAGGAGAGGTTGAAGTGTTGGTTATGAAGGAATATGGAGTGAAGAATTCATGGATGACTCAGTTTGTGATCTCTGCCTCTCAGTTCAGATCTGGTTATCATCGTGACTTTATATTCAACACTTCCAAATACAATACAAAAGCGCTGATTGGGAGCTGTTTGTATGGTTGGTGGGGAGCATTAGTTTATCATTTCAAGCTGGAGAATTTCTTAGAAGCAGAATCAGGACTTAGAAACCATACCGCTATGTGTTCCTATGTTCAGAGTTTTGTTTCGCCACATGAGTTTATTTGGAGAGATGATGATGATCAGGACAAATATGATAAGATGTTGACATTTATTTTAGAAAGGTTTAATATCTGATAACATTTTAAAATATTTTAAGTTTGTAATATTATGTAATATATATAGGGAAAAGAATCCCACGACTTTTGATGTTCTTTAACTTTTGGTGCACAACTTTAAAATTTTTTAATTTTGGTGCCTAACTTTGTTATTTTTATCAGTTTTGGTCCTTTCGGCCAAATTGATAGCAAAATGTTGTTGAATTTTATATTTTTAGGGGTAAAATCGTCATCCCAAGGAAACATCTTCAATATCTAAACAAAATGACATTTCCCCCGTGTTATATCCTTAAATTCCTTATAGCACTTTTCTCCATTATTATTTAAATAGACATATTTACCCTTTAAATAATTATTTCATTTATTTTTCTTCTCAAATAAATTATAACCACGATTTAGTTCAAACCGAACAGACACTATAGCAACCACACACAAAGGTTATGATGACAATTTAGAACCCGAATCTGATATTTAAAGTTTATTAAAATTACGAACCGAAACTGCTAGTTCATGTTTTGAATTAAAAAAAATAAAATACATTAACTGAATTTAAAGTATTTTAAAAGAATATTTGAATAAGCAGTTCAAATTGATCTGATATCGTGAACCGACGGTTCAAAATCAAACCAAATCGCGGTTATATATACTTATCAAAATGATAATGTAGTTGTGTTGTAATGATACTATAGTACAAGTGTATATAAAATATGGAGTGAGAACCAAGGTTCTTGTATTGTTTTACATATATATATATATATATATATATATATATATATATATATATATATATATATATTCTTTTATATTAATAATAATGATATATGTAATTTATAATGTGTTTTCTATTCAAATTATTTTATTAAATTAATTATGTTTCTTATTTTGTTATGAATATTTTTATATAATTTTGATGTGTTTCTTTTTTGCCCCCAACCAAATTTCTGCCACCGTTCCGAACACATTCAACTATCTTTTACGAGAATGTAGTTATGGGGGCCCGACCTATTGCTCTATGTTCCTATGTGCAGAATTTTGAGTTTTGTTTCGACATATGAATTTATTTGAAGAGATTATAATGACGAAAATTAGTGGTTTTCTTATCTTACATAACCAAGGTTCTTGTATTGTTCAACATATATATGCACAATTCCAGTGACACAATTTTACCTCATGCTTGGTGATAAAAAAAAAATCACGTAATCATATCAGAAAATACATAACATGCAATTACTAAAATAGTTTCAACTAACTGAATATATAATCATGTGGCTGCAGGGCTAAGCAATCAAAATTCTCAACATAGAAAAACATACTAGCAAAGTTCTCATCAAGACCTGTGCTCTGCTTTAGAAAGTCCATCAGCACTTCCTTCCGTTCATCTTTTTCCCGATCATAAACATATACGTGATGCCGATTCAAACCCCTACGCATGAATAATACTTGTTCTGTATTATTTGGCTGAGAGTAGAATGTTAAGCCACGGTTCCCATAAGTAAGTTGAGGCATTTGGATATCAAACGCAATCATCCATGATTCTTCTATGCCATATTCCTTCATAATCAATACTTGCAACGTGTTTGTTTTTGCCTCATTGTGACGAGGAATGCATGCCATGGATAAACAGTCATCTATAACCCCTAACCCGACTATCGAGCTGTTTTCTCTCTGTTCGGAAGGGGTGGGCAAGATTCTGAATTCATCACGCACGTAATCAAAATATATGATCCTATTCTTGTTGGCTCTGGGCGGGTAATCCCCTACACTATACCAATAGGGGTCTGGGATGTCACTTACCCACCAGTGAAATGTATTGCGAAAGCTAACACCATCTCTGATAGAATCAAAGCAATAAGGAAACTGCACTGATCGCCAATTTTTGTGTGTGAGGCTGGCAGAGATGACACACCAGGGATTGTCATAATCCATTAAGTGGCGAAACAATAGGACGACCTTGTAATTTCTAGTGCGGGGATAGTAGCATAGCCCTGCAAGAGCACCCGAGCTTTTTATCCCAGAATATGGGGACTCAAGGACTTTCGTCAAACACCTAGTGAGCGGGTTCCACAACAAGATATCTCTCTCAGCCGCCGCCAGAAGCACAAACCCATTGCAAGAAGACAAAGCTGTAACATGGTATTGGTTGCTCCCACGAATCAATGGATAATCCGCAGCCTCTCCCAACGGCCATTTTTGCCTTTCAAGACGAAGATCATCGTCATGTCTTGTAGTGAATCTAACGACCAGTTGTTTGGAATTCTGGGAACCCCGGCGTTCGGATTCGTGCGAAAGGATGAACAATCGTCCTGGTCCACCATACGACAACTTGAAATCCGAATCTTGGATCATCGAACGCCACAGTTTAGATACGCATTGGAACCGAATGATAGACTCCACCGACAACTGCAAAAGTATAATTCGAATAATCTCATTGGGTATGTTTGACGATGGAGACGAAGCTTCCATGTCGTGCGAAATTGCGAATAAGAATTGAAGCTGATGATGAAGATTGAAGTAGGGTTTGTGAAGACTCTTTTTATAGGGTCATGGACTAAGGGGGTGTATTCAATCCATACTTTTAAAGAGTAAAGACTTTTAATGACTTTCAAAGTTTGGGGTATTCAATTTAGACTTTTAAAGACTCTTTAAAAATCTATTAGTATTCGATTCAGACTTTTCAAAAGTCTTTAAAAGTATACTAGTATTCGTTTCAGACTTTTATAGAGTCTGTAAAAGTCTACTTGTATTCAAATATTTATCCACTCCAGCTCGGTTTTGGGCGGTGGGACTTCAGCTTGCGTCAAGTTATTCAAATGTTTGTAAGGGTATATTCAATTTAGAGTTTTAATGACTTTTGTAAACTTTTTAATATGAAAAAAATTTAAAAGTCTATAAATGTTTGTCCTATGGATTTTTAACGACTCTTACAAAGTTGATGAAAGTTTAAAAGATTTTATGAAAGTCTACAAAATCTCTACAAAAGTCATTTAAAATCCAATACTTTAACGGTCCGTTTGGTTCACGGAATAGGCTGGGAATGACATAGCATTCCCTAGGCCTATTCCTGTGTTTGGTAACCATGTCTATTATCAGGCTTAATATTCCTAGTAATAGCCTATTACCTCAAATAAGGTAATAGCTATTACCCGGCCCTCCTGGTATTAACTTATTCCAAATTCCTCAGGAATAGATTTTTTTTTCTTCAATTTTAACCTTTATCATTTTCTGCGTTCTCTCCCCCATCTACGATTCCTTCCCTGATTCTTTGCATCAATCTTTGCAATTCTTTCTATCATCTACATCAACATCAAATTGAAGCTTCAAACAAAGGTAAATTTCTGAATTTATTTTCTGAATTTTATTTTTTACAAATTAATTATTATTGATATTTAATACTGAATATTCATAGTAAGTAATCCATGTTCCTGGGCAAATTAAATTATCACTGCATCAAGAAATTTGTAACAATCAATTCATACAACATCATTTTTCAAATGATTATTATACAGTAAATTGATCAACAATAATAAAGAATACTCATAATAAAGAAAGACTCCTTGAATCAAGGATAATCTATTATCTTGAACAAAACTCCCTGATGCTTTCAAATTCAGTTGTTCTTTCACTTATCAGTAATATTTGTGTATATATATGTTAATTTTTATACAATATTGTAGTTGCTATAGAATAACATTATTTAAAAACATAATAATAATAATAATAATAATAATAATAATAATAATAATAATAATAATAATAATAATAATAATAATAATAATAATAATAATAATAATAATAATAATAATACATTTTTTGTATAGGGGCATTTATGTCTTTTACACTCATATTCCATTTCTATCCCTTAAACCAACCAAACACTGAAATAACATTCTTAAACTCTATTCCTTCAACGAACCAAACAAAAGAATACAATTCTTATTCTATTCCTTGCCTATTCTATTCTTTATGGAATACTATTCCTATTCCTTTAAAATTCATTCCATGAACCAAACATGCTGTAAAAGTCTTTGAAACTCTTTAAGAGTCTTGATTGAATACACCCCCTAAAAGTTCTTCACATATTTTAAAAATAAATAAAATTCCCGATTTTATTTTACTTTTTAAAATTAATCATAGAATTTTATATATGACAGGTTATCAAATTACAGCTTTAATTCTTGAATTATATACGAGTAATATGTTTAGTGTCAATGAAACTCTCGTTAACAATGAGTATTTTAACGATTAAAAAAACGTGAAGTATTTAATTATGGTCAGTGTGTATGTTATATAACGGCGGTGAATGAGGAAATGACACATCATTAAAAATAAAATTAATATTAATCGGGTCTTTTTTTGTAAAATATCTAAAGCTTGTATTTTTTTCAAGATTACAAATTTCTCCCAACAAGAGGAGTGGACAACATAAACTTATTTAGCTTGACTCTAGGTAAATTTACCCACTCAAAAAATAAAAAAATAGTGCAAGGTTCTATCGTTAAAGTTGACACACCTAGATATATTATATCTTCGTGATTATTTCTACTAAATTTTCATGGCAGGCTACTAAATTTGATCAGATATTAAACCTTCCCAAAATAAACCTCAACAAAGCATCGTCATTCTGGGCTGGGGGGTTGTGCTGATCATCATTATCTCTCCAAATAAATTCACGTGGAGAAACAGTACTCTGAACATAGGAACATATACCAATAAAGCCCCAATATACTGATGATTCTGTGAAGAAAGTAGGCTTGAGGGTGTTATTTTTCAAATCATGAACTAATATTTCCCACGAGGACGAGATGTTCCTGCATATCATGAGCACTTTGGCATTGCATTTGGAAGAGTATAATGCGGCGTTTATATAATCACTACTGAATTTTTCACAGTCCAAATAGATGGTAGAGATGTTAAACTCACTAACCCATGATTTCTCTACTCCATATTCCTTCATAACCAACACTTGTATCGATCCTCCTCGTTCGAGTTCGAGAGCCACGCAAAGACACTCGTCAATGATTCCCATTCCAATAATTACACTACTTTCGCCTCCGGGGATGGGGATGGACAGCTTTTTGAACTCATCGCTCTCCGGGTCAAAATAAACGATCTTGTTCAACCCTGTTTGCAAATCACCCACCCTCCAATGGAGTGTGTTGTGAAAGTTAACCCCGTCGTCTCTAATGGACTCCGTGTTGTAAGGAAATAACACTTTCCGCCACTCTTTTCTCTTGAGGCTGGCAACAAAAACACTAGTCCTATCACAGAGGAAACACACAACAGACTTGTAATCCCCGGTGGATGGGACATAGCATAGCCCCGAGACCACATCGTTACGCCCCAAAGATGGGACGTCATAGCATAGCCCCTCGACCAAATCGAGGACATCCCACGAAGAGAGCAAGCGTTGAAGCTCAAGCACTTTTGTGCAGCAGCGAGTGGTGGGGTTCCACAACAGAATATGTTCTCTCAAGGAGAAAAGCACGAGCCCGTTGCAAGAACACCAAACACCGGACCACCAACGATTTAGGGGGGGAAACGTGGTACTACCACGGGTGTCACGCCGGAATAGCGTCTCAATGAGGGGAGTAGTAGTGTTGGTTATGGATGTTAGGGCTAAGCAGCTTTTGCTGCTTTGTGCCACCACAATGACTCGTTTCGACCCGCCATACGAGAGCTTGAAATCGGGGTCTTGTATGATGGAACGCCATTCTTTGCATACGCATTCACATCGGATCACAGCTTTTATCTCCAACTTCAAAAGAATCTTGCGAATGATGTCAATTGGTATATTATGATGAACTACTTCCATGTTCCATTGATGTATGGATTATGTATTTAAAAGTAGCTATCACCAAGAAGGCCCCCTACCTAGAGGTGAGCAAAAAAAACTGCTGACCACATAACGGAGGACTAATAATTGGGTATTAAGTTTTAAAAAATTCAGTTATTTCAGTTTGTTACGACCATCTTGGTGGTTGGGAGTTTAGTGGGCACTTAAACTTAGGGAATGTGCAATGATCACTTATTATTTACATATGATTACTGATATGTTTTCTTGTATCAGGTGTTTGGAATGGACAGTCGGTATTGGTTTATCCCACGCTACTCGGTAGAAGATTTAGACCAATCGTTATATCGTGCACCAGGACGCACAATCTACCCAAAACGACATCGTTTTTTATGTTAAGAGTTATGTGTATTTTGTTAAGAGTTTATGTTTATTATGTTAAAAGGGCGGAGCCAAGATTTTTTTTCAGTGGAGGCGAAGAAGCAAAGAGAAAGTAAATTAAAAAATGTTCAAATACAAATAAGATTATTAGAATACAACGTTTATGATAAACTACGGTCTCTCATATTTTGAAATTGTTGTAGAACTGCTTCATTTGAAACTTAAGCAACAATATTTTTTCCAACATACATATGGCACTAATTAGTAATAATATTTTTTTCAACATACATACGGCACTAATTAGTAATTTTGAACCCCTAACCTTTCATAAGGTCAAATACGCCTCATCCAACTCGTCTAACACTTCTATTGTGTTTATTTTTAGCCCCCCCCCCCCCACCCCCCCCCCCCAACCCAACACACACACACACACACACACACACACACACACACACACACACACATATATATATATATATATATATATATATATATATATATATATATATATATATATATACACACACACACAAGGGCTAGGGGTGGGGGTGGGGTGAGTGGGGGCAGCTACCCCCACGGTAGCTTCACCCCTAAGTTTCTGTGTATTATGTATTATGTTAGATTATGTATATTATGGTATGAGTTTATGTGTATTCTACTATATAATTTGTCATTTAAGACGGATACCTGCCCTTCATGGGCTTGAATATCCAACCCAGCCTGACTTGGTTGAACAATTACAAAAACCTCGGGTTATATGTAAGATAAGGAACACTAATGTTTTGTTGTCTAAGTTTTGTTTCGTTGAGAGATTCAGAAATGTAGATTAATTCATCTCTTTGTAACATCATATCGCCAGGACTTTGTTGTAACACTGTGATAGTCAAGGAAAATATCCTTGTTTTTTATGCATCATAGTTACACTGTAATTACATTTTTAGGTCCGGCCCCAACAAAAAAAACATCGTATCCCTCCTTTTGCTATATTACGATACTAAAATTATTAGAGGATCATGTATAACAATGTCAGCAAAGGTTCTCACTCGTCACAACCTCTGATCTACTCCTTCTACTCCTTTGGCAATAATATAATATATGTATCATTTGTTAATTGTTAATTATAAGATTATAAATTCGATTTTCTACCAGAGCAATTTGATTTGGTCCCTTAGAACATATATCCTCTAATAGTAACTATGCATGGATGCTTTGCTAGCAGGCCGGCTGTTCCCGCTAGGGACTACAAAAGTGATGAAGGATCAAAAGAGAATTAGTAACTTCAAAAACTAATTTTTTATTTCTATTAACTTTTTTAAGGCAGGTAGACTTCAAAAACTAATTTTTCATTATGTCTCTCATGATTATTTCTACTAACTTTTTATGGCAGGTAGACTTCAAAAAATAATTTTTCAAAAAAGACATAATGTTGAAGCTAGCTCAAAATATTACAAACTTAAAATAAAATGTCATCACATATTAAACTTTTCCAAAATAAATCTCAACACAAAACAATTTTTGTTCCAATCATATTTATCTCTCAAAATAAACTCATGTGGCGAAACAAAACTCTGAACATAGGAACATATAGCGGCAGTATGACTTTTATGTCCTGATTCTGCTTCTAAGAAAGTCTCCAGCTTCTTATTCTTGAAATGATAAACTAATGCTCCCCACCAACCATACAAACAGCTCCCTATCAGGGCTTGTGTATTGTATTTGGAAGGGTAGAATGTAAAGTCACGATGATAACCAGATCTGAACTGAGAGGCAGAGATCACAAACTGAGTTATCCATGAATTCTTCACTCCATATTCCTTCATAACCAATACTTCAACCTCTCCAGTTCCCTTCCGCCTCTCGCGAGCCATGCAGAGATGGCCGCCATGGCGGCCGTCTATGATTCCCAACCCGAGAATTGCAGGGCTTTCCCCCACCGGGGTGGGCAGCTCTTTGAATTCATCGCTCTCCGGGTCAAAATAAACCACCTTTTTGCATCTCCGGGTGGAACACCAATCCCTAGCGGAATTTGCTACCCTCCAATGGAGTGTGTTGCGAAAGTTAACCCCACTGTCTCTAACGGACGCCGTGTGGTGAGGAAATAACACATTTCGCCACTCTTTATTCTTGAGGCTGGCAACGAGAACCGTACTCCCATCGTCCGGGTGGAGTAACAGAACAGCCTTGTAATCTCCGGTGGACGGGACATAACATAGCCCCGAGGCTAAGACCACATTACGATGATGCCACCAAGAAGGGGCCTCCAAAAGTAGAAGCTCAAGCACTTTTGTGCAGCAGCGAGTGGAGGGATTCCACAACAGAATATGATGTAGCACGGAGAAAAGCACGAGGCCGTTGCAAGAACACCAAACGCCGGACCACCAACCACCACCCTCACCCGCTCCCCGCCGCTCGAATAGCGTTTTAACTCGGAGAGTATCGGTGGTTATGGATGTAAAGGCTAAGTTGAGGCCGGACGCCGCCGCCGCCGCCACAACCACGCGCCGTCCTCCGCGGTAGGAGAGCTTGAAATCGGGATCTTCTATGGTGGATCGCCATTCTTTGCAGACGCATTCACATCGGATCAGAGCTTTCATCTCCAATTTCAAAAGTATATGGCGAATCATCTCAATTGGTATGTGCGGCGGCGGCGATCGAGCTTTTTTTGCGGCTGAAACTTCCATGGTGATCCAAGAATTGATGAATGATTGAATGAAGCTACTTAGTTGAGAGGATCGATCGGAAATTATATATATAATTCAGATTCAGATATATTAGCTAGGGTTCACCCGTTTTCCGCTTGGAATTGAATCAATACTCATTTCTTACGTAATAAATAAAGCATATATATATATATATATATATATATATATATATATATATATATATATATATATATATATATAAAGAAAAATTCTCCCAATTCGGTTTGGATCAGGTTGTTATTGACTAGGTTGAGGCGTTGACACAATTACTTAATTATGATATCTTATTCGTAATAAATTGTCTCAATTATTATACTATTTGTGATTAAAAAAAGTTATATATCACAAATTCACAATAATCACAATTGATTATTGACTTTGGGTATGGAGCAATCTTAAATCTTCAGGCTAACTGTCTCATCTAACAGAGGTGCCTTCAATTCAACGAGATATTAGTTACTGTGTTCGATCGTGGAAACCATGAGTACACAACCAAAAAAAAAAACAAATAATATAATAGTGTCGTACTATTATTATTTTTGTCACAAAAAGAATATTACTTTACGAAATATTACAAAATATTTGTCACTAAATGTCTTAATTCTTATGTTTTGTATATATTGTTGTAAGGAACACTTTGCCTATGACTTTGTTGTAACATTGTGATTGCCTTTGTAGTCAGAAATATCCTTTGTTGTAATACTATAATTACATTTTTAATCAAGAAATTAAAACATCCCCGCCTCATTTTATTGATATTATGACCTTAAAATTATTAGAGGATTAAGTGTGACAATTTCATCAAAGGTTTTCACTCGTCACAACCTCTGATGTCTGATCTACTCCTTAGGCAATAGTACAATATATTTATCACTAGAGTTGTGCATATATATGTTGAATAATACAAGAACCTTAATTATGTAAGATAATGAACACTAATGTTTTGTTGTCTAACAAAAGTGTTTTGTTTCGTTTAAAAATTTAAAAATCTCAACCACATCTTGAATCATCGAACCCCTCAAAATATTATTAAAAGTTTTCAAAACACATAATGCTCAAGCTAAGCTAAGCTAAGCTCAAAATATTATTAATAAAAATAAACTTCAAATAAAATTAAAATTTTCATCGCATATTACTCCTTCTCAAAATAACCCTCAACAAAGCATCATACTGGCGGGGTTTGCCCTGAACATCATCTCTCCAAATAAATTCCAGTGGAGAAACAAAACTTTCAACATATGAACATATAGTAGCGGCATTATGACTCCCTGAGTCTTCTAAGCTCTCCTCCATTTTGTTATTCTTCAAATGATAAACTAATGTTCGCCACTCACCCTCCAAACAGCTACATATCATCAGATGTACAGCCACATATCATCAGATGTTGTGTATTGTATTTTGAAGAGTAGAATGTAAAGTGACGATGATGATAATCACTTTCGAATGGAGATTGAGAGACAGGGACAGAGATGACAAACTGACTCACCCACGATTTCTTCACTCCATATTCCTTCATAACCAACACTTCAACCTCTCCCGTTTCCTTCTTCGTCTCGCGGGCTATGGAGAGACACTCGTCTATGATTCCTAGCCCGAGAATTGCACGACTTTCGTCTGGAAAAGTGGGGGTGGGCAGCTCTAGCTCTTTGAATTCATGGCTCTCCGCCTTAAAATAAACCACTTTGTTGCATAATCTCCGTGATGGGTAACGCCAATCCGTAGGATCGTCCCTACGAGACTGGGCTACCCTCCAATGGAGTGTGTTGTGAAAGTTAACCTCGGAGTCGCTAACGGACACTCCATGGTGAGGAAATAACTCTACTTTTCGCCACTCTTTGTTCTTGAGGCTAGCAACATGAACAGTTCCCTCAGAGCCGAGTAACAGAACAGCCTTGTAATCTCCGGTGGATGGGACATAACATAGTCCCGAGACCAAATTATGATAACACCACTCCAAATGTTGAAGCTCAAGCACTTTTGTGCAGCAGCGAGTGGAGGGGTTCCACAACAGAATATGTTGTCTCACCGAGAAAAGCATACAGCGAATGATCTCAATTGGTATGTGCGGCGGCGGCGGCGGCGGCGGAGCTTTAATTTTTGCGGCTGAAACTTCCATGGTGATCCAAGAATTGATGAGAATGATAGAAGTTAGTTAGTTGAGAGGATCGATCGGAAATTATATATATATTCAGATTTATTAGCTAGGGTTCACCCGGTTTCCGCATATATATATATAGATCGAATTGAAACAGATCAATCTGGGGTTCAACGGTGTTCGCAGCCGTTCGATCTGACCGTAGCAATAACAAACACAGTACATCCGTTTTGAAGGTGTCATTTGAAATATTTTTTCCATGAAATAATTACGGAGCAGATCTGGAGCGACGTAATGTGAAACGAATCAGATCCGGGACGTAATATGAAGCGAATCAGACCTGGAACCTTACTTGACTACACTTGACTTCGCACGCGACAGGACATGCCATGGAGGGGTCTACGTCCCCGGAGTCCTCGGCTACTGACCCCAGGGTCGGCCCGAGGTCAGCAACCTCGCACTCCTCCCTTAGCCGAGATCCGAGCTCGGCCGAAGGACGGGGTCGTGTTGACACCTCGCACTCCTCCCTTGGCCGAGATCCGAGCTCAGCCGAAGGACGAGGTCCTCGTGTTGACAGAGGATCAAGTGCCACAATGTCAGCAGATGTTGTCACTCGTCAGAACCTTTACTCCTTAGGCAATAATATGATATAGTCGACTTTATTACGTGCATATATCTTCTAATAGTTACTATGTATGCTTTGCTAGCAATCCGACGATCCCCGCCAGGAACTAAACAAGTGGCGAAGGATCAAAAGAAAACCCGTAAATCATTTGACACATCTCATGATTATTTTCACTAACTTCTTAAAGCAAGTAGACTTACTTTCAAAAAAATAAATTTTCAAAAGACGATATAATATTGAAGCTAGTTCAAAATATTACAAACTTAAAATAAAATCTTGTTAAACTTTTCTAAAATAAATCTCAACACAAAATCATTTTTATGCCGACCATTATCATCTCTCCAAATAAATTCATGTGGGGAAACAAAGCTCTGAACATAGGAACACATAGCGGCACTATGATTTTTATGTCCTGATTCTGCTTCCAAGAAACTCTCCATCTTGTAATCCTTGAAATAATAAACTAATGCTCCCCACCAACCATACATACAGCTCCCTATCAGGGCTTGTGTATTGTATTTGGAAGGGTAGAATGTAAAGTCACGATGATAACCAGATCTGAACTGAGAGGCATAGATCACAAACTGAGTCATCCATGAATTCTTCACTCCATATTCCTTCATAACCAATACTTCAACCGTTTGATTCCTCCTCTCGCGAGCCATGCAGAGATGGCCGCCATGGGGGCCGTCTATGATTCCCAACCCGAGAATTGCACGGCTTTCCGCCGGAAAACTGGGGGTGGGCAGCTCTTTGAATTCATCGCTCTCCGCGTCGAAATAAACCACCTTTTTGCATCTCCGCGAGGAACACCAATCCCTAGCCGAATTCGCTACTCTCCAATGGAGTGTGTTGTGAAAGTTAACCCCGCTGTCCCTAACAGACACCGCGTGGTGAGGAAACACCACGCTTCGCCACTCTTTGTTCTTGAGGCTGGCAACGAGAACAGTCCAATCATCACGGAGTAACAGGACCGCCTTGTAATCTCCCGTGGACGGGACGTAACATAGTCCCGAGGCTGAGACCACATTTTGACCATGCCACCAAGAAGGCTCCAAACGTCGAAGCTCAAGCACTTTCGTGCAGCGGCGAGTGGAGGGATTCCACAACAGAATATGATGTTTCATGGAGAAAAGCACGAGGCCGTTGCAAGAACACCAAACGCCGGACCACCATTCACCCTTACCCCGTCTCCACCGGTAGAATAGCGTTTTGATGCGGAGAGTCTCGGTGGTTATGGTTGTAAAGGCTAATTTGCTGCCGGACGCCGCCGCCACAAGCACTTGCCGTCCTCCGCGGTAGGAGAGCTTGAAATCGGGATCTTCTATGGTGGATCGCCATTCTTTGCATACGCATTCACATCGGATCACAGCTTTTATCTCCATTTTCAAAAGTATATAGAGAATCATCTCCATTGGTATGTGCGGCGGCGGCGATCGAGCTTTTTTTGCGGCTGAAACTTCCATGCTGATCCAATAATTGATGAGAATGAATGAATGAATGAATGAAGCTAGGGTTCACCCGTTTTCCGCTTCGAATTGAACCAATACTCATTTCCTACGTATATAGAAAAATTCTTTTGATTTGGCTTGGATCAGGTTGTTATTGATTAGGTTGAGGTGTTGACATAATTACTTAATTGTAACATCTTATCAGTAATAAATTGTTACAAGTACCATACTATCTATGATTAAAAAAAGTTATATATCACAATTATCAAAATAATATAATAATGTTGTATTATTAATTTTTTGGTTACAAAAAAAAATATTATATTAGTGTGATTAAATTACGAAGTGTTATAAAAGATTTGTCATTAAATGATTTAATTTTTATTGTGCCTATAGTAGGGAAGTAATGTTAATGATGTTTAATGCCAATGAAACTCTAGTACAGGTAACAATGAGTATTCAATTATTTAAAAATATAAGTTATTTTGATTTTTCGATTAGTTATGGCTATTTATTTATTTTTTGTTATTTTGATTATTAATTGATAATGGACTGAAAACTCCTACACCAGCACATTATGCTTGAGCACGGGTTCACCATACACATGGTGCACACGAATCTATATCCATAATTTTTATACTGTAAATTCATAATTTCTATATTGTAGATCTATAAATTTCTAGACTCTCGGTGAGCTAAAATTATGAATCTAAAGATAAATTTTAGTTCACCGAGAGTCTCGGAATTATAGATATATAGTATAGAAATTATGGATATAGATTCGTGGTTAGAAATTATGAATATAAAGTATAAATTTTAGCACACCGAGAGTCTCGAAATTATGAATATACGATATAAAAATTATGAATCTATAGTATAGAAATTATGAATATAGATTTGTGCGCACCACGCAAGGTGAGCACGTGCTCACAGCATAATGATTGCTTGCCACAAATTATGCCCTGGAAACGTGTTCACCATGAACGGTGAACACGGGTCCAAACGGTGTCGGTTTTACGGGGACATTTTTTTTAGTTAATGTGCTGTTTGTTGGAAGTCAAGCACGCTTAACCATAAAGTTCTATGGTACCTGGTTGCCATATCCTACTTAAAACCAATTGGTGATAGGTAGGTGGACATTAACCATTTAACCAAATCTCTCCATGGTAAGCCACATTGCCACGTCTCGAATTGAGCAGGGGCTAAACTCGGCCAACCTGGCCGACGCCCAACACTTTTAATGGCGCGCGTTTGTTCAGATTATGAATTTTCTGTTATGAGATATGAATGTACTGTAAATTCATAATCTCATAACAGAAAATTCATAATCGCATAAAAGAAAAATATTTATTAAATTATGAATTTTCTGTTATGAGATTATGAATTTACAGTTATGTAATTATGAATTTTTTGTAAATTCATAATCTCATAACAGAAAATTCATAATCGCATAAAAGAAAAACATTTAATAAATTATGAATTTTCTGTTATGAAATTATGAATTTACTGTAAATTCATAATCCCAATATAGAAAATTCATAACAAAAGAGGAAATGAAACCGCGAAATGTGAAAATGAAGAAGAAAAGTCGTGCGGTTAATTAAGAAAAATAAAGAAAAAAAGAAGAAGATAACGATGCACCGTTACCGTTGGGACCGTGTTCACCATGGATGGTGAACACGATTCCATGGCATAACGATTGCTACCTTGCAAGGTGGACTCATTAAATATGCTTTTAAAAAGATTTCATGTCATGTCAGACCAATTGTAGGCTCAAGCTTGAACCTAACAAAAAAAAAAAACCCCACATACGGCCCAACCCAAGTTTAGGGCAATTATATCGTACACTGCGGTGCATAATCGATTATGCCCCACGCATCAAAACGACGTCTTTTTGTTAAATGAAAAGAAACGACATTTGTTTTTCGCCGTTCTGCACTCTTTCACAAAAATTAACTCTGTTATTCAATTTCATTTTGTATACACTGCAGTTTCAGTTCAACACAACTACAGTTTCATTTCGATATAACTACTGTTTCATTCGATATTTATAGACTCAAATATGTGAAAATGTTATTTAATTTTATTTTATATACAATATAGTTTTATTAAAACACAACTACATGATCATTTTGATATAATTACAGCTTCGTTGTACAATATACACTCAAATAAATGTTATTCAATTTCATTTTATATACACTGCAGTTTCATTTCACCACAACTACAGTATCATTTTGATATAACTGCAGTTTCATTTGATAATATAAAAAATTAAAAATAATACGTGAGGCAGTGTCAATTTAGATGTACTGTAGTGTCACTGGTGTTTAATACACAAAATACGCGGACTCGGTTAACGATAACGGCGAACCGTTTATTTACTTAAAGAAACGACGCCGTTTTTTATCAGGGTGCATGTACACCGCGGCCTACGATATAACGACCGCAAGTTTAGGCCTAAAATTTCTATAGCATGCTCAGTTCATAATTTCCTTACCCCAAATTTCATTCCATTCCCTTTGAGCTTTCTTTCATACTTTTATTTTCTCTATAAATTCGATCAGTTCCTTCAATTCCCAACACATGCACACTAAGTAGCCTCTTCTTCAATCTTTTCCTCTGTCTATGGCCAACTCTACAATCAATCTTCAACCTTCCAAAATTTAAGGATCTCTATTGTCATTCTCTCAGAAAATTATGTCTCCTCTATCAGGTGCCTTGACGAACTGCTTCAAATCCTCGAGTCTAGGGAGAAGGGAAAACAGTTAGTCATCTATTCTATTTTTTATTACATGACCTTTGCAAAGCACGAAGAACAGTTTTGGGCGCGCCCAAGAAGGAGGAGAGGAGAACACTAAAGTTGCAAATATGTCGATCAGGATGGGATTTGCAAGGACTCGCCATTGGGTATTGCTTTCTCCTTGTTCTGTTTGAATATTATAAAAAAGCTTACATGCATATAGACTACAGTCTAAACCTAAGTTCAGGCCTTAGATTTCTATAGCAGGCTCAGGTCTATTTTTTTAAAGTTTGGCCTTAATTTGTCGATCCGACCTTTTTTCATCCCTATATGTACACCTAATTAATACAAGAAAACGTACACACCATGTTATCATATCAAGAAAATACATAATACGGATCTACAAAAATTTAGGGGTGTAAACGAGCTGAGCCGAGCTCGAGCCTGCAATAGAAGCTCGGCTCGAGCTCGAGAGCTCGAGTTTGATCGAGCTCAAGAACTGATGCTCGAGCTCGAGCACGAGCTCGATCGAGCTCAAGAACTGATACTCGAGTTCGAGCTCATTAATTTTCGAGCTCAAGCTCGAACTCGATCTTGAACATGAGTTCGAACTTGATCTTGAACTTTTTAATTGTTATTTTTATATATTATAATTATAATTATATTATGTTATATCATATATTATATGACTTGCGAACGGCACGACGAGCTATGGGCTTAGAATATCTAGGCTCGGATCGAGCTCGATTATCAAACGAACTACTCGAGCTCGAGCCGAGCTTTGACCGAGCCGCTCATGAGTGGCTCAGCTCATTTACACCCCTATACAAAATCACGAACCTATCGCATTGAATGGGCTCAATCCTATATCCTTGCAGCCTATAAACTATTGGGCTTTGATCTTGCTTAGAAAAATAGAATCTACTACCCAAGACACATTGATAGATGTAAACCTAAGGCATGCAGCAGCGCCAATATATATAATTCAGTGCACCCTAAAAAAGATACTTTGCAGCCGCCTCTCCTCTCAATTCAATACACCCTAGCGGATACATACATCATATGGATCGAACATGGAAGTAGTTCATCATCACATACCAATTGAGATCATTCGCCAGATTCTTTTGAACTTGGAGGTAAAAGCTGTGATCCAATGCGAGTGCGTATGCAAAGAATGGCGTTCCACCATACAAGACCCCGATTTCAAGCTCTCCTACCGCGGATGGAAGCGAGTAATGGTGGTGCCACACGGCAGCAGAACCTCCTTAGCCGTAACATCCATAACCAACACTACTACTCCCCTCATCGAAACCCTATTCCGGCAGGTCATTGACACCACTACTACTACTACGCTTCCCCCCCTAGATCTTTGGTGGTCTGGTGTTTGGTGTTCTTGCAACGGGCTCGTGCTTTTCTCTGTGGGGAAACATATTCTGTTGAGGAATCCCTCCACTCGCTGCTGCACAAAAGTGATTGAGCTTCCACATTTCAAAAGCACGTACCTTTGTGAAGATGTCCTCTCGGGGCTATGTTATGTCTCGTCGACTGGAGATTACAAGGCTGTTCTCTTAATCCGCCCTCATAACACTGTTATGGTTGCCAGCCTCAAGAACAAAGAGTGGCGAGAAGTGACATTTCCCTACCACGCGTACTTGGCTAGAGACGGGGTTAACTTTCGCAACACACTCCATTGGAGGGTAATTCCTTCTCGGATGGTTTCCTCATGGAGATGCAAAACCATCGTTTATTTTGATGCGGAGAGTGATGAATTCAAAGAGCTGCCCACCCCCGAATTGGAACAAAGGAGTAATATAATTGTTGGATTGGGAATCATTGACAATTGTCTCTCCATGGCTCGCCTATGGAAAGCAACAAATACTATAGAAGTGTTGGTTATGAAGAAATATGGAGTGAAGAGATCTTGGGTCAATAAATTTGTCATCTCATTATCTGCCCCGGAATTCTTCAATTTGGATCATTGTAATATCACATTATACTCTTTGAAATGCAATACCAAAGTGCTGATATGGAGCTATTGTTATTTCTGGAAAGTAGTAGTTTATGATTTGAAGAGTAACACACTCAATTATCTCTTGCGAGATGTAGTTATGGGGGCTCTATTACTCTATGTTCCTATGTGCAGAGTTTTGTTTCGCCATATGAATTTATTTGGAGAGATGATGATGATGTGGAGAAATATTATGTTATGTTGAGGTTTATTTTGGAAAGGTTTAATATTTAATTTGAACAAATTTGTTGGAAATGTTTAACATTTTTTGATAAAATATTATTTTTAAGTTTATTTTTGTTAGTAATATTTTGAATTCAAACCAGCATTATTTGTGCTTACAACACCTACCCGCCGAGAGCATGCACTAAGTAACTCACAGACTATTACCCAATCTCCTGGCTTCAGTACCTGACTATTACCCAACCTAATCTCCTGGCTTCAGTACCTGACTATTACCCAACCTATCTCCTGACTATTACCCAACCTATCTCTATTCAATCTCCCGGAAGCAGCGCACGGTGGCACACTCCTCACACTCCTCTACTGAAGGCTGCATACTTGTCACCCAACCTATCTCCTGACTATTACCCATGTCACCCAACCTATCTCCTGACTATTACCCAACCTATCTCCTGGAAGCAGTACCTGACTATTACCCAACCTGACCTCTCTTACGACTCCAATCTCCTGGCTTCAGTACCTGACTATTACCCAACCTATCTCCTGACTATTACCCAACCTATCTCTATTATCTCCTGGAAGCAGCGCACGGTGGCACGCTCCTCTACTGAAGGCTGCATACTTGTCACCCAACCTATCTCCTGACTATTACCCAACCTATCTCCTGGAAGCAGCGCACGGTGGCACGCTCCTCTACTGAAGGCTGCATACTGGTCAGCCTTCCAATTTGTGGTGTGATAACCTAGGGGCTACATATATGTGTGCAAATCCAATAAGCCCTCTACTGAAGGCTGCATACTGGTCAGCCTTCCAATTTGTGGTGTGATAACCTAGGGGCTACATATATGTGTGCAAATCCAATCAGCCTTCCAATCTGTGTCAATCTGTGGTGTGATAACCTAGGGGCTACATATCTGTGTGCAAATCCAATTTTCCATGCTTGAACAAAACATGTTGAGATCGACTATCATTTTGTTCGGGACAAGGTTGCTTCGGGGGGCTTTGTGGTCAATTTTGTTTCGACCAAAGATCAGCTTGCGGATGTCTTTACCAAACCGTTGCCGGGCAGATGTCTTTACCAAACCGTTGCTGGGGCCCAGATTTGCTGCTCTTCGGGACAAGCTCAATGTTGTGCTTCATCAATCTTGTGCTTGAGGGGGTGTGTGTTAGTATTATTATTGTTATTCATATTATTATTCTTTATACTATAGTCTATAAACTTGTGGTGTTAGAATAAGTCTGAGTCTCTTAACCTATTAGTCAAGAGTGTTTAGTGGTTTAGTTTGATATACTATCTTGTAACCTGTTTAGTTGTAACTGATTCAATCTATCTCACTCATCACAAAAACATAATTACATTATATATACTCCATAAAATCGATCAAAATATTAGAAAATAAGTTGTGTTCCATATAAATGATAAACCTATGTGGCTGCTTACGGGTAGTGGAAACTATGACCAAAGATCAAAGGGGCAATAAGGCTGCAATAAAGCAGATAAAATCAATGTCATTGCTAGGCTCGTGCATCTTTTTTTTTTTGAATTTATTTTACAGATTTGCTAATAATTTTAATAGCACTATTCATCACACATTAAGATTTTAAAACAGAAAAAGATCTTATATCCAAATTACGAAGCATTCTGTATGATACTTCCTTGCATTCCTCCTCTTGAATGAACCTTTGCTAAATCCCGAATCAACATGAATGGTTTGAGTGAGCAGTTCAATTCCATCCATCTAACAGTACTTTAGGTAACAATCACATTTAAGTGGTATGTTGCAGTTTACATCAATTCTTTCAACTAAGTTGCTTTCACATTCAAAAAAACAAACTAAAAAGCAGTGAGCTTAGGCTTAGGCTTTCAAGTTACATTAAACAACAAAATAAATTTATATAAGATCCGAGTTATAAATATAATGATGAAGTCTGACTGTTTATCAACAAATCAACACACTAATTAATTAGCTTCTAGCAACTCTAAACTTAATATTCATTAGGACACATGTATATTAATTAATCATGTGGCTTGGACAAACAAGACTCTCAACATTGAAAAACATACTATCAATAATGTAACTTCGACCTTTAGGTTTTAGGTTGTCCATCAGCACTTCCTTCAGTTTGTCTTTTTTCCAATTATAAACATATGCGTGACTGTCTTTTTTCCGATTATAAACATATGCGTGACGTCCAAGCCAACCCAAACCCTTACGCAAGAATAATACTTTTGCATTATTTTTCTGTGAATAGAATGTAAAGCCATATTTCTCATAAGGATTTGCAGGTTCATGCATTTGGATAGCAAACGCAGTAATCCATGATTCTTGTGTGCCATATTCCTTCATAATCAATACTTGCATTATCATTTCGGCTCTGGGTTCTTCCTCTTGTTTGTGAATAACGCATGCCATGCATAAACAATCATCTATAACCCCCAACCCAACTATCGAAGAGTTTTCTCTCAATTTGGGAGTTGGCAAGATTCTGAATTCATCACGCACAGAATCAAAATATACTATCCCATTCCGATCACCTCCCAACACGTGATCCTCCCAATCTCTTACCAACCAGTGAAATGTATTGCGAAAGTCAAGATTGACCTTGCCAGACTTCAATTTATAAGGGAAGTGCACTGATTGCCACTCTTTGTGATTGAGGTTTGCAGAGATGACAAATGGAAATACAGAATTAGGAACCACGTTGGGCTTAACTAATAGAACGACGTTGTAATCTCTAGTGGAGGAGTCGTAGCATAGCCCTCCAAGATAACACAGGTATCCTTTAAACTCCGGATATGGAGACTCGAGCACTTTCGTCGAACATCTGGTGGATGGGTTCCACAACCAATAATCTCTTCCAGATTCTAGAAGCACAAACCCGTTGCAAGCACACAAAGCTGTAACCCTCCATTCGTCTCTCTCTAATGGAGAGGACTCTCCGAACGGCCATTTATGCCTTTTAAGACGAAGATGATGTCTTGTGGATCTAACTACGAGTCGTCTTGATATCTGGGAATCCCGGCGTTTGGATTTTCGCGAGACGATTATCAATCGTCGTTGTCCACCATACAAGAGCTTGAAATCTGAGTCCTCTATCATCGAACGCCAATGTTTACATACGCACTGGCATCGGATCACAGACTTCACCGGCAACTGCAAAAGTATAAGTCGAATGATTTCATTAGGTATGTTTGAGAATGGAGTTGAAGCTTCCATGTCGTGCGATCGAATAAAAAGCTGAAGATCGGTCGAGGAAGAGGCTTATTGGAATTAGGGTTTAGTTTGTGAGATTCCCTCCTTTTATAGGGCCACGGAGTATAATTTTCACCACTAGTTCTAGGTAAAATATAAATAAAATAGGATTAATATTTGATGCACTATCAACATATATATGTTATACAATATACACCGCGGTGAAGGAGAATATGCCACATCATTAAAAAAACATAATCAATATTAATTAAGTCTTTTTTTTTACAAAATATTAAAAACTTGTATTTTATAAGGAGGGGAATGGGGTGGCCTGGTGATAATTCAATTGGTTACTGAGTTATAAGTGTTTTTGAACCATATATTACCACACCTTTATGAGGCGAATGGGGTGATCTGGTGATAATTTTCAATTGGTTACTGAGTTCTAAGTGTTTTCAAATCATATCTTACCAGACCAAGGTGTGGGATCATGAGGCGAATGGGGTGGCCTGGTGATAACTGAGTTATAAGTGTTCTTGAACCATATCTTACCGGACCAAGGTGTGGGATCATGAGGCGAATGGGGTGGTCTGGTGATAATTTTCAATTGGTTACTGAGTTCTAAGTGCCAAACCAAGGCGTGGGATCATGAGGCGAATGGGGTGGCCTGGTGATAATTCAATTGGTTACTGAGTTATAAGTGTTCTTGAACCATATCTTACCGGACCAAGGTGTGGGCTCATGAGGCGAATGGGATAATCTGGTGATAATTTTCAATTGGTTACTGAGTTCTAAGTGTTTTCAAATCATATCTTACCCGACCAAGGTGTGGGATCATGAGGCGAATGGGGTGGCCGGGTGATAATTCAATTGGTTACTGAGTTATAAGTGTTTTCAGACCATATCTTACCGGAACAAGCAATGACTATTATTATCTTTCACATCACAACCATTAATTCTTAGATAATAATATAATAATATATTCATCACTTGACAATTTCAGGGTTACAAATTCTTCCCAACAAGAAGAGTGGACAACTTAAACTGATTTAGATTGCATCCCTAAAGTTGACACACATTATCTCATGATGATTTCTATTAAATTTTCATGGCAGACTTCAATAAAATAATAAAATAATTTTTCAAAAGACATAATAATGTTGAAGCTCAAAGTATTATTAATAAAAATAAAAATAAACTTAATTAAAATAAAATTTGCCAAACACATTTTGCCATAATGCCATGATTCTCCAATATGGAAGGTCATGAAATCATACTAAGCTACAATGTAATAGAGTCAGTAATATAGGCAAAAATTAAAATAAAAATTTATCACATATTAAACCTTTCCAAAATAAAGCTCAACAAAGTAGCATCATTCTGGGCTGGGGGGTTGTGCTGATCATCATTACCTCTCCAAATAAATTCATGTGGAGAAACAATACTCTGAACATAGGAACATATACTAACAAGGCCCCCATAAGGAACTGATTCTGTAAGAAAGGCTTGAGTGTGTTATTCTTCAAATCATAAACTAATATTTTCCACGAATTAAAGGACGAGCTGCTGCATATGAGGACTTTGGCATTGCATTTGGAAGAGTATAATGTGATGTTTCTATAATTACAACTGAATTTTTCACATTCGAAATTGGTGGCAGAGATGTTAAACTTAGTGACCCATGATTTCTCCACTCCATATTCCTTCATAACCAACACTTGTATCAATCCTCTAATTTCTTTCCTCTCAATAGCCACGCAGAGACAGTCGTCAATGATTCCCATTCCATGAATTACACTACATTCTCCTCTGGGGATGGGGATGGGCAGCTCTTTGAATTCATCGCTCCCCGGGTCCCGGGTCAAAATAAACGATCTTGTTCCAACCCCATGTTGTAAATCTCCGTTCCCAAGAATCACTCACCCTCCAATACAGTGTGTTGTGAAAGTTAACCCCGCCGTCTCTAATGGACTCTTTGTTGTAAGGAAATAACACTTTCCGCCACACTTTGTTCTTGAGGCTGGCAACAAAAACACTAGTTGTATCGTAGAGGAGAAACAGAACGACCTTGTTATCCCCGGTGGATGGGACATAGCATAGCCCCGTGACCATATAATGCCTCGAATTGTGCAAGAGTTGAAGTTCAAGCACTTTTGTGCAGCAGCGAGTGGAGGGATTCCACAACAGAATATGTTTTCTCACCGAGAAAAGCACACGAGCCCGTTGCAAGAACAACAAACACCAGACCAAAGATTAGACCTAGTATTGTCATGGCAGAATAGCGTTTCAAAGCGGGGAGTTGTAGTGTTGGTTATGGATGTTAATGCTAAGCATCTTAGCCTGCTGTGTACCACCACAATTACTCGCTCCGGTCCACGGTAGGAGAGCTTGAAATGGGGGTCTTGTATAATGGAACGCCATTCTTTGCATACACATTCACATCGGATCACAGCTTTTACCTCCAACTTCCAAAGAATCTGGCGAATGATCTCAATTGGTATGTGATGATGAACTACTTCCATGTATGTATGTTACGCTAAGGTGATTTGAATTGAGAGGAGAGGCGGCCATATCTTTTTTAGGGTGAATTATATATTGGCTCTGCAGCTTTAGGTTTAATTTACATCACTATGTCTTTAAGCAAGATCAAGCCCAATAGATTATAGTTCAATCATTATTGTGTGGACACGGTTCCACAACATAATTTGCAGTCGTTATATCGTGGACGGACCGCGGTGTGATGTATGTGCATCGCGGTACCGAGCGCGCATTTTGTGTATGTTAATTACCAACGGACACCAATACTGCCTCACGTATTATTTTTATAGCGAAAATTGTAATTTATGCCTCTCACAAATATGCCAATTATCAATGTTACCCTTGAATTATCAGTGGTGTAAATGTTGCCCCTCAATTTTTAAAATGTGACATATATTGCCCCTCCCCTGAATTATTAGTGATGTAAATGTGGTTACCCGTCGTCTTTCTTGTTCGAAGACCACGTTTTTTTCCTCAATTTTTCTTTCTTCCCTTGTTCTCCTTTTGTCGACAACAATTTTTCTCCTTCTTCATATTAGGGGAGGGGCAATATATGTCACATTTTGAAAGTTGAGGGGCTACATTTACACCACTGATAATTCAAGGATGACATTGATAATTGACATATTTGTGAGGGGCATAAATTATAATTTTCTCTATTTTTATATTATCAAATGAAACTGCAATTATATCGAAATGATACTGTAGTTGTGGTGAAATGAAACTGCAGTGTATATAAAATGAAAATGAATAACATTTCACATATTTGAGTGTATATTGTACAATGATGTTGTAATTATATCAAAATGATCATGTAGTTGTGTTTTAACAAAACTATAGTGTATATAAAATAAAATTAAATAACATTTTCACATATTTGAGTATATAAATATCGAATGAAAATGTAGTTATATCGTAATGAAACTGTAGTTGTGTTGAACCGAAACTGTAGTATATACAAAATGAAACTGAATAACATAGTTACTTTTTGCGAAAGGGTGCGGAACAGCGGGAAACAGATGCTGTTTCTTTTCATTAAACAAAACGACGTCTTTTTGATGCACCGATATAATTTGCCCATAATTTGCCACTTAATACGTATTATGTACATACGTGTAAATTTTTATTTTTTATTTTTTAAATGCAATATAATAGAAAAGTAAGACACTAAATTTGCTTAAATCAAATAATAGGCTCTCCAAATAGTTTCAACGGAATGTTCATTGGGACAACAATCCATTGTGGCCGGGGCAAGCATGACTCTCAACATAGAAAGAAACACATACTAAAAATGTATAGTATTTAGGACCTGAGGTTAGGAAGTCCATCAAATCTAGCTCCAGTTTATTATTTTTCCAATCATAAATATATATTCGCCCGCCAGAGCAACTCACATTAGGCGGCAAGAATAATACTTTTTGTGCATTTTTTTTTTATTTTTTATTTTTGGAATAGAATGTTAAGTGATAACTCCCAAGGAGACACTGATTTCAATTGTAATAATACACATAAGTTATAAGTACAACAAAATGAATCAACACAAACTTAAACTTCTTGATAGCATTTTGAACTTTTTTTTTAAAAAAAGGAGATTTTATTTTCAGAGAAGAGAACCATTTGAAAGCAATAGAAAGAACTCCAAATTCACTGTCAAACACATACACAGCTGCTAAGAGCCTAAGAAACACCTACCTTGAATTTGGACAACTCTTTATTTCTAGACTGTTTATATTCTGGGCAAGGTGTTGCTGCTGCGATTATCATTATCATAATCTTCAAATCAATTTCATTGTGGCGGGTCGGGGCACGCAAGACTCTCAACATAGAAACACATACTAATAAATCCCCGGAGAATAGGAAGTCCATCAGATCTGTTTTCAGTTCATCTTTTTTCCGATCATAAACATATACAACCTCCCCACACCAACCCACAGTATGCAGGAATAATACTTCGTGTGCATTCTTATATTGAGAATAGAATGTTAAGCCATACCACCCATAAGTATCTCCAAATTCAGGATTTTGGATAGCAAATGCAATCATCCATGATTCTTGTCTACCATATTCCTTCATAATCCATATTGTTTTGGTTTTTGGTTCCACTACTTTATCTTCCCCAAACATGCATGCCGCCATGCATAAGCAGTCATCTATAACCCCCAACCCGAATATCGAGAAGTCAATTTATCTCCGTCCAGAGGTGGTTAATGGCAAGATTTTGAATTCATCAAGCACAGGATCAAAATATATGATTCTATTCTTATCCCACTCGTAATTCTTATACCAATCCCAATCTTTCATGTCACTTGCCCACCAGTGAAATGTATTGTGAAACTCAACCCCGCCCTCAACACCGCCCCTAACAGATTCCATGTTACAAGGGAACTGCACTGGTCGCCACTCTTTGTGGTTCAAGCTGGCTGAGATGAGAAATGGATAGCCATAATCTTCCCAACTATCCAGTCCTATGGGACGAAGTGATAGGACAACCTTGTAATCTCTAGTGGAGGAGTCGTAACATAGCCCTCCAAACATAATTGGGTTAGACTCCTCCGAATATGGACACTCGAGAACTTTCGTCGAACACTTGGTGGACGGATTCCACAACCAAATATCAATTTTAGCCACCAGAAGAAGCACAAACCCGTTGCAAGAACACAAAACTTCAAGATTGTCTTCGAAGCTTGCACGAATCACTGGATACGCCTGTCCGAACGGCCATTTATGCCTTCGAAGACGAAGATCATGGCTTGTAGATCTAACTGAGAATCTGGAAACCGACCTCAATGGACGACCTCGATCCTTGCTTGTGGATTCGGTGGAGAGGAAGATCACTCGTCGCTGTCCACGATATGAGAACTTGAAATCCGAGTCGTCTATCAACGAACGCCATTGTTTACATACGCACTTGCATCGTATCACAGACTTCACTGGCAACTTCAAAAGTATAAATCGAATGATCTCATGAGGTATGCTTGACAATGAAGCTGAAGCTTCCATCTCGTGCGAATAAGAAGCTGAAGAGCACAGAGGCGGCGTATTGGAGGTAGGCTTTGTGAGGCTCTTTTTATCACAAGACCTAAAAATTAAATAAGATCGCGGTTTTTTTTTTTTTTTTTTTTTTTTTTTTTTTTTTTTTTTTTTTAAATTTTTAAACTAGTATTTGCGCTCGTGCGTTGCACGGAATGAATTTGTTATAATATTTTAAAAATATTTAAATCAATATACAATTGTATAAATTATAACATCGAATATTATATAATATAATTGAAGAATTGAGTTGCATCGATTATGTTTTTGTTGGTCCCGGTAGGGTCGAAAGAGAGTCTAAAGGGGGTGAATAGACTCTGATGGATTTTTCAAAGTTACTCCTTTCAGAGTGATGCACATCGGAATAAATGTTTTGACTTAATTATACTTTGCACACTTTACTTAATTATACTTTGCACACTTTTGTTAAGAGCTCTTAATGTTTGGTCGATATGATATGCAATGCACGAAAGGTAAATAACAGTATTTAAAGAGATATGGAGAGATGGGTTTTTATAGTGGTTCGCCCGTTAACAAAGCCTACTCCACTTTTCTTTCACAACTCGTGAAAGGGTTTGCACTATCACTCCTAGGCTGACCACTTGATAGGTTTTTCAACTCCTCGAGTTTACTCCGCCTCTATCAACTTCTTCCTCAGAGTTGAAGAATTGAGTGTTGGAAGGATGATGTTGTGTTTCTCCAACAGGTTAAGCCTGGGATGAATTTTCACATGAAAAGTTACAAGACTTCTTCAACTTTTGTAAAGTGTGGATGATGGATGACCACTCCATTTAATTAAAAGAAAAAAAAAATCTTCATTTTTCAACCACGGACCATCCAAATTTATCCACACTTTTCAAAGAGAGGGTGGTTATTTTATTAAAATCATAATTGTACACTTTTGTTATAAAAAAAAAAAAAAATAAACAAAGCAAAACTGGATCTAAATAGAACTGTATACAATAATGTAACTAAGAATTAACTTAAACAATTGAAAAAATATAGGCAGCAGGGGCGGACCTACAGTGGGGGCAGCTGCCCCCACTCACCCCACCCCACCCCATATATAACCCTTGTATGTATATATGTATGTATATATAGTACAAGGTTTAAGTATAAATAGATTAAAACAGCTAATGTTAATGAAAGTGGACTTAGCCCAGATGGTAGAACATGCGTGTATGCTTGAGAAGGTCAGGTGTTTGACTTTTGCTAATGGCGTGAAAGTATATATTTTGGCAATTTGAATATAGTGGCTTCAACATTGATAATAAAATTATTTTATCAAATTAATTATGTTTCATATTTTGGCAATTTGAATATAGTGGCTTCAACATTGATAATAAAATGTGTAATTTATAATGTGTTTTCTATTAGAATTATTTTATCAAATTAATTATGTTTCATATTTTGTTATACATATTTTTTTCGCTCATATCTAACAATATTTATGATTTTTTTTTTTTTTGAAAATAACAATATTTATGATTAATTTCTTAACTATTTCATCTGTTTTAAGTTATCCCTTTTGTTCTAATGTTTCGCCCTCACTGAACAAAATTTCTGGGTCCACCACTGATAGGCAGTATCAACATACTAAACTATTACTACTACTTCTGTAATAACTCCAAACAATTAAATAGTTTGAAGATTGGGACAATTACATATGTCACGGGCCTTTATTTCTACACTTTCATCTTGGCCAGTTGATATTCTGCACACTCTCATCATCATCATCACCTCTCCAAATCCATTGTGGCCGGTCAGGGCACGCAAGACTCTCAACATAGAAACACATACTATATACAGAGGTTAGGAAGTCCAACAGATCTATCTTAAATTCGTCTTTTTTCCGATCATAAACATATATAATCCGCCCAGAAAAACAGTCAGTATACAAGAATAATACTTCTTGTGCATTCTTATTTTGAGAATAGAATGTGAAGCCATACATCCACTAAATGAGAGCAAATGCAGTCATCCATGATTCTTGTCTCCCATACTCCTTCATAATCCATACGGTTAAGGTTTTGGGTTTCTCTTTATCCATGCATGGCGCCATGCATAAACAATCATCTATAACCCCTAATCCAAATATCGAAAAGTTTTCTCTCAGTTCGGAGGTGGGCAAGGGCAAGATTCTGAATTTATCACCCGCAGGATCAAAATATATGATCCTATTCTTACCCGACAAGAAATCTCTATCCCAATTCCAATCTTTGGTGTCACTTATCCACCACTGAAATGTATTGCGAAACACAAGGCCACCAGAGCCGCCTTTAACAGAATCCAAGTTACAAGGGAACGGGGTGTCAAAGTGGGCCGAAGCTCGCGCGCCCCAACCCCGCGATGGGGCGGGTTAGGGCCGCAAGAAATTAGGCTCGCGAAAATGCGGGCCTAACGGACATGGCCTGCGGAGGGCCAGAGCCCGCGCGAGTTGAGCACTAAATAAAAAATATATATAATATCTTTTAAAAAAAAAACATATATATAATATCTTAATTCTTAGGCAGTGTGTAGATCTGACTATCTAAGAGTATGCAGAATGGGAGAAATCCAATAATTCAATAATCCTTCGCCAATTCTTAATTCAATAATTCCTAGAGTACGTAGTTCTTCAGTTCTCCCGTCTCCATCCGCCTCCAACTCTATCAAACAATTACTAAAACTAAATATCAATTCATACATATTTATGAATTCCAAGTCCAGCAAACATATATATATATATAGGAAATAGGAAGGCCTTGTAATCTCTAGTGCAGGAGCCGTCCTCCAAGTCCAGCAAACATATATATATATATATATATATATATATATATAGGAAATATATATAGGAAATAGGAAGGCCTTGTAATCTCTAGTGCAGGAGCCGTCCTCTCTAGTGCAGTCAGTGCAGGAGTCGTAGGACGGCCTTGTAAGTACAGGAGAACTTCTCCTTGTATGGCAACTCGAGCACTTTCGTCAAACACCTGGTGGTCGAGTTCCACAACCAAATATCTCTCTCAGCACTTTCCTTTGAATTGAATTATTTCCATTTTCGAGGTTTGGGTTTTGTTTCAGTGATGGGATTTTCTTTTGTTTTTGAAAGGATGTCTAAGTTATTTGGAGGGAGAAGTCCATTCGATGACCCTTTCTTCACTGAACCATTCGGCGGGAACAAAATGGTTCAGCACTTCTCTTGGATTTCCTTTTTTTTTTTTTTTTTTTTTTTTTATAATTGGTCAGATTATAAGCTAGACTTCACTTTAAGGTTTAACAACAAATTGTACACAGAATTGGTTTAACAACAAATTGTACAAAAAGTTTAATTCAAACACATTAATGACAGGAATGGAACTTTAAATGAGTCTTGATTGGAGTAAAAGCATTCACGATCTAGAAAATTACAAATTTTAAATGTAAAAAAATCCCATAAAGCCTCAAACCCAATAAAAAAAGTTAAGCGCCTTGATTTTGGACAAGGTGTTGGTGCTGCGCTTATCATTATCATCACTTCTCCAAATCAATCCATTGTGGCCGGTGGAGACACGCAAGACTCTCAACATAGAAACACTTACTAATTTTACGATCTGATCCGGTTATGAAGTCCATCCGATCTGCCCTCAGTTCATCTTTTTTCCAATCATAAACATATATAACCCGCTCATGACAATTCCCAATATGCAGGAATAATACTTCCTGTGCATTTTTATTTTGAGAATAGAATGTGAAGCCAAACCTCCAATAAATATCTCCAAATTCGGGCATTTGGAGAGCAAATGCAATCATCCATGATTCTGGTCTGCCATATTCCTTCATAATCCATACTGTTTTGGTTTTGGGTTCCTCTTTCTCATCCTGAACCACGCATGCCGCCATGCATATACAGTCATCTATGACCCCCAACCCAAATATCGAGAAGTTTTCTCTCAATTTGGAGGAGGGCAAGGGCAAGATTTTGAATTCATCACGCACAGGATCAAAATATATGATCCTATTCCTACCCGACAAGGAATTCATATAATGATTCCAATCTTTCATGTCACTTGCCCACCAGTGAAATGTATTGCGAAACTCAACACCACCTAGAATAGAATCTAACTTACAAGGGAAATGCACTGGTCACCACTCTTTGTGGTTGAGGCTGGCAAAGATTATAGAGTGGTTGAGTCTGGCAAAGATGACAAATGGATCGCCATAATCATGACCCAACGGTATTAAGTGGTGGCGAAGTAATAGGACGACCTTGTAATCTCTAGTGCAGGAGTTGTAGCACAGCCCTGATCTAATGATAACCTGGTCTAACTTTTCCGGATATGACAACTCGAGCACTTTCGTCGAACACTTGGTGGATGGGTTCCACAACCAAATATCTTTCTTAGCCACCCGAAGAAGCACAAATCCGTTGCAAGAACACAAAACATTAAGATCGTTTCCCGAGCTTGCACGAATGAATGGATACACATTTCCAAACGGCCGTTTATGCCTTCGAAGACGAAGATCATGGCTTGTAGATCTAACTAAGGATTTGGAAATCGGCCTCCATCGACGATCTCGATCCTTGCTTATGGATTCGGTGGAGAGGAAGATCACTCGTCCCTGTCCACGATACGAGAACTTGAAATCTGAGTCGTCTATCAATGAACGCCAATGTTTACATACGCACTGGCACCGGATCACAGACTTCACCGGCAACTGCAAAAGTATAAGTCGAATGATTTCATTAGGTATGTTTGAGAATGGAGTTGAAGCTTCCATGTCGTGCGATCGAATAAGAAGCTGAAGATCGATCGAGGAAGAGGCGTATCGGAATTAGGGTTTACTTTGTGAGATTGCCACCTTTTATATAGGGCCACGGAATAAAACTATCACCGTACCACTAGTTCTGGCCAAAATATAAATAAAATATGTGGCTTAACTTTTTATTTGAAAAAAAAAAAAATCATGGCATTTTATGGCAGGTATAAACACTGATCTCACTATTAAAAAAAAAAAAAAAAAAAAAAAAAAAAAAAAAAAAAAAAAAAAAAAAGAAGAAGAAGAAGCCACAATGTTACTTCGACGCTGGGTACTCCGCGGCGGCAACTACAACATCCTTCGGGGCAGTTTTGTTATCGGCCGAAGGATCGTTCTTGGCTGCAACGAATGGAAGCCTCCCCTATTCTATCAGTGCTCTCGCGGCGGAATCGTTAGCTTGCAAAGAAGTCCTCTCGTGGTTAAAAAACTGTGGAGTTACTTCGGTTGTTTTACGAACTGATAGCTTAGTTCTTCACCGCTACATTACTAGCTCTGTTGCTAAACCAAGATCATACATTGGCGTGGTGATTGATGAATGTTTACACCTTATGTCTTCTTTTACTTCTCGTTTGCTTTTAATTTCGAAACAGTTTAATTTGATTGCTCATACTTTAGCTGCTAGCTCTTTGTACTCGGACTCTCTCCTGCCGGAATTTGTTTCAGCTCTTTTGCCGTAATATACTCATGATATTTTTTCTTTTTAAAAAAATAGAATTCTCACTATTAATATTTTTTAAAAAAATACCAAAAATAAAATTTCACTCATGTCAGTATTAATATTAAAAAATGAAGAAAAAAGCCATAATGTTGAAAATAAAAAAAATCCAATTTTATAGGACAATGGGGTAAAATTTTTACCACAAAAACTAAAAATTAAATAAATTCTGTGGCTTAGTTTTTTAAAATTTAATCATAGCATTTTATGCCAGGATGTCAAATTAATTATTAATTATAGTTTTAATTCTTGTATTATAAGGTGTGTTTGGTTCATGGGTTTAGCTATCATGGGCAAATTATATTATGCACCGCGGTGCATAATCGATTATGCACCGCGCGTCTTTTTTTTTAAAATAAAAATAAACAACGTTTATTTCCACCGTTTCGCACCTTTTTGCAAAAAGTAACTCTGTTATTCAGTGTCATTTTGTATACACTGCAGTTTCAGTTCAACACAACTATAGTTTCATTTCGATATAACTATAGTTTCATTCGATATTTATAGACTCAAATATGTGAAAATGTTATTTAATTTTATTTTATATACACTATAGTTTCATTAAAACACAACTACATGATCATGTTGATATAATTACAGCTTCATTGTACAATATACACTCAAATATGTGAAATGTTATTCAGTTTCATTTTATATACACTGCAGTTTCATTTCACTATAACTACAGTATCATTTTGATATAACTGCAGTGTCGGTTTAGATATACTGTAGTGTCAATTGGTGTTTAATACACCAAACAAGCGGACTCCGTTAACTCTAACGGCGGGTCGTTTTTTTACTTAAATAAAATGACGTCGTTTTGACAATGTCGGTTTAAACACACTGTAGTGTCTGGCGCGCGGTGCATAATCGATTATGCACCGCGGTGCATAATATAACGACCCGCTATCATGAATGAGAATCAAAATTATTGTTATTGTTTGGTGACTGGTTTCTAAAACACTACTATGATATTTTTTTTTGAATGCCACTACTATGATATTTGATTACCCACTTAATTAAAAAACTCAATCCTTAATAAAATAAGGGTTTCATTCCATTATTTTCTCCACCTAATTGGTAATTTGATTTTAAGTTTGGATTAGTGCTTTTAGATTTTTGTTTTTTGTTTTTCTTTCATAGTGGTGTTTTGGATGTCTTTACATTAAAATAAATTGTCTTAATTTTTTATATTTATATTTTTAAAACTTTTATTCTCATTATAGGATCATACATAATCAAACAACAATATTATATTTGTAATCATTCCAATTCCACCATACTACCAAACATGCAAAATACTTTCACCAAAACTCATTACCATTACCAATTAAGTATTTGATTCTCATTCCGATTCTGATTCCCATGTGTGAACCAAACACACCCTTAGTGTTTGTGTTTAGGTTGAACTCTTTGTGGTGTGCGCATATAATAAGTGTAAAATTTAGTGTTAAGTCTAAAAAATAAATTAGCAATTTGCCTCAGTTTGGAGGAGAGTTCATAAAGTCAATGCTATAATCCATTGCAAATTATATCGTGCACCGCGCATCAAAATAACGTCGTTTTATTTAATGGAAAAGAAACGGAATCCGTAAAAAAATAACTCTGTTCTTTAGTTTCATTTTGTATACACTGCAGTTTCAGTTCAACACGACTACAGTTTCATTTCGATATAACTACAGTTTTATTCAATATTTATACACTCAAATATGTGAAAATGTTATTTAATTTTATTTTATATACACTATAGTTTCATTAAAACACAAATAAATGACCATTTCGATATAATTACAGCTTCATTGTACAATGTACACTCAAATATGTGAAATGTTATTCAGTTTCATTTTATATATACTGCAGTTTCATTTCACCACAACTACAGTATCATTTTGATATAACTGCAGTTTCATTTGATAGTATAAAAATAATACGTGAGGCAGTGTCGGTTTAAATAAACTGTAATGTCACTCCTTTAACACTGCACAGGATCGTTCTTGGCTGCAACGAATGGAAGCCTCCCCTATTCTATCAGTGCTCTCGCGGCGGAATCGTTAGCTTGCAAAGAAGTCCTCTCGTGGTTAAAAAACCGTGGAGTTACTTCGGTTGTTTTACGAACTGATAGCTTAGTTCTTCACCGCTACATTACTAGCTCTGTTGCTAAACCAAGATCATACGTTGGCGTGGTGATTGATGAATGTCTACACCTTATGTCTTCTTTTACTTCTTGTCGTTTGCTTCGTTTGCTTTTAATTTCGATTGCTCATACTTGAGCTTAGGCGGAGTTTGCAATGTAATTTTAGAAATTAATATCTATATGATAACAGTGGACAAATTTGTACAAAGTTTATGATAACAGCTGACAAATTTGTACAAGGTTTATAATGTTCATGAAAGTGACGACTCCATTTAATTATAAAAAAAAAAAAAAAAAAATCTTCATTTTTCAACTACGGACAATCCAAATTTATCCACAATTTTCAAAGAGAGGGTGGTTATTTTATTAAAATCATAATTGTACACTTTTTGTTAAAAACAAAACAGAAAAAAATAAACAAAGCAAAACTGGATCTAAATAGAACTATATATACAATAATGTAACTAAGAATTAACTTAAACAATCGAAAAAATATAGGCAGTATCAACATACTAAACTATTACTACTACTTCCGTAATAACTCCAAAAAATTAAATAGTTTGAAGATTGGGACAACTACACATGTCACGGGCCTTTATTTCTACACTTTCATCTTGGCCAGTTGATATTCTGCACACTCTCATCATCATCATCATCATCACCTCTCCAAATCCATTGTGGCCGGTCAGGGCACTCAAGACTCTCAACATAGAAACAAATACTAAATGTAGAGGGTAGGAAGTCCAGCAGATCTATCTTAAATTCGTCTTTTTCCCGATCATAAACATATATAATCCGCCCAAGAAAACCATCAGTATGCAGGAATAATACTTCTTGTGCATTCTTATTTTGGGAATAGAATGTGAAGCCATACATCCAATAAATATCTCCAAATGCCTGAGGCATTTGGAGAGCAAATGCAATCATCCATGATTCTTGTCTTCCATACTCCTTCATAATCCATACGGTTAAGGTTTTGGGTTCCTCTTTATCCATGCATGCCGCCATGCAAAAACAATCATCTATAACCCCCAACCCAAATATCGAGAAGTTTTCTCTCGGTTCAGAGGTGGGTAAGGGCAAGATTCTGAATTTATCACCCACAGGATCAAAATATATGATCCTATTCCTACCTGACAAGTAATCCCTATCCCAATCCCAATCTTTAGTGTCACTTGCCCACCAGTGAAATGTATTGCGAAACTCAAGGCCGCCAAAGCCGCCTCTAACAGAATCCAAGTTACAAGGGAACTGCACTGGTCGCCACTCTTTGTGGTTGAGGCTGGCAGAGATGAGAAATAGATGTCTGACAAATGGACCGCTAAAATCATGATTTGACTGTATTAAGTGGCGGTGAAGTAATAAGACAACCTTGTAATCTCTGGTGCAGGAGTCGTAGCATAGCCCTGCTGCAAAGATAACCGGGTCTAACTTCTCCGGATATGGCAACTCGAGCACTTTCGTCGAACACTTGGTGGATGGGTTCCACAACCAAATATCTTTGTTAGCCACCAGAAGAAGCACAAACCCATTGCAAGAACCCAAAACACTAAGATCCAAGCCTGTACGAATCAATGGAAACCCCTGTCCGAACGGCAATTTATGCCTTCGAAGACGAAGATCATGGCTTGTAGATCTAACAAAGAATCTGTAAATATTACACATCCATCGACGATTTCGATCCTTGCTTATGGATTCAAACGAGAAGAAGATCAATCGTCGCTGTCTACGATACGAGAACTTGAAATCCGAGTCGTCTATCAACGAACGCCACTGTTTACATACGCACTGGCATCGTATCACACACTTCACCGGCAACTGCAAAAGTATAATTCGAATGATCTCATGAGGCATGTTTGACAATGAAGGCGAAGCTTCCATGTCGTGCGATCGAATAAGAAGCTGAAGATCGATCGAGGAAGAGGCGTATTGGAATTAGGGTTTAGTTTGTGAGACTCCCTCCGTTTATAGGGCCACGGAATTTTATTATCACCGTAACACTAGTTCTGGCCAAAATATAAATAAGTAAAATATATGGCTTAACTATTTTATTACTTAATGGAAATAAGGTCCAAATTGGCCCCTGAACATAACGTGAAAGTGAAATTAGGTCCCTAAACGTAAAAGTGCAATTACCCCCCTCAACCCCTCAAATATGTGTAATTTGACCTGATAGCAGGTTAACATCCCATCTAGCAGGTTGCATGTGTGACGTGGAAAATAACTTGGCATTTTTTTTGAAAGATAACTTGGCATTTTTTTTTTTATTTCCTTTCATTTCCTTCTTTTGTCTTCTTCTTTACAAAACAACTAACTCTAGCAGATGTAATATTCCACCGTCGTCGATATCTTCTCTCCAATTTACAAGTAGGATAAATTTCATGAAAAAATATTCAATTTTACACAGTTATATTCAGTGAAAAAGGTAGACCAAAAACAATAAAAATTCATTTTATATAACTAATACAATGAAAAAGATGGACCAAAAACAGTAAATATTCCATTTATATAAGAAATATAAGAGTAAAGGAAGGAAAGGTAAATAGGAAATAAAAGGAAAAAAAAAAAAAAAAAAAAACCAAGTCAGCATACACATCAACATATAACCGGTTGAATGGAATGTTAACCTGTTATCAGGTCAAATTGTACATATTTGAGGTGTTGAGGGGGATGACTTAATTGCACTTTCACGTTTCGTTCAGGGGTCAATTTGGACCTTATTCCTTACTTAATTATTATATATCTAATTTCCTAAACATTTTTAATTATTAGATAAATATGTTTAGAAAATTAAGTAATAAATATGTTTAGAAAAGTAGATATATATTTGTTAACTAGAAATAAAACGATTTCCTAATAAAATACTGAGTTTTAAATATTTTGCAAAAATGAACCAGGTCAATATTGACTTTGATTTTTTTCCGATCATAAACACATAGTTGCAATCCATACCAACTCACATTATGCTGCAGAAATAATACTTCTTGTGCTTGAGAATAGAATGTTAAGCAATAACTCCCATAAATATATGCACCAGGCATTTGGATAGCAAATATAGTTATCCGTGATTCTTGTCGTCAACGGGTACTGGTATTTTTTATTTTTTTTTTAAATTTTCTAACTCTAACATTGTAGTACTGATACTCTAAGCTGGATGCTTTCACATGCAAAACCAAAAAAGCAGAGCATTATTGCGTGGTGGATTGTGTTCCACATAGTTGTGTGGACCACATACATTATACATTATTCTAATTCATAAAATACATTATTTTAATATATAAAGTACATTATTTTAACCCAAAAAATTTAGTATTCTAACTTATAATTTAGTTGTCCGCACAATAATTTTCCCACAAAGCAACTTAGGCTTCCAAGTTACTTTTTTTTTGTTTTTTTTGTTTTTTTTTTTGCCTAAACACTATATACACACACTTTTTGTATTAATCTGTAATATATGATTGCTCAACTTTGAACTTTCCTCCAAATAATAGTCATTTGAAAATGTTGGAATGGTCAAATATTGAAGTCCGAATGAAACCAAATCTGAGTCAAAACCAAACTTTGAAATGTGTGGATTCCTGTAGTACTCAAAAATAAACTTACCCAAATTCATCATTAAAAAAAAAAAAAAAAACAAAAACAATAACCAAAACAAAAAAAATTACTGAACTTACGTAAAAGCTCGAAATGGTTTCAGCAGAATGTTCATAGGGACAACAATCCATTGTGGCCGGGGCAAGCAAGACTCTCAACATAGAAACACATACTAGCAATGTCTCTACGATAAAAAGTCAAGGCCTGGAAGTCCAACAGAACTTCCTTCAGTTCATCTTTCTTCCGATCATAAATATATAAGCACTCCACACCCTTACCCTTACGCAGAAATAGTACTTCTTGTGCATTCTTTTTTAGAGAATAGAATGTTAATGTGAAGCCATAACTCCCATAAATATCTGGATGTTCAGGCATTTGGATAGAAAACGCAGTCATCCATGATTCTATTCTGTCATATTCCTTCATAATCAATACTTGTATCATTTTGATTTTGGCTTTAGGTTCTTCTACCTGGACAATGCATGCCATGCAAAAACAGTCGTCTATAACCCCCAACCCAACTATCGAGTTTTCTCTTCCGTGCCTCAGTTTGGGGGTGGGCAAGATTCTGAATTCATCATGGGCAGGATCAAAATATACGATCCTATTACCTGACGAGAAATCCCTATCCCGATATCTGATGTCACTTACCCACCAGTGAAACGTATTGCGAAAGTCAACACCGCCTCCAACACAAAGCAAGCTATAAGGGAACTCCACTGGTCGCCACTCTTTGCGATTGAGGCTGACAGAGATGACAAATGGATGGCTGCAAAGTAATAGGACGGCCTTGTAATCTCTAGTGCAGGGGTCGTAACATAACCCTGTAAGGATAACCCGTTTTGACTGTTCCGGATATGGCCACTCGAGGACTTTTGTCGAACACCTGGTGGACGGGTTCCACAACAAAATATCTCTCTCAGTCACCACAAGCACAAGCCCGTTGCAAGAACACAATCTAACACAGTCTTTGTCGCTTGCACGAATCCATGAATAAGCCCCTCCGAAAGGCCGTTTATGCCTTTGAAGACGAAGGTCATAGCCTGCGGATCTAACATCCACTCTGGAACTATTGCCATAATAATATCGGCTTTTGGGTTCCAGCAAGAAGAAGATCACTCGTCGTTGTCCAGGATAGGAGAGCTTGAAATCTGAGTCCTCTATCAACAAAAGCCACTGTTTACATACGCTTTGGCACCGAATCACAGACTTCACCGACAATTGTAAAAGTATAAGTCGAATGATTTCAATAGGTATGTTTGAAAATGGAGTTGAAGCTTCCATGTCGTGCGATCGAATAAGAAGCTGAAGATCGATCGAGGAAGAGGCTATTGGAATTAGGGTTTAGTTTGTGAGACTCCCTCCTTTTATATGGCCACGGAGTAAAATTTTCACCGCTAGTTCTAAGTGTATATAATATATAAATAAAAGGAAAAATTACACTTTTCGTTAAGTTGTATGGTAATTGTAGAATTCATTTCTAAATGTTGATTATGCTCATTTTTTGTTCCTAAGTTATTATTGATGTTGCATTTTTCGTCCCTGAGTTATAATGTAATTGTAGGATTCGTCCCCAAGTGTTGGTCATGTTCACTTTTCGTCCCTAAATTATCATTGACGTTGCACTTATTTTCCCTGAGTTATACTAAAATTGTAAATTTCGTCTCTAATCACTACTACATAAATGGTGTACTATATGTCTACGCCATTGGCGGATAATTGATATACACGGCGATTGTTTAACTAGTGTATAGTATATAGTTAACATACACGGCGGTTTCAAAACCGCCGTAGAAAGTGTATATTTATAACGGCAGTCACTTACACGCGTGACACTTCGAAAATCGCCGTGTATGTGTAAAAAAAAAAAACAGCCGGTGGTTATTTAAAGTGTATGACGTAAAAAAAATTAATTAAGGTATATACGGCAGTTATTTAAAAAACATCGTCTATTAAGTGACGTAGTATAACAAAATATATTAGACGGTGCTTATTTTAAAAACTCTCATCTATTAAGTGACGTAGTATACCATTTATGTAGTAGTAATTAGGGACAAAATTTGCAATTTTAGTATAACTCATGGACGAAAAGTGCAACGCCAACGATAATTTAGGAACGAAAAGTAAGCATGACCAACACTCAGTGACGAAGTCTACAATTACCTCGACCTATCACTTAGGGACAAAAAGTGCAATTTTCTCTAAATAAAATATGTAGCTTAATCTAAAGGATTAATATTTGATGCACGGTCGATGTATAGATGCTATACACAGCCACACAGGCGGTGATGGAGAAGGAGGAATGTAATTCCTCCATTCCGTAAGGTCAGTCATGGATATGATAGAGCTTTTCTAACCAGAATATAAGCTCTATTCGCAAACAGTTTAACAAATAAAAAGCTAACTTGACAAAGATTATTAGTCAGGTAAGTATGGCGTCTAATTCAATTAGAGCTACCTCAACTCCAAGTTCTTTCAACCGCAAACTGAAGGTTTATACCAGTTTAAAATATTGCTTATAAGAATCAACTTAAAATATAAACAACAAAGTAAATTTATATAAGATAAGAAAAAAATAGAGACATTTTGAGTTATATATTAATATAATGACGAACTGTGACTGTTTATCAATAAATATAAACACACTAATTAGCTTCTAGCAAGCAACTCCATATAGTTTCAGCTGAATATTCATTAGGCCACATATTAATTAATTAATCATGTGACAGCAGGGGCAAGCAAACAAGACTCTCAACATAGAGACACATATATACTATATCAAGTAAAAACATGCAGGCTTGTTTAGTGGCTAATCAGAAACTAAATACATTTGTTTAGTGGCTAATTAGAAACTAGTATTTCAACTCAATATTAATTAGAGACAAAAATTACATGTCTTATAATTTAAAAGCTAAATTATAATTTTTGCAAATACAAAGTACTAATATTATTACTCTCTTAAAACTATAAGAGTGTGTTCCACGTGTAGAAGCTGCAAAATTTTGTGGATTTCCTTTGAATTGAATTATTTCCATTTGTGAGGTTAGGGTTTTGTTTTAGTGATGGGATTTTGTTTTATTTTTGAAAGGATGTTTAAGTTATTTGGAGGGAAAAGTCCATTGGACATGAGGGCACACACAAATATATACACTACTATACATAAATGTATGTTCAAAGCCTCAAACCCTAACTAGAAAGCAAATTAAAATTGATATTCAAATTTCAAAGTATTGAAAACTGCATAGATCGAGTAAAAGCATTCCAGCATTTATCATTATCATAAGCATCACCTCTCCAAATCAATCCATTGTGGCCGGTGGGGGCACGCAAGACTCTCAACATAGAAACACATACTTAAAAAGATTTTGCTAGGATGAGATCTAGTTATGAAGTTTAACGAATCTGTCTTAAGTTTTTCTTTTTTCCGATCATAAACATATACAATCTGCCCACGCCTCATAGTACGTACGAATAATACTTCTTGTGCATTCATATTTTGAGAATAAAATGTGAAGCCATACCACCAATCAAGACATCCAAATTGAGGCATTTGGATAGCAAATGCAATCATCCATGATTCTTGTCTGCCATATTCCTTCATAATCCATACTGTTTTGGTTTTGGGTTCCTTGGGTTCGTCTTTCCCTTCATGAAAGATGCATGCCACCATGCATATACAGTCATCTATAACCCCCAACCCATATATCCAGAACCTTTCTCTCAATCCGGAAGCAGGCAAGGGCAAGATTCTGAATTCATCACCCACAGGATCAAAATATATGATCCTATTCCTACCCGTGAAGCAATCCCAGGAGGGAGGGTTGTATCGCATATCTTTTATGTCACTTGCCCACCAGTAAAATGTATCGCGAAACTCAATGCCGCCGCCTTTAATAACAGAATTCAAGAAACCAAGGAACTGCACCGGACGCCACTCTTTGTGGTTGAAGCTGGCAGACATGAGAAATGGAGGGTCAAATTCAATATCTCCTCCTATGCGACGAAGTGATAGGACAGCCTTGTAATCTCTAGTGCGGGAGTCGTAGCATAGCCCTGCTGCAAGGATAACCATTTTTAACTTCTCCGGATATGGCGGCAACTCGAGCACTTTCACCGAACACTTGGTGGACGGGTTCCACAACCAAATTTCTTTCGTAGCCACCCGAAGAAGCACAAATCCGTTGCAAGAACACAAAACACTAAGATCACTTCCCAAGGTAGCACGAGTGAATGGATACACCTGTCCAAACGGCAATTTATGCCTTCGAACACGAAGATCATGGCTTGCAGATCTAACTAAGAATCTGGAAATTGGCCTCCATCGACGATCTCGATCCAAGCTTTTGGGTTCGGTCGAGAGGAAGATCAGTCGTCGGTGCTGTCCACGATACGAGAACTTGAAATCTGAGTCGCCTATCAACAAACGCCACTGTTCACATACGCACTGGCACCGGATCACAGACTTCACTGGCAACTGGAAAAGTATAAGCTGAATGATTTCATTAGGTATGTGTGAGATAGGAGTTGAAGCTTCCATGTCGTGCGAAGGAATAAGAAGCTAAGATCGATCGAGGAAGAGGCGTATTAGAAGTAGGGATTAGTTTGTGAGACTCCCTCATTTTATAGGCCACGGAATAAAATTATCACCGTACCACTAGTTCTGGCCAAAATATAAATAAAATATGTGGCTTAATATTTTATGGCAGGTATAAATCACTCATCTCACTATCTCTATCCTTATCTCTATATTCCTATCTTTCTCTTTCTCTCTATATATATATATAAGCAAAATGATTAGGGGAAATTTTTTCCCTCCAATTATAAATTCATGTAATCAAATCAACGTCAACCTAATTATTAAATTAGTCAACATAACAGGTCTATATCATTAATTTATAAAATATTGCATATATTATATATTATATAACTACTCTTCTCTCCTCTATCTCTATATATATTATATCTCTTCTCTTCTCTCCTCTATCAAATTTTTTAATCAAATGAATGGCTCAGATTGATCAGATTTTAATTTTTCCTTAAGATTTCCTAATTTATCCTTAATGAATATGATTATCCGTTAACTTTTCCGTTAATTTCTGTTAGTTCACCGTTAACTTAGTCATTGATTTCAATATAAGAAAGGTCTTAGGTTTGAATCTCATCCCAATCAAAGTTGGCATAATTATTAATCTATTTTATTCTTATTAAATTATAAATAATAATTTAGTAGCTACAATAAAAAATAATACATACGCATTTCTTTAATTTAGAATTATGTGCCTACAATGTCTTTATTAAAAAAAAATTATTCATTATCAATAAATTAAATAAGAGAAATAATTTCATTAGTTATACTGTCTTTATTTTTCTCCAATATAAAAATTCTTTACATTCAAATTCATCAATTGATTATATTCGCTACATTGTCCCTACAATGTCTTTATTAAAAAAACAAATTATTCATTATCAATAAATTAATTAAGAGAAGTAATTTTATTAGTTATATTGTCTTTATTTTTTTTCAATGTAAAAATTCTTTACATTCAAATTCATCAATTGATTATATTCACTACATTGTTTATTATCTTTTTTGTGCACTATTTTTTTAATTAAATATCAAAGTTATAATACAAAATAATGCTATATATTTATTTACCAAGTATGTTATTAATACTATGAAAAAATTATATATATATATATATATATATATATATATATATATATATATATATATATATATATATATATAATTAATAAAGCCAATCATAGTAACTACTTGAGGGATTTGTTGACAAAAAGAGTATTCAAATCATACAACAAATTGAAGTGATAACTATCTCGCAATGTCCTTGTTTGGCAATCAGCAATTAGCGGTTAGCGTTAGCGGATTTGACCAGTGAATTATATCAACAGTTGGTAAAAAGATATTTGAAAAAATTAAATGTTTAGATTAACATGTAAAATGACCTAAGGGTATACATATATTTAATAATAATAATAATAATAATAATTGTTTTAAAAAAATAAAAAATAAAAAATAAAAAAATATAATGAAGCTAATCATATTAACTACTTGGGAGATTTATTGACAAAAAGAGTATTCAAATCACACAACAAATTGAAGTGGAAAACTACCTCGCAATGTCCTTGTTTGACAATCAACAGTTAACTCTTCAATATTAGTATATATTTAATATTTTATGCCCTAATTTTTATTTGCTCTCCCTTATGTCCCATATTTGGTTTCAACCATACCTATACAATTATTTTATTGACAATTATAATTAATCTTATATTATCTTGCATTTGTAAACTTAGAATTACCTATTTAAATACGCAAATTCAACATTCAATTATCTATGCATGAACAATTTCAATATAATCTTGTCTTGATATATTTTAAAGTACTTATTTAAAAAAAAAAAAAACATTGGGCATTATCTCAATCGCGCAATGCGCGTAAAAAACTAGTATATATATAAGCAAAATGATTAGGGGAAAATTTTTCCCTCCAATTATAAATTCATGTAATCAAATCAACGTCAACCTAATTATTAAATTAGTCAACATAACAGGTCTATATCATTAATTTATAAAATATTGCATATATTATATATTATATATTATATATTATATATTATATATTATATATTATATCTCTTCTCTTCTCTCCTCTATCTCTATATATATTATTATATTAAATAAAGATGAAAGAAAATCAAAGTGAATAATAAGTAAAAAAGATTTTAGTGGATAGAATAGTAATTCACAAAATTAATTTGAGTAATAATTGGTGATCCATAATTGAGAATTAACATTGCAAGGTGTTGATAGAGTGGCACAAGTACTACAAAAGCTCGCATCCACTATTGTGCACATGGAATTTGGCGAGGCCATGGCTAAGGTTGGAAAACAAGGGGCACCTGTCGAGGTGATGAAGAGAACAATATTTGCAGGAATATCTAATAACATGCTAAATGTCGCAAGCACAATGAAAATCCCTTCAAGCCCAACTGCCCCTCAGCTGGATGACATCTTCTACGGTAGGGAGACTTTCACAACGGCAGTGGACGCTTTGGTGGAGGAATTGGGAAGACACGAAGTCACATGGATATAGAAGACTTACTTATGTATGTTTAGGTTATAGATTTTGAAGTCAGTTCTAAAATATTGTGAATATGAAAACATTATCTTTTGAATACCAATAAAATGTTATTTATTGCATTTATCTCAAGATTGTGTGTTTGTAGTATATAACTTGTGAATGTGAAGCTGGAAATTTATGAACATATAGAGATATATAATTGTGAACATGAAATTTTAAAAATTGCAAACAAAACACAGAGGGGCACCTAAACCTAGTCATTAAACACTAAATTACTAAAATCTAAAATTGTACTGTGAACATGAAGTTCTAAAATTGTGAATATGTAGTTATAAAATCATGAACATTGAGGTTCAATATTGTGAACATTGAATGGAGTGCGATGGGGATTCACGGTTTCTTTCTCATTGCCTCTGCCATTTATGATCTAGCTTCTAAGTTCTCGGTTCTCCCTCAATAAAGATGTGCTGGTGAGGTGAGCATTTGTTGATATTTATACTGGATTAAAGGTCAAAAGTATGTGTAAAAAGTTTTCTTTTTTAAATTGAAAATAACATACAAACAATTTTTTAGTCAACTCAAAAGGCAACTTAGAAATAACATCCATAACCCATAATAATTACTCTATATGAAAAAGGCTGATTGTAAATACAATATTTGGAAAATGGAATATGAAAAACAACTCATTACCAAGATGGCATTAAATATGTAAAATCAGGAAAAACAACCCAAATTTCTTGGGCGGAAAAAATAGTCAAACTTTTATTTATCACGTTTGTGGCTTTTATATATAGAATAGAGATAGAGATTGAGATTGACCAGGCCAAGCCAGGCCAGATCCACATTTAATTAATTAATTTGTGATAAATCCTATGAAAAGTAAATTAAAGAATCCTAAAACAACGCAACACCACAACTAACCCTTAGCTTTAACTATAAATAAATCTTAATCATCAATCTTAAGAAATTGAAACACTACTATACATATACAATAAAACAACAAACAATAAACAATGTTGGCTGCCCAGAAGTTGGTTAACGTTCCCGTGTTTCTGGTGTGCATGTTTGTCCTCACAGTCGACGCTTCGCTTTCTTCGGTTTACAGGTTTTGCTTCGATCCATGCCTTGCCCCTTGCGTAGAGTCAGGAAAAACCCTCATCGTATGCAATAAAAAATGTGAAACCGAATGTACCGCCAAGGCGTATAAAGGTAAATATATATATCAGGGTTGTAAAAATTCCGCCTAGGCATCTAGTAATCGGTGCCTAGGCGCTAGGCGCCCCTAGGCCGTGGCGATTTTCCCCCTAGTCTCCCGCTCCCGCCTAGGAGACCGGCTGCCTAGGTGCCTAATTCAGCTGCCTAGCGCCTAACTCGTCCAAGTACGCCGAGTTAACTCGTCAATTTCTGTCGAGTTACCCGACTGACTCGACCTTGCTAATTTTTTTTCATTTATATGTCATGTATATATATATGTGTGTGTGTGTGTGTGAGAGACATATATGCACTTACACACGTGCACTGTTAAATTAGTTTATATTTATATATTAAATTAGTTTTTTTTTCATTAATAATTTTGAGGTTGTTTTGTAATTGCAGTAGCAAAGTCTCAAATTGGCGGCGAGGACAAGCAGTTTAAGGAGGAGGAGAAGGAACTTAAGGACTTTAAGAAGCAGCAGAAGAAGGAACTTAAGGCCTTGGGAAAAGAAGTTAAGGAATTTAAGGACAAGCAATGTAAGGGCGTTATGGACAAGCAATGTAAGGACGAGGACAAGTTGTGTAAGGAAAAGCAGAAGATCTGTAAGGACGGGGGCAAGCAACTTAAGGACGAGGAAAAGCAATAATTAAGGATGGGGGGACAAGCAATTTAAGAATGTACTAGTATTGTTGTTCATGGATCTTACAAAATGCAATGAAATCCCCCTTCACTATCTTCTCTAGTTTTACAACAAATTCTGAAGTACTATAATGATAATATATTAATATTAAAACACATATATGTTCTGTGCACCTCAACTAAATGATCAAAAACGTATTTGACACAATCGGGGTTGGGCTCCTATTCTAGCTACCTTCACTCCTTGGTGGGGGTATGTTCGTGTTCCATCTCAGCCGGGGGAGGGATCGGTTCCTTTCATGACTCGATGGATTACGTCAAGGCTGTCTGAACCTCTTGCTGCATGTGCCATTGGCCAGTGGTAAAGGCCCCCATTTTCCCCTCGCCGGTTTGATTTCCGGAAAAAGGCCTCCGTCATTTGATCCTGAGGTGAGCAGTGAGGCAACTCAGGTCGTTATCTTAAGCATAGCCTCTTGGGCATCCTCCTGGACACTTTTGGCCTCCTTCGTTGCCGACCACTTCTCGATAAAGCAAGTCAAAATCAATTGGCAAGAGGTCAACGATTACGTGAATTGCTTAAACAATCCCAGGCCAATCCGCTCCTCTCAACTCAGGTCGTTATCTTAAGCATATATTCAGGTCGTTATCTTAAGCATATATAGCCTCTTGGGCATCCTCCTCCTGGGCACTTTTGGCCAGTCAAAATCGTGGTTATCTTGATCCATTAGAACTTGGACAGGTAAAGAGTGGATCGAAATGCTGATATGGATCGAAAAAGAGTGGTTCGAATAGCATCCACCAATATTACCGAAAATATTGTAAGAATACTTTTACGAGAAGGTTTTATTGAAAACGTGAGAAACCATCGAGAAAAAAACAAAAAATTTTTTGTTTTAACCCTGCGACATAGAAGGAATAGGAAAAGACCCTATAGAAATATTTTCAATTTAAAACGGATCAGTCGACCCGGTTTACGAATCTATTCTAACTATCAACGAATCCCTAAAATTTTAGGTGGGATGGGAGTTGTAATTCTTTCTACTTCGCGAGGTATAATGACAGACCGAGAGGCTCGACTAGAAGGAATCGGGGGAGAAATTTTGTGTTATATATGGTAATATTTTGATATTTTGAATTGAATATAAAAATTGGATCCAAAACTTCTTATTTGTAAAATTTGGGAAAGGAAAAAATGGGGGAGTTATTGAATATCGTTCTACCTCCATTAGTTGGTCGTTATCTTAAGCATATATAGCCTCTTGGGCATCCTCCTCCTGGGCACTTTTGGCCAGTCAAAATCGTGGTTATCTTGATCCATTAGAACTTGGACAGGTAAAGAAATTTAAATTTATTGTTGAGTTACGTACTGACTTAAAAACTAATAAACCTCGGTTCGAAGAAATCATATCTTCTACTAAAATATTTACGAGGAAACAAAAGCCCTTTTGAAAGAGCTATTCGGGACCAAATGGATCGTTTTCTACTTCAGCAACAAGTATAAAGAAATTTTGATCAAATTTCACTTTAATATCCAACCAAGCGTTTCAGATTTCAAATTCAAAAGGTCTTTCGAGGCATCGAAATTAAAAAATAATAATAATAATAATAATAAATAAAGATTGAAAGAATTGCGTCCAATAGGATTTGAACCTATACCAAAGGTGGTTGTTGACTTGAGTCGGTGGTGAGAGACGATCTTCTTTAGGGGTTCGGTCTCCTCCGCGGCCTTGGTGCAGCAATAGAGGGCGTTGCGGCCTTGGCGCGGCAATAGAGGGCGGTGAGGGCGTTGCGGCCTTGGCGCGGCAATAGAGGGCGGTGAGAATGCGACTCAGCTGCATAAAGGATCAATTAATTTTACCAAACAAACGGTTAAGAAATATGGAGGCGCATACTTGCACCAGATCTTGGGCGCCCCGTTCGTCGATCTGGTCGGCCGTCCAATTTGTGCATATGTAACATTGTGCTTCTTCTCTTTTTATTTCATTCTTTTTTATTAATAGTGAGATTAGTGATTTATACCTCTCATAAAATGCCATGATTTTTTTTTTTATATATAAAAATTAAGCCACATATTTTATTTATATCTTGGCCAAAACTAGTGGTACGGTGCTAATTTTATTCCGTGGCCTACAAAAGAAGGGAGTCTCACAAACTAAACCCTAATTCCAATACGCCTCTTCCTCGATCGATCTTCAGCTTCTTATTCGATCTCACGACATGGAAGCTTCAAATCCATTCTCAAACATACCTAATGAAATCATTCCACTTATACTTTTGCAGTTGCCGGTGAAGTCTGTGATCCGGTGCCAGTGCGTATGTAAACATTGGCGTTCGTTGATAGACGACTCAGATTTCAAGTTCTCGTATCGTGGACAGGGACGAGTGATCTTCCTCTCGACCGAATCCATAAGCAAGGATCGAGATCGTCGATGGAGGCCGATTTCCAAATTCTTAGTTAGATCTACAAGCCATGATCTTCGTCTTCGAAGGCATAAACGGCCGTTCGGAAATGTGTATCCATTCGTTCGTGCAAGCATGGAAAACGATCTTAGTGTTTTGTGTTCTTGCAATGGATTTGTGCTTCTTCGGGTGGCTAAGAAAGATATTTGGTTGTGGAATCCGTCCACCAAGTGTTCGACGAAAGTGCTCGAGTTGCCATATCCGGAGGAGTTAGACACGGGTATCATTGAAGCAGGCGCAGGGCTATGCTACGACTCCTACACTAGAGATTACAAGGTTGTCCTATTGAGTTATAATTATGGCAATCAATTTGTCATCTCTGCCAGCCTCAACCACAAAAAGTGGCGACCAGTGCAGTTCCCTTGTCACTTTATTTCTGTTAGGGGCAGTGTTGAGTTTCGCAATACAATTCACTGGTGGGCAAGTGACATGAAAGATTGGGATAGGGATAGGGATTACTTGTCGGGTAGGAATAGGATCATATATTTTAATCCTCTGCGTGAAGAATTCAGAATCTTGCCCTTGCCCACTTCCGAACTAAAAGAAAACTTCTCAATATTTGGGTTGGGGGTTATAGATGACTGTTTATGCATGGCGGCATGCATGGTTCAGGAATTGAAAGAGGAACCCGAAACCTTAACAGTATGGATTATGAAGGAATATGGCAGACAAGAATCATGGATGAGTGCATTTGCTCTCCAAATGGCTGAATTTCGAGATATTGATTGGAGGTTTGGCTTCACATTCTATTCTCAAAATAAGAATGCACAAAAAATATTATTCCTGCATACTATGGGTTGGTGTGACCAGGATGTATATGTTTATGATCGGGAAAAAGACGAACGGAAGGTAGATTCGATGAACTTCCGAACCAAATCAGATCGTAGAATCTCTGTTAGTATGTGTTTCTATGTTGAGAGTCTTGCGTGCCCCCACCGGAGGTGATGATCCGATGATGATAATGATAAGTGCAGCACCAACACCTTGTCCAAATTCAATGTAGGTGTTTCATTAGCCTATGGGATTTTTCTATATTTAAAATTTGTAATTTTCTAGATCGTGAATGCTGGAATGCTTTTACTCGATCTATGCAGTTTTCAATACTTTGAAATTTGAATATCAATTTTGCTTTCTAGTTAGGGTTTGAGGCTTTGAACATACATTTATGTAGTGGAGATCAGAATACTCTTTGGGTGAAGGAATTTGATGAGCATTAAGTCACATCCTTAGGTGAGCAGAATTTGAAAAGTTAGGGTTCAGCCTGAAATGAAGTTTATATATATATATAGGGATGGCAATGTGCCCCGTCCCCGACGGGGATCCGCGATCCCCGCCCGGAAAGAGACGGGGATGGGGAAAATTTTTGGGGATCGGGGACGGGGACGGGGAATATGTGTAATTCCCCGGGGACGGGGACGGGGATACCCCTCCCCGCCCCGCCCCGTCCCCGTCCCTGAATAATATATATATATATATATATATAACACTAACAGAATACTATATATATTTATATATGTAATGAATATATATATATATATATATATATATATATATATATATATATATAGTTAATGTTGTTACTGTTTATATAAGTTGCAGTATTGCTACTGTATATACTTCATTGCATATATAAATATAAATAGTATTCTGTTAGTGTTATATATATATATGGATCTTTAAATAGAGTCTCTAAAAAAATAAAATAAAACTTGCCCCCTTAACAAAGACAAATATAAAAGGTGGGTAAGTCTGTGTTTGGCGAACATAGCTGAAAAGGTAGTTGAAAATGAGCTGAAAGCTAAAAAATTATAGGAGCTGAAAACTGAAGAGCTTTTAAGCTAGCTGTTATGTTTGAAAGTGTTTGGTAAAATTAGTTTTTTGATAAGTTGATAAATGTAAAAAGATAAAAAATGACATTTTTATAAAATTTAAATTAGTTTATTTTCATATTAAAATTTAACATTTTGTCTTTAAAAAAATTATCACATTTGTCTATAATGAAGTAGCAATATAATATTGTTGTGAATCTCCTTTATCTAATAAATGAGTTTTAATTGGGAAGGGTAAAGGATATCATTTCTTTAAAATAATAAGGACAAAGATGAAAAAAAAAAAAAAAATTAAGAAGCTACTAGCTTATTTTGAAAAGGTAACATTTCAAAATAACCTCTTATTTAATTTTAATCTACGTGCTTATTTTGTGAACATTACCGAACAGAGCTTATAACTTATTAGTAGCTTAAAATAAGTTATAAGCTCCTAAATAAGCTATGTCAAATAGACTCTAAGGAGTTGCTTTCACCAATAGTTATGCCATGGACCCGGGTCCAAAATAACACAGTTTGTGCGTGTGAAAATAACGATGCCGGTAGTGGCACCGCTTCTGCGGCCGATGATTTTTTTATTTTTTTTTTACAATTGTGAATATGAGTTATGTAATTTTGTATATTGAGATTTAAAATTGTAGTTTTAAAATTGGAAATATAAAGTTCAAAAACTGTGAATATAGTTATGGTCTACCTTGCAAGGTGGACCTAATTTGCCTGCTTTCACTATAAGGGCCGCTTTGAATTTGGGCCGGATCATCTTGGAGTGAATTTTGTACAATAGTTATGCTGTGCAACTGAATGTACTATGCGCATGGTGCATACGGTTCAAAACGACGTCGTTTTGATTAAAACGCGCGTCCCATTTAAAAAAAAAACAATTCAGGTTCGACTCTCAGTAATAGTATTATTGTGGATATATAGTTATGAAATTGTGGTTATATAGTTATAAATTTATAGATATTTAGTTCATTCATTGTGGATATTTAGTTCAATCATATATTGTGGATATTTAGTTCATTCATTGTGGATTTTTACTTCATTCATTCATTGTGAATTTTTACTTCATTCATTCATTCATTGTGGATTTTTACTTCATTCATTCACTGTGGATATATAGTTATGAAATTGTGGATATATAGTTATGAAATTGTGGATATTTAGTTCATTCATTGTGGATATTTAGTTCAATCATATATTGTGGATATTTAGTTCATTCATTGTGGATTTTTACTTCATTCATTCATTCATTGTGGATTTTTACTTCATTCATTCACTGTGGATATATAGTTATGAAATTGTGGATATATAGTTATGAAATTGTGGTTATATAGTTATGAATTTCTGGATATATAAAAATGCTATTGCCGAGAATCGAACCTGATTTCTTCTTTAAATGGGACGCGCGTTTTTTTAATCAAAACGACGTCGTTTTGCAACCGTATGCACCTTGCAAGGTGCATTCGGTTGCACAGCATAATTTGGGAATTTTGTATCCATGGACCTTCTCTACATTTTGAGCCCAATAATGCACAAAGAAAAATATCGCGCGAATGACAGTTGGAATACCAACTAAAACTAACTTTTCACTGTCTCTGAAGATCATCGAAACCAAAGGTCCAAAACCATCGCTCTCAACGTTATGGTGCTTCTCTCAACCTCTATCCAGCCATGGAAACCGACGCTCTCAAAGCTTTCTCAAACCTGCAAAACTCAATCGGACGTCGACCAAATCCATGCGCAATTGGTAACAACAGGGCTAGTCAAGGACGCTTCCTTCATTAGGAAACTCATCATCAGCTTATCCACTTCGCCTTATGTGCCGGTAGTTGACTTCGCACGTTCTCTCCTCTTTTCTGGTCACTATGATTTTGAAGATAGAAACGACCCCTTCATCTGGAACGCGGTAATCAAGTCTTATTCACATGGTAATTGCCCAAGTAAAGCTTTTCTTGTGTTCTGTTTGATGCTCAAAAATGGGATCTTTTTGGATGAGTACTCGTTCTCTTTGGTGTTGAAGTCATGCTCTAGGACGGGCTTGGTTAAGCAGGGAATGCAGGTTCATGGGCTATTGAGGAAACTCGATTTTGGCTCAAATGTTTTTCTTGAGAATTGTTTAATACGTATGTATGTGAAATGTGGCTGTGTTGAGTTTGGACAGCAGGTGTTTGATAGAATGCCGGACAGAGATTCTATTTCGTATAACACGATGATTGATGGGTATGTGAAGTGTAGGATGTTGGACCTTGCGCATGAGTTATTTGACTGTATGCCTGTGCAGGTTAGAAATTTGGTTTCTTGGAATACTTTGATCAGTGGTTATGTGAAAATGGAGAATGGATTTGATGTTGCTTGGGAGTTGTTTGAGAGGGCACCCTTCAAGGACTTGGTTTCTTGGAACTTGATGATCGATTGTTGTGTGAAAAGTGGGAAAATAGAAATGGCTGCAGCTTTATTTAGTAAGATGCCTAAAAGGGATGCTGTTAGTTATGCTATACTAATTGATGGGTATGCAAAAATGTCTAACATTAATGCTGCTCAGTCACTTTTTAATCACATGCCTGAAAAGGATGTCATCTCCTGCAATGCTATGATGGCAGGGTATGTAAAGAATGGGCATTGTATGGAAGCACTGTCTGTTTTTCATGATATGCTGAGTGACACCAATTTGGCACCTGATGGTGCCACTTTATTGAGTGCTCTTTCTGCAGTTGCACAGTTAGGTTACATTGATGAGGGCCTTGCTATACATTGTTACATAAAGGACCATGGATTTGTTGTCCATGGAAAACTTGGGGTTGCTTTAATAGACATGTATGCTAAGTGTGGCAGCATAGACAATGCGCTGGGAGTGTTTGAGGACATTAAAGAGAAAACCGTTGATCATTGGAATGCTATGATTGGTGGATTGGCTGTTCATGGCTGGGGTGAGTTGGCTTTCGATTTGTTCATGGAGATGGAAAGACTCTCCATTGAACCCGATGATATCACGTTCATCGTAGTGTTGAATGCTTGTGGCCATGCCGGGTTGATAAAGGAAGGTCTAATGTGTTTCGAGATCATGAGAAGCGTTCATCGAATGGAACCCAAACTCCAACACTATGGATGCATAGTCGACATTCTTAGCCGCGCAGGGCACATGGAAGAAGCCATAAGGTTTGTTGAGGAAATGCCAATTGAGCCAAATGATGTGGTGTGGAGAACTTTGTTAAGTGCATGTAGTAATCATGAGCACCTGGATGCTGCACAGCCTGTATCTAAGCACCAAATCCAACTCAACTCACCTAATTCGAGCTCATATGTGCTTTTGTCTAATATTTATGCTCGGTTTGGTATGTGGGATTATGTCCGGAGGATTAGGACAATGATGAAACAGAAGGAGCTGAAAAAGGTCCCTGGGTGTAGTTGGATTGAACTAGGGGGAACTGTTCATGAATTCTCTGCAGGAGACAGATCTCACCCTCAGGTTGAAGATGTTTCTTCTACATTACAGATGGTTTGCAGTTAAGCTCAAGAATTGCCCTGCAGGTTTAATACTCCAAACCCAACGGTGTTCACTAGGTAAACTCTGCATCCTGCCCTTAGTTCGTAACACAGCCTAGGCTACCTATAATTGACCTCGTCAAACCAAGAAGACTAATAGGCCGCTCTCACTGGGAGTCAAACTTGGAACATTATAGTTACCAAGCGAACAGTCTGACCATCTTGGATGGGGTTGCCCCCAATCACTTATGTTATCTTTTGCTCATTATATGCCATATGAATGTTGCAAATTAGGTAACCATTGAAAGAAACTTGTAGTCTTGTAGATGTGTTCTATACTTGTATGCTTCAATAAAACACCTTATTTGATACTTTCAATCTACTCACTCTTTCTTTATGGAAAAGCCATTTTTACAGATTTAATTCATTGGTCAGCTTATGTTTATGGAATCTGCAGCTTATCATGAAATGAAATATTCAACCATTTTAAATTGCTTTGAGCACAGTGATAGCCCTGTCCTAGCACCCCACTTTGTTTGGAACTATTCAGCTTGTGGAATACTCATTCAGAAAAGATGAAAGTTCACATGTTGGGATTGCAACATCATTTTGGATTGTAGCATAGTACTTGAGAATATAATACCTATGTGGCTATGTGCCCCACTGACATTTTTTTAATCAATACAAATGATGATGGAATCTCTTGGTTCCTGTAGTCCATAACATCTATTTTCTTGATAAGGCTCAAAAGATACATATATGTGTGTGCATATAAAAATCTTTAGTTTAAATTTGATAAATATTTTATTTTAAATTTTAAAATATTTAACATAGTTATGATGAATATAGACTTTGAAGGCCATAGCTCCCTCTCCCCAAACCCACCTACCCACCCAATTGGTAAAGGAGAGACTATTCAAATCCATGGCAGAAAAATAACACACCATAACAGCTATCAGCTAACAGTTATTTACCAGACACTCTTAAATTTAAACTGAGACAGAACATATATTTTAATTTGAAATTAGACACAGCGAGAGGGTATTGGCTTAAATTTTTGAGGGTGTCAAAGGAGAAAAATAAGATGTTGAGAGTTGATGCAAACTGGTAAGCATACATGGAAATGAATTGAACTTCCAGACAGACTAGAAAACTTGTTAAAACAAATTGTTACACTAGCATTCTAAAATTCATCAAAAACAAGGGAAAAAAAGGGTACCTAATTTGCTAGTTAGCCTCAGATTCCTAGTAGTCATAGAAGTTCATTAGTGAGATCATCGAGTTCTTGAATGACCACATCAATGGCTGGCCTGCGGCTAGGAGAGTCGTGAGTGCAGAGTAGAGCAATCTTCCCGAGCTTGGCCGCCTCAGATTCTACAAAGTCCTTCCCGAGTTTTGCATCAACGAAGTCCTCGAATCTGCATAGCTCCGCTCCTTGGTGATTTGATTGCGTGACCACACAACTTCCCGAGAGGATCTGTAGTATGATCACACCAAACGCATACATGTCACTCTTTTCAGTGAATCGGCCCGTGATTGCATACTCGGGAGCCAGGTACCCGTTAGCAGCACTGCCCTTTAGCGTGGAGAACACAATGTCGTCTGCTAATAGTTTGTGCAGGCCCGAATCAGACAGTAGAGGCTTGTAGAGATGATCGATAAGAACCTTGTCAGCCGATATGTTTCTGTGAACTAAAGCAGGCTTGTTTCTTTTGTTACCATGCAAGTATTTGATACCTAAGAGAAATGTTACTTCTGTTAAAAATTAATTGTACTATTCCTTTTATATTTACTGTATTATTTAAAACGAGCTAAACTAACCTCGAGCAATGCCTTTGATTATAGCGGTCCGGGTAGACCAATCGAGCACCTTCCCTTTCTCGTCCTTCACATCGAGGTACCTCAGCAAGTTCCCATTCGAGACGAAGTCGTAGATGAGGAAGCACTCTCCCCGACCTTTCGAGCAACAAAAGCCTCTCAACCTTAACAGATTTTCGTGCTTCAAAGATGTCAACAATGTCAACCCTTTTCGAAACTCGGCTTCATCCGACTTGCAACTAGTCTTGGAGATGCACTTGACAGCAACAGCAGACCCGTCCCTCAACGTTCCTTTGTAGACAGCAGAGAAGCTACTTTTCCCCAACAAATTCGTCTCCGAGAAGTACTGTGTAGCGGACTCCACTTCATCGAGATTGAACATAAAGCTCTCGAGCACTTCCTGGGATAGAGCGCTCCCACTTTGGTCCTTCGCAAGAGGGTCCCAGCCATTCGAATACTCGAGGCTGATAAGAGGAGACGTGCTCCTTCTGCATAACACCTTGGGCTGATCAGTGCTAACTCTACTCTCGGAAATATCAACCGTGCTTCCAATCTGTTGTTTCCTTCGACGGTACCATGAAAACGTGAACAGCCCCGCCACTGCTAATATAACAAACAGCCCGATGACCCCAACAACAGCAGCAGCGGCTTGTGGTTTTCGGTTCTGATTCAACTGATGAGGGATATTGGCAGATTCCGGGATATCTTTAGTTGGAAGACGGTTTGAGCCTTGCCCGAATGGTTCGGGTTTGGTGGGGTTTAAAGAAGAATCACTGCAGAGCGCCAAAGAGGGGAAACCAGTTCCACATAATCCAGGGTTATTCTCATACCGGAATCCCTCATTCAGTCTCTTCAGACCTTCATTCCAATCAGAAATATCGAAACGAAAGAAAACAGAAAAGGAAAGTTAGGCACACAGTTCACTCAAACAACATTGATTAGGCATGCTAACTGAGAAGAGAAACAAATTACCAAGAGGAACATTGCCAGAGAGGGTGTTGTTTCTCAGATCAAGAACTTCTAACTTAGAGGCTTCAGAAAGTTTAACTGGGATTGAACCAAAAAGGCGGTTAAAGCTCAAATCCAGCCTTGTCAGCAGTGTCAAGCCTCCCAAACTTGCGGGAATTGCCCCCGTCAACTGATTGGACTGAAGAGCAAGAACCGTAAGGTTTTTCAGAGACCCAAGCTTATTAGGTATGCACCCTTCAAATCTGTTGTAGCAGAGTTGCAAAACTGCAACCAAAGAGTATACAGGTTAATATGTAATGAAAGATGATAGGTGTTAGAACAGAACAAAGTAAATCTTGTCTTCTTTACTTTCTACCATTGTTTTCGCTTAATGTTCTCATTTACCTCAACAAATATACTCAAAGGTTGAAACTTTCTTGGTATAACTCATTGTAGAACCAGAATTGACTTACAAGGCTACACTTTCTTTGAACTTCCCATTTTCTTGTCAATTACATAAAGATTTAGGACCAACTATTGGCTTGTAGCAACTGGAAACTACTTAGAAACTCATTAGTCATTACCCTCCTAACAGCACTATTTTTTTGGGTTCTTAAATCTCTTCCAATTTTGGGTTAAGACACAAAGTCCCTCCCCACCCCCCACCCCCTCACCCCTCACACACACAAAATAAAAATATCTAAAAGAGGAAAGAATAAGCACACAGAAACAAGAAAATCTGATATTCTATATTATCAGGATATGCATGTATACAGCCACAGATCCAATGATAAGGTTTTCAAATTGTAAGAAATTGCCAAGACTGCATCTTTTTGGCCTATTTGTGCCAAGAATTGAAGTAAATAAATAAATTTTGAAAAAAAAAAAAAAGAAAAGAAACAAACCTTGAAGATTTGGCATGTTGCCTATCTCAGAAGGAATGAAACCAGAGAGGTCATTCATATTGAGATACAAATCTGAGAGCTGAGTGAGGGAAGCAATCTCCTTGGGTATAACCCCATGAAGGTTGTTGAAATGGAGGTACAACCCAGATAAGCCATTGAGCTGGCCAATCTCAGGTGGTATTTTCCCATAAAGCCCTTTACCCTGCAAGGAGATATTGACCACCTGGCCAAGGTCATTGCAAGCAATGCCTTCAAAGGAGGAAACACTGCATGGGTCAGTGACATTGGGTGACCAAGAAGAGAGAACAAGGTTTCCAGGGTCTAAGGAGGCCTTGATAGCCATGAGGAGGGAGACAGTACTGGCATTATTACTGGTTTCTGAGAGAGAAAGGTCTGGGCATAATAGTAGTAGTAGTGTGGAGAAGAACAAGAAGATGAGAGAGATGAAAGCAGCCATTTTTGGTTTGGCTTTTCAAGAAAATAGAGCTGGTTTTTCCTGTAAAACGTGGGATTCTTCTGAGGTGTTGATTCAAAATGGCATTAATGGAGTATTTACAAGCTCCTAGGGGGAAGAGAGATAGGCCAGAGGTGGGGGATAGGTGTGTGTATGACTGATATATGTGGAGTAAGCAGCGGGGGAACCTCTGACAAACGGGGTGAAAATTTGTCAAATTTATAACTTTATAACCATAAATTTCAAGTTTGACTTTCAGTATAAATTATTTTTGTTATAATTTAGTTAGAAGTAGAGTTCGCCTATTGGCCTTAACTTCTTAGTTTGAACAGATCAGTTATAGACAATTTAATCTGATTTACCTCATTGTGATCCTTAATTCTTTGTCAATTAGAATCACAAAACAAGATTTATTCAGTGTACATTTTCGATTAGTGGTTGTGAGCTCCCCTCATCACTTACAACGAGAAATTCTGTGTTTCTAGGGCTCTTACCGGAATTTGTGATGATGATAAATCACAGTGACTCAGGGGTGAATTAAGTGTGAGGAACAGTGACAAGGTAAAAAAAAATGTTATATTAATAATTTATTTATTGACCATTTTAAACTGCTGGATTAATTCAGAGAAAAATTCACACTTGAAGTTTTTTAGAGTACCATTTTAGCTACTGGGAATACCGGTAGCAGGTTACAGGCAACAAGACACATGAAAAGACAGACCCCAAGTCTACTTTTGTAGCTGTTTTGTTTTTGTTATTCATAATGGGGAGTTTGACTATGCCAGATTTTCTCTGTTAATTTAGTAAAAAGATCAAAAGTGTAATTAAGTCCAAGAAGCAAAAAATATAATGTAGTTCAAAGACTCCATAGCTATGTGTATATTTCATGATAAAGAAAGCTGACGGCTCAAACTTCTATGAAGGGTTCTTGGCCTTAAAGCATAATAATAATTATTAATAATCAAATAAAATAAGTTGCTTTTAATAAAATAAAGAAAATATATATTATTGAATCCGAATGCTTTTATAAAATAGAAAGAAAAGAAAATGGGAAGTGGTTCTTTTAAAACTGCAGTCTGATGTAAGTGCAGTGGCATCAATGCTGTATCGTACGATACGGAGTAGTTTATATTTTTGTGTCCCTTTTTCAAAGAAATGAGAACGGTGGTAATAAAAGAGTAATATTATACGAAGTAATTTTTTTTTTTTTGAAGAATTATACGGAGTAATATATTCTTAATTTGTTTTAAATGACAAAAAAAAAATTAGTTTGGTTGGTGTGAGTGGTCATGCACTCTTGTCCCTTAAGAGATTGAGAGTTCAAACCTTTTTCCGTGTAGAAAAATTAATTTGGCCAGCACTTTGCTTCTTCATTAGGCTGGCCTAGTGCGAATTAGTTTGAATATGATATGGGCACCTCGTGGTCTAATCAAAAAATTAGTTATTATATTTTATGGTATGTACTGTCGTCAAAAGTCACCACAAATATGTATCGAGTAATATATATATTTTTTATACATATATATAAAAAAGGAGGATTATTTTGTTTTTGAAATTTGAAATTCTGTGGTTGGTGTCGACAGTGTTAATGTTGCATCGTACAATTCAAAAATTAGAGTAAATAATGAGATTTGGCTTCTTCTAGGCTTTTGTTTTGCATTTTAATTTTGTCTCTTAATCAGGGACCATAATGTTGCAACCTGTGATCAAAAGGTAATTAATGGAATCTAGCAACTAGTTTATAGAGGTTAAATATCCCATTTTAAATGTTAGGATTCCAAATAAATTTTGATTTTTCTTTATAACTTCAATTTTTGAGTGGCAAAAGAAACCAATAGCAAGTATCTGAAACTATGAATTAAATAAATATTGATGTTGTGTGATCAACTTGACCAATAAGATATTAATAATAATCGAACATGTGACATTTGAATATGAAAATTATACGTTATCCATTTGACCACTCCTTTCTTATTCTTATTATAACTTTAATATTTTAAGCATAACTTTTGAAGTTTTATAAATTCAATAAATGTCTTTTATGTTCAATTAGATGAATAGCTTATATAGATAATAGGGATAGGGATGAGAGTAAAATATTTTTTATAAAAAGAAATGTAATTAAATCTTAAATGGAATGTTTCAAAAATAAATCTTTAAATGGAAAGTTTTAAATAGACATTAAACTCAAAAAAATAAATAGTGTATGTGAAAATATTTTATCGTGTATTATAATTTATAGCCTTATAGGTCAAGATTTGGTTACCTATTGCATAGGATGCTAATTGGGAAAAATGTTGGTGTGGTGTTAGATATATTATGATATTTTCGCATACAATAATTACATATATTCTTTTTTAAGTTATTTAGTTCTAGAAAAATAATTAGTGTACTTTTAGTAAGTAAAATTCTCGTCATATATCGTGACTGATTTTGTCGTAGAAGAGAAAATTAAAGAAATTAAAATAGAAACTGACCCCCACCCCCCGCCCTTTTAAAAAAAAATACAATGATATGAAACCAACGGCGACATAAACTACGACATAGCCATGACAACAATGTCATCAAACAACAAGAATTACAAGGGGTTAAAAAAAATAAAAAAAAAATAAAAAAGAAGAAGAAGAAGAAGAAGAAGAGAGAGACATAAAGCCCTAGATCAGACACATTAAATCAAGGTAAACGTTGCCTATTTTTCTCCCTATATATGGACTTGTCTAATTGAGCAAACTCATTTTTTATATTATTAAAAATATTTCACGTTAGTGGATAATAAAAAGTAAAAACAAATATCATATTATTTTTTAATCTTGTCCAAGAGAACTCTTTTAATACATATAACAATACAACCTATTCATAACATTTGAATATCAATATGTTATTTTAACTAAAAAAGTCAATTTTTTTTCACTTGTATTATATATTGTTGGTTATATTATATTGAGTTAGAAACCAAAAACCCAATTAAAATTCAAAAAGTTTTGGGAAAGGTGACAATTAAGTCTATTTTAACCCAAACATTCCCAAAACAAGTTTAGGGTGTTTTGTGGGATGGATTTGCAAGTTTAATGTAGGAACAAAGTAAAATAATTAGTAGAGAGGACGAGGTTAGGTTATATGTTTGGTGGTAAACTCACATGCTATTGTTTTGTAGTGGTAAAACTAAGGGGAGAGACATGTAGGAGTAGCCCTTACTGTTTTGGGTGTGATCAATCAACATATTCCATCTTTTTCCTAATGCTTTATGGTAAAACATAACAATGGAAAGGCACAAAAAAAGTTGTATAAAGGTGCATGTGTGTGATTGGGTCTAAAATGGTGCAATTTTGCAACCCCATACCACACCTTTTCAAATCCAACTTCATTTTCACTTAGCTTTTGAGTCCGACTTGTCATGTCCATCTTGTTAGGAAATAAATCGGTGAAGTAATTAAAGCATGTGCTCCATTTCAATTTTTTATTGGATGATGCGGAGATTCAAATTCATAATTTTTGACATGGGGTTGACTATGATACTAAATTGAAGCATGTACTCCATCTCAACTAAAAGTCTTAGCTAATATGTGGATTGCACATTTATGTTTGTATATTATATGCTCAACAAACCTACCCAATGTGTGTGCCAAGGTAGGTAATAGCGCAGCGTGCAAAGCGATTGATATGAACGATTTGGACAGCTATCGTGGGATGTTTGATATTACGAGAATGGCTTAGGGCATTCATATTTGTGATTTTTGTTGAATTTTTTCAGAGAAAAAACTAGCTAGATGAGCAGCAAACTGATGGGAACATTGATTTTTGAAGATATTTTTTTCTTAAAAATACATGAATTTTGAACGAGGAGAAGAAAAAAAAAACGCATCTTGTGCGTTTGGAGAGCACTTTGTGTCTGAGTGGCCGCCAGCTGACTTCTAACCATTGTTTTCCTTTTTTAAAAAAAAAATCAAAATCTTTTTTTTTTCATTTTCTTTTTCTCTTCCATCTTTTCTCTCTCTTACATGGACTCCAAAATGTTATGCAAAAACTCAATAGATGGAGATGCTCTTAGAGTAGTGTCACTAACATCACAAGAATCAAAGATGATTTCGTGAAATCCTAAGAACAAAGTGCAAAATCTTACTTCAACACCCCATCTCATCCACCTGAGTGCTCAATATAATCAAGCTCTACGTAATGTGAGCAATTAATACATACTCAATCACGACTTCATCAGGTCCAAACTCCCATTTATCAAATAGCTTGGTTCGGTCCATAAACTTTGAATATAAGTGTTAAGTGCATCAATTTCTTAGCTGCCCCAACTCTTGTCACTAGTTTGGCAAACAAAACAACCAAACTCACAATGACTTGGACTCGCTAGTGCTCATTTTTTACTCTATATAAGATTTTAAATGGCAAATAGAATTGTATATGAAATTGGATTTGTGAAGGAACAATTAATCTACGAATAATTAACCTATTTTCACGCGTTCGTGTGTTACCTATTTCAAATGAGTAGTTCACATGTACTCCTAATTCATACTCTCATTTTGTACTCCCTATGATTTGTCATGCTTTAATTGCTCAATTTTATAGGGAACCATGATGTTTATTCATTTTTTTGTTTCATCCTCCAATCAAATTTAAACATAAATAAGAGTAAAAGTTAGGAGTAAGGTTTTGGGATTACATGAAGTATTTTCCAATTTAATTAACTCATGAATGGTTAACCATTGTGCAATGGTTAGAACAAAATCAAAGAAAAAGAAAAAGATGTCCTTTATTAGAAGAGTAGTAGGTAAGAACAAGAGTGGGAGAGGTTGGATACTCCTAAGGCAGGCCACCTCATAATTAAAAAAACAGCTGGTGAATACCTTGCATGTTCCTCATCATCATAGCTAGGTTTCCTTTCACAAATGTTGCAATTTGCATCTCATACTTATTGCGAGTTTTTGTGTCTTGTGTTATGAAATTATGTATCTTTAAAAGCATGAATTTTGTACCTGAAATAAATTAGTAATTGTGTTTTATGTTATGAATTTCAGTGTATTGTGTTGTGAAATTCTGTGCCTATGAACACAAATTTTGTACCTAAATCATATTTGAAAAATAAGTAAATATATAACGTATGTATGTGTTTTGTGTTATGATTTTTTGTGTCTTGTGTTATGAAATTCGATCTGTACCTTAAAAGTACTGAATTTTATACCTCGACGTTTCGATTCAGGGCCCATAATGTTATGTGGACGCTGGTCCATGATATAAATTGCAAGGAATTGTAAAATGAATTTGGTCCTCCGAGCTCCGGGGACTTCTTGAGAGAGATTGAATTTGTTCGGTTATACTTGTTCACGTAGAAAACAACAAGAGTTCTGTTACATATACTTTATATTTCTACTCATTCACTTTTACTTCATAATGTAATACTTTATATTTCTACTCATTCACTTTTACTTCATAATATAATACTTTATATTTCTACTCATTCACTTTTACTTCATGATGTAACAATTGATAATTAGTTATTTTTTCAAAAGATTGAACCCCAATCCTAAGGGCCCCCCACACCCCGACCCGACAGAGTATTTGGGAGAATGTAAAAATCATGGTAACTCAACTGAACATGAACCATTGAACCACAGAGGCTAGACGTAAATCATGGTACTCAACTGAACATGAACCACAGAGGCTAGATCTTTGCTTACTGCGCACAAGGAACCCCCTCACTTTGAGAGGTTGCTCCCACACTGCCGCTGGTGAGACTTTATCCCTGGTCATTCTTTTCAAACGTTACCTCTATGATCAGTTGAGCTGCCCATGCGAGCATAATTAGTTATCTTCATTTTATGGATTCCAATGAAAATGTCAACATTCAAATTTTGTGAAAGTAGAATTTGAGAGGAATGAATAATATTTTTCAAGAACAAAGGCGTAGATTGAATTGTAAAAAATAATGTTGTCTTGTCCCTTAGTCTGCACGTGTTTAATGTAGTTCGGCAAATTATGTCGTGCAACCGTGTTCACTATGTATGGTGCACACGGTTGTAAAAATGGTGTTGTTTTGATGTTCGATTTTTTTTAAAAAAATCATTTTTAATTATCGTTAACGGCGTTATGTTGTGCATAATTTGAATTATATATTCAGAATTAATGAATTATATATCCAGAATGAGTGAACTATATATCCAGAATGAGTGAACTATATATCCACACTGGTTACTGGTACTCTGTTTTGGCTTATGGCAGTTTGACGCGTCTGTGTATTCAGAATGAATGAACTATATATTCAGAATTAATAAACTATAAATTCAAAATTCGTGAACTATATATCCAGAATTAATGAACTATATATCCAGAATTAGTGAACTATGTATCCAAAATTAATGAATTATATATCCAGAATTAGTAAACTATATATCCAGAATTAGTGAACTATATATTCACATCGAAAATAATGGAAATCCCGTCGATTGGAGTTTTTTAAAAAAAAAATTGATTGGTGAAGTTAAACGGTGCCATTAACGGGACCGTTACTCCACTATAGTGAATGGCGTTGTTCACAACCGTGTGCACCATACAGCCCAGCATAACGATTGATGTAGCTCCAAATGGATTGAAAACATTGCTTTTTACTGTTCTTATTGATGTGAAAGTGGGCAAGATTTACAGACTGGTAAATGGGTTGGTTAGTTTTGGGCCCATATTATGCAGACCATATCTCGTAATATTTTGTTTTGAGTTATAGTACCAATTTTAGTATCTTACAAATCCCAAGTTCTTTATTAGTCTGGCCCAATACATAAATGCCAAAAGAACTATCCCAAATCAATCTTGTCATCTTGTGGCATAAGATAGATTTTTCTTTTTTTTAAAATTAATTACTAAGGTTTTCGGTTTTGCGAAAGTCGAATTATATCCTAGATATTACGAACTTACCACATGTCTATACAGAGGTAAATTGAACCAATCTAGTCTTGAAACTCAACACCACATTATATATTTTTATACACAAAAATGTCCATTACAAACTCAAACCCAAATGTTCGTGGTAGATATTGAACCCCACTCTACCATTAGAAGCAAGTCTTGAATGGGACTTCTCATCTACTAAACCAATACCTAGAGGCTTATGATGGTTTTTTTTTCTTTAGTTTTAGGCCCTGTTTGGTAAAATAGTTAATTTATCATCAAATTTTGACTTATTTAACCACTATTAGCTGTTTGACTTGATTAAACAATCAATATGAGTGTTTGATTAATTAACTCTTTATAACAACTTATTGCTCCAAAATGCTAAAATTCAAAAAGCTGCTCAAAGTAATTTTTTCGATCAGCTTTTTGAAAAAGTCATTTTGCATGTAATCCGCTATCAGCTAACAACTAATTTACCAAACATTTTTCTATAATCAGCTAATGTTACCAACTAGTCAAACTCACTAACCCAATCATCTAACAGTCATTATATTTACCAAATACCCCTTAATATGTTAATTTTGCCTACAACTCCTCAACTGCGAAACCCGTCCCTAAGAACTTAACCAGAAAAGGATCTTGAGGAATAAACAAGTCTAGACAAGAGAAGTTAAGAATCACCAAGAGTCAAACTTGTGATTAACCGACTCACTCATAAGTACAAAAATCAATCTTAACAAATTCCTAAAACTAGTGATTCAAGATTAATCCTGACCCTAAAACTAGTGATTCGAAATTGATGTTGGCTCTAAATTAAAACTAGTGATTCTAGATCAAACCTACCCTCAAACTAGTGAACCAAGACAAGTCATTCTTTAAGATCAAGAGACTCGACATGTGATTAAACTAAACATAATATATATTGGGTACATATATATCCTTAAAGCCTCAATCTCAGCCAGGCATGCAATTGGCCAAGATTTCACCGGCATCAAAATAGTATATACAGTACTTATTACAGATTCAAAATTATCAAGAAGGTTTTTGAGATATATTTATATATATATGCATGCTCGGAGATTATAAGGTTGTCGGAAGAACCCAAAAAATCTGATGAGTTCATCGTCGAAACACATGCTCCTCACCGGACTCCAGATCAATGCGCCTAATCCAACGTTTCGGAGATTTTAATGTTTTCCCATCATTCTCGCCGACATATGCGATCTCCAACCCGTTCTCCAATGGAAGGCTCACCGATTTCACGATACGTAGGTTACCGCCGTCCACGGTTCCGCCCCAGCAAAATCTCGAACTCGCCGCCGTTTTTTTACTCCCATCTTTGTACACCAAAACCGCCCCGCGGCGGCTCAGCTTAGCTCGCCGGAAAATTTCGCCGCCGCCGCCCCGCCCTTGGACGACGAGGAAATCCACCCCTTCTAGCCCCTCCACCATCCGCTCCGCCTCCCCCTCCACCACCACCACCTCCGGCAAAGCCGCCACGTCGGCTTCTTGCATGGCGCTAATATAGTCTCGCCTCGCCGCCTCATCCGCCACCACGCACACGTGCCGGCCGCCGGTGTACCCCGCCGCCACTGCCAGCCCTACACTCGTACCTATCCCGCCGCCGCCGTTCATGCTCCGCCGCACCTCCACTATAAGCTTGACGTTGTAGCCGGCGGCCATGGCGGCCAAGAACTCTGCATCGCCGGGTTTCTGACCTCCATTCCCTCGTTTAACGGTGTCGATGTAGGCTTTCGACGCCGCTTCCGGCGACCAAACTAGCTTCATCTCGTCCAATTTTTTTTTTTTTTTTTTTTACTCTTTTTTTGCAGAGATGAAGATGGATGATAAGACCTTGCTAGATTTGATGATTTATATATAAGATGGCGGCTATTTTCTATTTAATTTTAAATAATATTTTGGAATTATATATAATTATAAATATATAAAAATATTATACCCAGTTTCTATACTAGTTGGTAGTTTGAAAACTTTATCAATAAAAACCGTTGACATTTGCACACAGTCATGAGTGACAAGTTCATGCACTATAGATTAGAATTAATATGATCCAACCTAGGGTTTATCCGATTAAGATAATTTTATGATTTTATCTGCCATATACCACAATATATAATTTAACATATATGAAATTGCAATCCAAATATAGTAAAAATGTTTGAATTAATTATTTTACTTAAACAAGACTAAATGGTGTGTGCTTATTTTAATATCAAATTGAGAAATGTGTTTACGTTCAGTTTATCTTAATATTTCATTATTTAGTATATATATATATATATATATATATATATATATATATATATATATATATTTATATTGTCCACCTAAAATAAGGACAATCCCAGCCACCCATTATGTTAATCAATGATGGAGGATTTTAGTTATAATTATTAAATTATTAAAAACTTCTAAAAGCAGGGTTTTTATTTTACGGAGTATAATTATTGCAAACTTGAAAGTTTAATAATGGTTCTTTCAAATGGGAAGTCACAGGTTCGAACTAGGCCTAGTCGAGACATTGACGCTTTATGCTTCACTAGGTTGAAAAAATATGTATGGATATATATACTACGTTGTAATAGAGTCGGATGTACTTTTTAAAAAAAGGAATGGTAAGATCATAGTTTTTTATTTCTCAAAATGGAGGGTGTGGATGTGTTACACTTTTACGAGGGAAAGTGTTATCACCTAAACTCTCTCTCATATATATATATATATATATATATATATATATATATATATATAGAGAGAGAGTATACACATAATACTAATAATAATAATAATAATAATAATAATAATAAATTTCTAATACATAAAAAAATAAGAAATGACAAATTAGGCATTATCATTTAGCACCCCTTTATGAATAGTCTAGTAGTAGCCCCACTCCTGCTCCCACTTGAAATAGTTATTTCCCTTGCAAAGAAAATAATTTATTTTCAAAAATAAAATAACTTATCGCATGACAAATTAAGTCTATTGTTAAGAATAATGTTATTCTATTTCATATTTATTTTGTGAACCAAATGTACTACTATTGATATGAGACTATATATTTATTGTTTATGTTCAATAAATACAAGTTGTATCTTTTGCTAATTGCTTTTAATCTCTTACATCACATTTTGACTAAAATAATGCATTTTAAAAAATTAACTCGTAGTGAAACGGATTAATTAATGTAACACTTATCACTAATAACACTATTTGTAACAAGATTAGTGCAATTCAGTTGCATAATTTTTCTATATTACTTATAATACATAAAGATTTCAATAACCTATACAGTAATAAGTTGGTTAAATTTAACCCCTATTACCAACCATCTTTCCTAACTAACTAAGCAAAAAAAGATATTCTTTTTAAAGCGGAATTAATTAAATAGTTTTGTACTTTTTGTTTTTTAATGAGTAAATTATAAAATAATCCATAGTATATAATTAATATATAATGCATGCTTTAATTAAGAAAAAATGATAATCGTAGAAATTAAATATTGTACTCTTAATATATGGAACCGTACATCACATTTTTGTCAAGTTGTACAAACAACATAGAAAAGTGGAAAATTTAATGAGAAAAGACAAAGACCTTTTCTTAGTCTACGCACTGCGGCTTTCATGTTGCTTGAAAATTTGGCAATCGTTTTACAAGTCAACTTATTTCTATCTACCCACTTACGAAAGTAGGGAAAAAAATCCTGTGTTTAATTTGCGGAAAAATTTAGTCTCTATTCGGAGGTGCGTTTTGAGTGAAACCTCTTTATAATTTTGTTGGTAAAGAATTATAATAATGTAAGTTAGTAAATTAGTATAGATTATTCATAGTTGACAAACTTAAACTAAAAAAAAAAAAAAAAAAAACTAATAGACAACTCTCATGGGGAGTCGAACCTACTTGAAACATTGTAATTACTAAACCAACTGTCGGACCAACTCAGCTACGGTTGTCTCCAAAATTCTAGGTATTTGTTTTACAGGCAGGAAAGCACATAATCCCCGATCACCACTCAATGATGGAACGTAACCGATTAGACTAGTCTCTCATGACTGGCTCAACTTAACTAAGAGGCCAATAGGACAGCCTCCAACCACCGGCTTAACTTTTTCCCACAACCACTATCCAGTAGTGAAACCAGTCTCTCATAACCTATTCAAGGGCTCAACTGAATTAAGGGGCCGGCCTATAGGCAGTATCCAATTGGGCGTCAAACTACTAGGCCTTTCAATCTTCAACCTCTAGCTAGGAGTCGAACTAATTGTAATCTCAAGGTCACAAGTTCATTGTCTGGCCAACTCAGCTAGACCAAAGCTCTAAAAAAATAATTAAAAAAAAACTATTTTGGTTTATTAAATACATAGATAATTGTTTATTAAGGTAATCCACGTCATGGGTGCAAGTTGCAGAATTTTACTTGGTTTTGGACAGCTCGTGCATTCAAATGTCAATGGAGAGACGTAGAAATATGTATACCACATCAACTAGTACGTACTAATTATTACTGGCCTTACAAAGTGGAGTTCTCGTAATGTCAAGTTGGATTTCAAGCTAATTGTCTTGCCTAAGACTTGGTCAGTAACGTTTAATTGGCTCGATCCCCCACTGACGAAGAAAAAAGGGAATTCTTGCTTAATTTAAGTGAATTATTGCACTGTCGTTTTCGAGTTTAACACCTTACATTAATTATTTGATGCACCGCTCCAAATCATACCGCCCCAACTACTTAGCAAGAAAAATCGCACATCTACACTCTTTATGTTTGGCTGGACCCCCATTAAATTCTGCTTCTGTCATATTAGGGTTTAACACCTTACATAAATTATTTGATGCATCGCTTCAAATCGTGTCGCCGCAACTACTTAGCAAGAAAAATAGCACATTTACACCATTAACATTTGGTTGGACGCCCACTGAATTCAGTTTTTGTCGTATTCGGGTTTAACATACACCTTACATTAGTTATTTGATGCATCGCTCCAAATCGTACCACCCCAACTACTTAGCAAGAAAAATAGCACATCTACAATCTTCATGTTTGGCTGGACCCCCATTAAATTCCGCTTCTGTCACATTCGGGTTTAACACCTTACATAAATTATTTGACGCATCGCTCCAAATCGTGTCGCCGCAACTACTTAGTAAGAAAAATATATAGCACATTTACACTACTAACATTTGGCTAGACGCCCACTGAATTCAGTTTCTGTCGTATTCGAGTTTAACATACACCTTACATTAATTATTTGATGCATCGCTCCAAATCGTACCACCCCAACTACTTAGCAAGAAAAATAGCACATCTACAATCTTCATGTTTGGCTGGACACCCATTAAATTCCGCTTCTGTCATATTTGGGTTTAACGCTACACCTTACATAAATTATTTGACGCATCGCTCCAAATCGTGTCGCCGCAACTACTTAGTAAGAAAAATATATAGCACATTTACACTATTAACATTTGGCTAGACGCCCACTGAATTCAGTTTCTGTCGTATTCGAGTTTAACATACACCTTACATTAATTATTTGATGCATCGCTCCAAATCGTACCACCGCAACTACTTAGCAAGAAAAATAGCACATCTACAATCTTCATGTTTGGCTGGACACCCATTAAATTCCGCTTCTGTCATATTTGGGTTTAACGCTACACCTTACATAAATTATTTGATGCATCGCTCCAAATCGTGTCGCCACAGTTGATCTAGCAGTTTAGAAGCTTTCCTTTTTTAAGGCCCATGAATCTTGTATAAATATCATCATGGGATCACATTGTAAATGGTTATGATTTCAATACGAGTACAATTACTCTATTCGTCATTTTTATCTCAACTTTATTTAGTATTTTTACGGTAATGTTTTCGACCATTTTTATCTCAACTTTATTTAGTATTTTTACGATAATGTTGGCCCACCGTCCGATTACCGTAGCCGTAAAACCAACAATCCTTATCCAGGCAGCCATCAATGATAAGATTTTTTATTTGTATGTGTCCAAATCAACTAAAAATTTAAGTGATTAATAAAAATCCACATCCATTACAAAAGCAAGCATATTATATCCAAGGGGCAGGTATAGTCCTGAATTATCATGTGTTGCACAACATGATAAATTGGCTGTCCTTTTCGATTGGTTGATATGTTTGCTGGTGGTTTAAGGTAGGCTAAATGTTTAATTAAAATTAATTAATAAAATACAACAACTAATATTACTATAAAACCAATCACTGTCAGCCTGATAACCTTTGATTGGCTGTCCGGTAAGTCAAACCTTTTGCGAGTCGCTATTATCCAAAAAGCCAAAAGCGTAATCTAATATAGATTACGAAATAGTTCTTAATTTCCTAGCCAAGTTGTTCATATTCTACTTGAAAATGGCTTCAGGTTTTCACTTTAAACATGTAGCTAAGCCAATAGTTATTGCTTGAACCATGGTTCACACAGTTGTGTGGATCACAGTCCAAAAACGATCGTTTTACCTGCTACAACATACATTTTTATAATTCATAATGTACATTATTCTAAAATAGAATGTACATTATATTTCCCCAGAAGTTTAATTATTCTAACACGGCGTCATTTTGGACCGTGATCCACAGAGCTGTGTGGACTGTAATTTGCTTCAGGTAAAACAGGTCCTTTATTTTAGAGGTGACAGTTTGAAAGGTTTGTTTCCTTTTTAAAGGTGATAATTTGAACGGTTTATATTTGACGGATCATTCTCGTGACATTGTTTAATGTTTTCTTGTTTTAGAATAGGTAATCTGATGTTTAATCTTATTGTTGTTTACCCTTTCTGGCTTTCTGTCTTTTTCTTGAAGTTTTCTGTCATCTTTCTGATAAGTTATCCTTGCAGTGAATCTACCATAGCCAGTAGTCTTGTGGGCTAACAAGAATTTTGTTGATGCTTGGTGCTAACTTTGATGACATCGGGAATTTAAACTCATGCATATACAATAACGCACTTGAAATAGTTGTTTTGAATGGGACCTGACTAGGACTCTCGGCTAGATTAGTCTCGTCCTGTGAAATACAGATAATTTAAACTCATGTATATACAGTAATGCACTAAAATGAGTTGTCCCGAAACACATTTTGTCTCATGTATATGTGAAAAACAGATAATTTAAACTCATGTATATGTGAAATACAGATAATTTAGTCTCGTCTTGCGAAATACAGAATTACAGATACATGTGCAGTATGCAAGAAAACAAAAGGTTCTTTTAGAACTAGAAATGCAGAATCTATACCTTCTCAGTAGCACAGAAATGCTTAAGAAAGCTAAGAAGTGTTTTCATGGCTCATATGTTAAGTTTCATGAGTTCTATGATCTTTAACCTGTCAAGCATATCAGATTAACTGACTAAATATACCTTACCAAGCAACACCATGATCGGTTTGAGTGAAAACGTGGAGGGCGCTGCATAGCCGAGAGGAGATTGCAAACGCCACTTTCGATCAGAACCTTAATTTCTGCAAACAGTTATCAAGAGAGACAACACTGCATTTTCAAGCAGACAAATGCACGCCTAAGAGTTAGTTTAAGTCCACAAATCGACAAGTTAACAACAGTGGGCGGTATCAAAGTTCTTTGAATTAAGGAAAACCCGTCACCATTTCATTATGTCAAAAACACAATCGGGCAGACTGATTCAGAATGTTTCAGATTTTACCGTAAAGATCTGCCTGCACAGAGGTGTCCCAAATGCATATACATGTATGTATCTATACATTCTTTATGTAGTTAAGAGATCGACAGAATATAACACCAAATGCTAAAAACGCACTGGAGGGAAGCGTTCCTCTTTAATGTAGACACTAGACAGCAAGAAAACATTACCAAGGTAAGAAAGTAAATGCTTCTATACAGATTCCCCGAGTAAGATCACTGCCTATATATATATATATATATATATATATATATATTTCAATCTCAACAAAGCGCTCATGAGCAAGAAACGACGCCTTGCAAAGTTGCACTCATAAAGAGCTCAACAGCTAATAAAAAGACCATCTTTTATAAGATGGGAACTTCCCCGACATTATTTTAACTAAGAATATGCAGTAAAACAAATAAAGAAAAAGCATCATGCGAAAACGTGATTTAAAACCTCTACGAAAGTATCCTTTTTAGTACTAGGGTCAAAAGTTTTCAACACTTCTTACTCAAAATTCAGTGTCATAGCATCGTGCATCGGGGCATATCTAATAAGAGTGCTAAAGAATATGGTTTGGAAGAACATTTTCGTGTTTCGATAGCATCTTTGGGTCATTATAGAATTCACTATCTATCTAGTAGTAAATAGTAATCATCCTTGGCTAAGAAAACTCATAAATAATTCGTCGTTAACCAACAATGTATGACCAACACAAAAACTTTATCGTATGATATTTGCTCCTTATGTGGCAACATTAAAGTACAGAGAGCGAGAGAATGGAGCAGTACAGCATAGGTTAAAACAATCATAAGAATGAAACAAACAAGAAAGTGAAGAAACTGAATGGTCCTACCACACAATCGAAAGAATGTATCAATGGGCACTCGTCTTTCCATTACCATAGTAACCGAGGTACCATCTAACGAATTTCTTTAAACCTGTCTGCAGATCAGTCGTAGGCTGATACCCGAGCTCCCTCTGTGCAAAACTGATATTCGCGTGTGTAAACTGCACATCTCCGTTTCTTGGTAACTTTGTTATTTGCCGCTTTGCCTTCACCTTTAGCAACCTTTCCAAAATGCTCACGAGATCCGATACGGGCACGGGTGATGTATTCCCCAGATTGAACACACGCAACTGAGCAGGGCCCTTCTTCTTACCGCCACTACCTGTGCTCTTCTCTGAAGTATCCAATGCTCCCAAACAACCTTTGACTATATCATCAATGTAGGTAAAATCCCGGGCAACCGTTCCATGATTAACTGCCTCGAATATGGGAATTGACTTCCCTTTCAAAATATCCCTCGTGAAGAAGAAGTAAGCCATGTCTGGCCTACCCCACGGTCCATAGACCGTGAAAAACCTCAATCCGGTCAAGGAAAGCCCGTAGATATGATTATACGTATGAGCAATTTCCTCTCCCGCCTTCTTCGTGGCAGCATAGAGACTAGCGGGCTGATCTGTCCTGTCCCGTTCTGAAAACGGGACCTTTGTGTTCAATCCATAAACAGAACTCGAAGACGCCCACACTATAGCGGGCTGAGGATTGGCACTCTTGCAAGCCTCGAGAAGGCTAACAAAGCCAGCAATGTTGCTATGCACATAGGAGCTAGGATTTTCCATAGCATACCTCACACCTGCTTGGGCAGCCAAATGCATTACATGAGTGAATTGAACAATGTCAAAAAGCTTGTTCAATAATTGGGAATCATTGATGTCTCCCTCCACAATGTACACCCCAGAGCGGTCTAGCAGAGCTTGCCGGGCTCTCTTCAATGAAGGATCATAATAGCCATTGAAGTTATCAAGCCCCACAACGCCATCTCCACGGCGCTTGAGGGCAACAGAGACATGAGTCCCAACAAAGCCAGCAGCCCCAGTAACCAAAACAGAAACACCATTTCTTGACCTAACCTTAGCAGAGGCCCTAACTCTCTTCTCCCAGGCAGAACCGCCATGAAAGCTGGTTCTGAGAGACCTCCTATGGAGATCCGTGGATGCAGGCATGGAAGAAGATAAAGAAGAAGAAGAAGAATAAGGGTCTCTGAAGAAGAACACATAGATCAAGCCCAAGAACACAAATGACCAAAAAGTGAGCTTGGCAAGGGAAGATTGCAGCCTAATCCTATTGTAAGCTGATTTCTCCTTGAACTTACCCGGGGACGATGACATATGGTCAATGTGCTTCATTTGGGACATCATTCTTCCCAAATCTTGGACTATTTACCAATTCCCACTTTGGGTTCTCTGTTATTTCCTTGCACAATGCCTATGGGGCTAGGGTTAGGGTCGCAACAACAACAAAAATCTTATCTTTTTCTCTTCTTCGCACAAGGCTTCCTTGAAAGATTGGCAATGCAGATAAGGATATGGAAGCAGAGCTTTCGGTGCTTTATTCCTTGGAATCTTTCGGGTTACTTGCAGATAAGGAAATGGAATTGAAGAGAAATGGTTGTTGCTGGCAGAGAGTGATGGTTTTAGAACTTTTGTGGGGTTTCTTTGGTTTGGTTCTTCGGACTTTAAGAGGGAAAGGGATATTGATGTTATTGAACAAGAAAATGGAGGATTAGATAGGGGATTTGGGGAGGGAGAAGAATGATAATTTAAATATACAAATGAAGATCAAATCAGTGGACTAAACTATAGTGTTAGAGTTCTCCAGTATTCTGAAACCTTTTTGAAACTTATGGGCAAGGTTTGCTAAATAGTTGGTACAATGATTCCCTTCCTTTCAATACATGACTTGGGGAGCTAAAATCATTCTTCCAAAAGGCTGAACCCCAATCACATAGGCTAGACGGGTGCTCACTGCGCACAAGGAGCCCTGGTCATTCTTCCAAAGTTTCATCTTTATGACCAGTTGAGCTACCCATGCGGGCGGGGAGCTAAAATCATGATACTAGTAAGAGTTGCAATCTTCTTTTAATTGCTTTCTAGAACTTTTAACACTACTTTTGAATTCGTTCATTTAAATCAGATAATTTAACATATTCAGAATCTTAGTGTAGTCCCGTAAATTTATTCGTCCCGCCAATATTAAAAGTGAAATCTGCAATCCAATTGCCTTTAAAAATTTAACATCAGTTCGTTTACACTAATACTTCAAAAAAAACCTTTACAAGCTTTTTTTTTTTTGTTTTTGAAAAACGAAACAGAATTTGATGTATTAAGAATGATTTGAACTGTTACATAGGAGCGTACTCACCTTTACAAGCTATATTCGTGTTCAACTTATAAACGTTCTCTTTTAAAAAGAATTTATTTAACTATTTTCTTATTAATATTGATCAATCAAGGCCTAAGTTGCCCTCATATGATGGATTAATTACTATTCTTAAAGTTCATTCTAAGCCCACCTCTCTTTCATTGAACTCTTTCATTGAATAGTGAATACCAATTCATTCCTAGCTTCCCATATACTCCATAACATAAATGCAAATTGAGTGTCCCAAGGGCTACTACCCCCACTATAATATTAATGCCCCTCACAATTTCAACTCTTCTTCCTACCACTAAAGTACCTCAATTGATTACACAAATTCACATTATGGTCAATTATAAGCAATTTAAGATGATTTATTACATTGTGATTTTTTACAAATTAAAGTCAGATTTTATCGTTTTACAAGAAGCACACTTTCAAATAACGAAAGAAAATATTTTATAAATCAAAGATAAGTATTAACTATCATCATTAACTCGTTTTACACAAACTATAAAAAAGAATCATAACTCTTTGTGGTGCCCTTAACCCCACACCCAACCAAAATCTTCCATCGAACTCAATTCTCCTCTTAATTGTGTTAACCATTCCGTAGTAATCCGTACTACAAATTGCGTTGAACATGATTGTCTCTACCAACTATAAGGGATTGGCGGCCAGGCCTGGCCCACCCCCATTAAATGGGCTGCATTCATGGACTTCACCAACTGATTTTTTGGGCTTTGGCACATCATGTTGTTGAATGCCCATACAAATGAGGCCCACATCACCTTGTTATATCATGGATCAGAGTCCACAGTGTATTATGGATCACTGGTCCAATATACAAGATTATTATCATAATACACAAACACATAAACACGATATAATGGAGATGAATTCTGTGCATTATGAATTCTGTATATTATATAGCTAAGGACATATAAACGCTTAACATAATGAAGTTGAGGTGGTATGTCTTAGCCGACCCCGTGGCACGGAGCTTTGAGCTTGGGATTAAGTATTCACCCTTTTGAAGAAGAGTTGAGCATATTAACCTAGACAATCTAAAGAATCTAGAGAAATATCAATATCACTATAGTAGTATAGTACAGTTCAAGTCCCACATGAAAAGCATTGTTGGCTGCTTGCATTTCAAATTAAGAATCATCATAAATACCAACGTTTACAAATGCAAAAACAGGTCGGATGAAACGTGGGAGCTGCCAACTCAAAAAGGCTTCAATGACAATATTAAAAGAAAAGAATCACAGATTGTAGCACGTGAACCTTAATAATCAAATACTAAAGTAGGACAATTCCAACTGAGTTAGTTGGTCAATTGATTTGCTAATCACAACAACTTAGAATGATTTACCTTATTGTGATTTTTTGTTGGCTAAAGTCATAAGGCGAGATTACACAGAGTGTAGATTCGGGTAGCGGTTGTATGTTTTTCCTCTAGGCTACCGATCTCTGCACTTACTGTTGATTGTAGAAAGATGTTTAGTAAATTAGCTGATAGCTAATTACATACAAATGACTTTATCAAAAAGTTGGTTGAAAAAATTGCTTTGAGCAGCTTTTTGAAGCAATGAATTGTTACAAAAAATTAATTAATCAAACACTCACATTAATTATTTAACGAAGTCAAACAATTAATAGTAAGCTGTTACAAAAAACTAATTAATCAAAGACTCATATTAGTTATTTAACTAAGTCAAACAGCTAATAGTAATCAAACAAACCAAAATTGACTGGTATGGTAGACTAACTATTTTACCAAACAGGACCTCTATGTAATCAAACATAATCTACATCTCTGGTCCCTACTTAACAAATCCTTAATGCTTCAATAATATGAAAACTTTGCATTAATGGCCGATGGTTGAGACATATTAATGAGTATCTGCTTGAAAGAGAAAGGAGAATATGCCTGGGAACCATAGTCCATAGCTATCAGAGAAGTCTCCCACAAAGAAAAGAGAAAAAGATAACAGGTAAGTAGGAGACAATATATGTAGATAGGTGGGTTGAGAGCCAGAAATTCAACTACCACAAACAGGAACCCAACCCAACCTCAACCACCCACCAAACACAATCCATCCAAAATCCTTAAAATCCATGTTTCTTGTTGTCTCAGTGGGGACCACCTTCTGCTCAGGAACACCTTACATTTCTTGAACAGAAGAGCTATAGATAAACCACACCACTTGAATGGCTTAAAACCAAAACCAAATCCATATCCAATCAAAAACCTGTCCTGATAATCTCAAACAGATAGACTTCTTAGTTCTTATCAACCATTCAAGATTTCAAGTGCAAATAGAGAGAATGGAGGGAGTGAGGAACTCAATATCTCAATCAACCATATATATAACAATACAAAACTTGATATGTTTTAACTGGTCCAAATTCATTGAAAAGCATTTCACAAGATTAAAATTTCCCACAATATATCGGGTTTTCGTTTTCATGGACTAAGCTGCTCGCTCAGCTGGAAAAAAACATAAGAAACAGCGGAATAAATCTTTTATTACGATATGAACCTCGTGTTGCAGTGAACTGAGACGGGTTCCATGGTTTTGCCAGCAACCAGTAACGAAAACTACAAATAATATCATCACCTAGCAAACTTCTTTAGCTGCTGCTACGACGGCCTCGACTGTTATGCCATACTCCTTGTATATTTTACCCGCAGGGGCACTGGCACCGAATTTGTCAATTCCAATGGCCTTACCTTTAGCCCCGACAATCTTCTCCCATCCGAAAGTCGTTCCAGCTTCAATACTTACCCTAGCTGTTACGTCAGAGGGAAGAACGCTTGCCTTGTAGTCAGCTGATTGGTCGTCGAAAAGCTCCCAACTTACAAAGGAGACAACTCTTACCGCCTTCCCTTCCTTTCTGAGTTCTTCAGCAGCCTTGGCGGCAATTTCCAACTCCGAGCCAGTACCGATCAAAATGACATCGGGTTTGCCCGAAGAGTTGTCGGATATAATGTAGCCACCCTTAGCTGCTCCTTCGATAGAGGTTCCGGGAAGCTGGGGTAACTTTTGGCGGGAGAGAGCGAGGACAGACGGTCTTTTCCTATTGAGGACAGCCACCTTGTAAGCACCGGCTGTCTCGTTGCCATCCGCTGGACGGAACATCAAAATGTTGGGCATTGCTCGGAAACTCGCCAAGTGCTCGATTGGCTGATGGGTAGGTCCGTCTTCTCCAAGACCAATCGAATCGTGGGTCATAACATAAATGACTCCAGCTTCAGACAAGGCAGAAATCCTCATGGCTGCTCTCATGTAGTCGGTGAACACGAAGAAAGTAGCACAGTAGGGAATGAACCCAGGGCTGTGGAGAGCAATGCCATTACAGATTGCTCCCATACCGTGTTCACGAACACCAAATCTTAAATTGCGTTCTTCGGGGGTGTTCTTTTGGAAGTCACCGAAACTTTTCAAAAGGGTCATGTTGGACGAAGCAAGATCAGCACTGCCACCAAGGAAACCAGGGAGAACCTTAGCGAGGGCGTTAAGGTTTTGTTGAGACAGGTTTCTGGTGGCATCAGCCGGGCTCTCAGGGGTGTATGTCTGGAAAGATAGAAAGAAAAGGGACCACAGAATCAGTGAAAATCGCACATTCTAGAATTAGAACCATTGCAAGTTTACAACTTGACACAACAAATTTATTACACTAATAAAATTGGACTAGAAACAAGAAAGAGAAATAGATAAGAGAGGACTCACAGGAAGTGCCTTCTCCCAGCCAGCAGGTAATTCACCAGTGATGATGGACTTCAATTCTGCAGCTTCTTCTGGGTACTTCTTCTCATATTCACTGAATTTGGAATTCCACTCAGCTTCAATTGCTGCACCCTCTGGGACATGGCGGCTCCAATGGCTGCAAAAAATAATCATCATCATATAATCTAACTGTAATTCTGCTCGTATTAGTGTTCAAATTGTATATGATGGAGTAGTACCTCTTCACATCATCGGGCACATGGAAAGGCTCATAGGGCCATCCGAGGTTCTTCCGGGTTGCCTCAACTTCCTTAGCTCCCAATGCACTTCCATGAACACTGTAACTGTTTGCCTTGTTTGGTGAGCCAAACCCGATGGTTGTTGTCACCTGCAAGCATTGGAGTTTAGCAAAGAACAAACTTTTTCAGTAATATCAATTCTGAGCAAAAGAGTCAAACCTTGATCATTGTGGGCTTGTCCTTAACAGCCTTTGCTTCCTTGATGGCAGCACGGATCTCATCATAGCCAGTGTTACCATTCTTCACCCAGATAACATGCCATCCAAGAGCCTCAAAACGAGCTCCAACATCCTCAGTAAAAGCAATCTCAGTATCACCATCAATGGAGATGTGGTTGTCATCGTAGAAAGCAATTAGCTTTCCAAGTCCCCAATGCCCAGCAATGGAACAGGCCTCGTTCGAAATGCCCTCCATTTGGCAACCATCACCGAGTATGACATACCTATACAGATCAATGCCATTAATCAAACATGACAAAGGAGTGCAATTCAACTCCCATTCGCTCACAAATTTAAAGAAATAACACATAATCTAGGAAGTAAGTTTACCTACGTGTAGTGGTCAACAATCTCGCTGTCTGGTTTGTTGAATCGAGCAGCCAAATGTTTCTCAGCAAGTGCCAAACCAACAGCATTCGCAATACCTTGGCCAAGAGGACCTAAAAAAAAAAAAAGAATAAAGATTACAATCAGACGAAAAGGGCACCCAACCCAAACACAGTACTACAAGTTCAAAGATTACAATCAGAGTAGAATCTAACCAGTGGTAACTTCAACACCAGGGGTTTCAAAGTTCTCAGGGTGACCAGGGGTCCTGCTTCCCCACTGACGGAAATTCTTCAAATCATCTTCCTGGTTAAATTATTTAAAACTAAAATCAGCACAGAACAATGGGGGGAATGGCAAATTTTTAAACTCTTGAAACCAAATCAAATCAAATCAAATCAATTAGCCCTTCCTGTAGGAAATTCAAAGTACCAGTTCCAACAAGCACTTTGATTCTTAAACCAAACTACTGGATTGGTGGAAATCTAACATTACACATTAAAGCTAATTCAACAGTGTCAATCAAGCTAAATTAAAGTGGATTCGAAAAATAAAAGATCTCAAATCAGTAGCCCAATCTCCAAAATGTATTAAAAATCACTTCTTTAGTCAATTTTAACAATCCATGCTCAAAAATAAAAGGAAATCGCCAGATCAAGTAACATAAATGGTAGATAGATTAAAGGAAAAAGACGGAGCATACCCTGACAGCATCGTAGCCAGCAAGGTGAAGCAGGGCGTACTGGAGCATACATCCATGGCCAGCGGAGAGAACGAAGCGGTCACGGTTAAACCAGTAGGGGTTCTTGGGGTTGTACCTCATGACCTCATCGTACAAGATGTGACCCATGGGAGCACAGCCCATGGGGAGACCCGGGTGGCCGGAGTTGGCCTTCTCGACGGCGTCGATAGAGAGGAATCTGATCGTGTTCACTGATTTCTCAACGAGGGAAGTGTCAGTCTTCTCCAAAGTCTCGATAGTAGCGGACGCCCGCACAGGTGAGGAGCGGTGGGGGGCAGGAACGGCGGCGCGGCGGCGGGCGGAGGCCGTGGCCTTGAGGCCGCTGAAAGTGGGGAAAGAAAGGGAGGGGGTGTGGAGCTGAGGGGCGGCGGAGGTTGAGCCATGGCGGGGGATGGAGCGGGAGAGGATGGCTTGAGAGAGAGTGACAGAAGAAGTTGAAGCCATGGCTGAGGGGTTAGAGAGAGAGAGTGTGTGTGTGGTGGTTGGAAATGAGAGCAGGGCGAGGAAGAAGATATACGCAGAGAGTAAGGTGAGCGGTTGGTTAGCCTTTGGAGAGAGAAAGGGGCCATGGGCCCTTCTTGGCCTCCTTCCCCTTGCAAAATCCCAATTGTTATTAATTTTTGGTTATTTTTTAGATTACAAAATTCCATTATTTTCAACACATTAGGCCTTTGAGTTGTGCACAAGTACCAAAAATAATTTGAATTTTTGAAAAAAAATAATAATTAAAGTTGCCCTTATAACAAGTCAATTGGTCACAAAAATAAAGTTTGGAAACAATGATCCTGGATCGAGTTCACCGGCAGCAGTGTAGGAGCAACTTTTCAAAATGAAGAGGACTCCTTGTGCACAGTAACCAAATGGTACCACTGTGTTCAGCTGAGTTACCATGATTTACATAGATACTTTGTCGGGTAGAGACGTAAGAAGCCTTAATGTTGAAGATTCAACTTTTAAGAAACAATTTGTTCTAAAAGTTAAGTATTAATTTCTTTCCCTATTTACTTTCTGATCAAGTTGAAGCCTTTAATGTTGAGAATTCAACTTTTTGGAAACAATTTGTTTTAAAAATTAACTATTAATTTCTTTCCCTATTTACTTTCCGATCAAGTTGAATTTAATATCTCAAATTAATTGCTTTTAATATAAAACGTAAGAAATATCCTAATACGTAAAAAGATGTATGAAATTATTGAAATATGAATGATGATTTAGGTTGTTGAAAGAGATAGTTGTTGGTATTAGAACAGTAAACAGGTGGATTTTCTAGGCAAGACCAACCAACTTGTAAAAAGCTAATTTGGTAGTTTGAAGGTGGGGATTTCAGTCAAATTGGTCATTCATCTCACCTAACCATAGGTAGGTAGCAGAACATATAATAATTAAAACATGTGGAGATTTGATTATATTACATAATTTGATTCATGAAATATATCATCAAATAATTTAAATAGTCTTATCATTTACCTAAGACTATCAAACACATTCACAAAGAAACTAATTATTATGTGAAGTGAATTGTTTCACATTCACAGAAAGGATAATTCTTGCGCACATTAACCCTCCTATGAGCATCATCAATATGAATTTTGTGACTGGATATTATTAGTGTGATTGGGGCACTGTTTGACAGAACTTATAACTTATTTTAAGCTACTAATAATCTATAAGCTCTGTTTGGTAATGTTTCCAAAATAAACTAGTAGCTTAAAATAAAAACTTATTTTAAAAAGCTACCTTTATGTAGCATTTCAAAAATAAATGAGTAGCTTCCTAATATTTTTTCAACTTTATCCTTATTATTTTAAATAAATGACATATTTTACACTTCTAATTAAAATTCTTTTGGCATTTTCTTTCTCTTATATTTTGATTCATCATCCCAACTCTTCACCACCTACCAATTCCTTCTAACTTCAATCGTCAGTTCATAAATAAATGACATCATTTACCCTTCTCAATTAATTTTTTTTTCTTTTGTTTTAATAATTAAATATATATTTCATATATATTATAAAAACAATATTTTTAAATTAAATATATCTCATATATTTAATAATATAAAAACAATATAATAATCACATCATTTAAATTTTATAAAAATGTCCATTTTAATCTTTTTACCTTTATCAGCTTATCAAAAAGTTAATTTTATCAAACACTTTTAAGCATAATAAGCTAATTAAGAGTTCTTGAATTTTCAGCTCCTAGCTTATAGCTTTTCAGCTACATTTTTAGCTAGTTTTGTTAAATATAGCCTGAACTAAATTCATATAGTAATGTTTTTTAAAAATAAAAAATAAAAGTTCCCCCCTTGTAGGTGATATATATAAAATCAACCGTGCAGATGTATAAAGTTGCAGTGAGTCCTATTAACAATGGTACTTGTACAATTTGCTACATCTACGTATATTGGTATTTGTACTAGTCCAAATTCTGTGGCGGTAACCACAAGGCACCACCTAATTCTTATCGAATTAACAATAACAATTCCTCAAGCACTCACAAACTATAATATAAAATTCTGATCAGCTAAGATATTGGTGGCATGCATTCGTGACCTACAGCCGGCACGGACAAGCAAAATATTACTCCACTACTAGTATATCAATATAATAAAGAAACAAATAGAGATTTTTGCGCTTTTCATTACTTTACTATTGCACACTTATAAATTTGGCCCTGTGTATCAAACTTTTTTACATGATTATTACATTCTTTTTCACATTTGATTCTTTTGATTAATTTTATGACCACACTAACACCAAAATTACTATATATATTCAGTTGTGTGGTCTACATGCTACTTTAATTCAAATAATATAAATGCTTTTTCAAATAACTCACATGACTATCATGTGAGATATTCCAACTAAAATTGGTTGAAAAATGAATCAAAATGACAAAATGTAGCAAGAATTTATTAGTTATACAATAAATGGAGAAAAATTGATAGTCATGACTTATGAACCAAATGCGAAAGAGATATAATAGTTGAGAGACCAGAAGTGAAAATAACTCAAATAAATATAATGGTAAAAAGTTGCATCAGATTCATTGGTGGGTAATAGCATTACTCCTTAAATAAACATAAAAACCATTTTGGTCAATATTTCAACACTATAAAACCAATTTTGGTCAGTATTTCAACACTATCTTAGGAACTCTGAGATTTATGGTCAAAGAAGATCAATATGCAGGTGAGAAAATAAATATTATTGACATTTGACAATAATTACAAGATGCCATAGTGTCATACTCTTTTTAGGTCAAATATGCTGAAGTTGGCATATGTTTACTATGACATTCAATGATATGGTTGGTTACCTTTCAGGCTATAACAAAAATGACCAATCTGAGCAAGTGCAAGAAGAATCATATCGCAAGGTGCTGTAGACTATAAGCACAGATAGATATTGGCATTCAATCATATGGTTTCTCCAAAATTTAATGGCCATTTAAAGCAACCAGAATAAGGGCACAATTTCTTCTCACTAGACTAGGCAGACAAATACTTACATCATCTTGACTCGTTTGCAGCTCGAAGTTGAGTTCCGGATGCCTCTTCTCGTCACTGCATATGCAGCAGATGCTGATCGAACAGAGGGCGACTTATCAATGCGTGCATTTCTTTCATTCCCACTCCAGTGAAGAATGATGCGGTTAGTACAAGCATGTGACCAGCTATCACCTGCATTTCAGCATGTTTTAGTCATGAGACAAGATAAAATTCTGGATTAGCATGGAAATGGAAATATGATGTTGGAGGCTTTTTCAGCTATTACCAAGGGCGAGAGTCAATTGATATGAACCTTCATAGTATTTGGTGGTTACTTGATTCATTAAGACAACCTGCAAAAGTGTGAAATTCATATAATCTTAGAAACTCAATTGAGTAAAAAGATCAAAATGCATAGATGCTAACTTTGCATATTTACATCATGTTTAGCAGGAATGAAAAAGTCAATTAAAATACTATGAAGGAAATAGAATGGTATTTACTGCCAAACTATACTTCTTGGCAAGCTTCATCAACTTTAAGGCCAGCCCACCAAGCAGCCGAGTTCTAAGAGCCATGTTAACAAAATCTTGACGAAAGTGAAAAGTAATGCTATCAATAACCACCAACTTAACCTGTGACAATAGAGACAAATTTGAAATGGTGTCAAATAATATCAGGCACAATCATTTAGATGAAGACCTGCCAAACCAACAAGATTACCTACATCTTTATGTTCTGAGACAAACTTCTCTAGGTAATTTATGACAGCAATTTGCTCAGTGTAACTACAAACGCGGAAATAGAATATATTATTAAGGAAATCTTTTGGCTGCATTTTAATTTGATGGGCCTGCTTATCCTTGTGTAAGAGGCCACTATAATCTTGCATGTCCTCAACACAAGCTTCCGCAATCTGTAAAGCACGCTCCACCATGAAGCTGCCTTCTGTGTCTAAAAGCAGCAATCCCCCACAATGCAATAAGACATGAACAAAAAAATGGACAAAAGTGAAAAGTTAAGAAATTTCTAGTGTCAATTGGATCTTTGAAAAGATAATGCTATATGACATTTGTGAAGAAATTAAATGCTATAACCTATATAAATTGCCTTTCCTTGAAGGCCACCATAATCAGATGGTATTTGGACATTCACTGCAAGTTGAATCCTGCCCATTGCAGATATATATTATAGCCATGAGAAAATAGAGAACTAGTAGTATTTTGGCACCAGGAAAGCATGTGAGACTGAGACATTGAGTACCCTAGTTGTGTTTTACCGATTCCTGGTACTCCACCTGATAGGTTGAAAGGAAAAAAGGAAATAGAGTATATTAAAATCAAAAGAATTAGGCATATTCACTACAAAATTTCAGCATCCAATCCTTCCATCAAGAAGATTCAGAACTCACCAATTTCAGTAACTTCTTGACAACTTATTCCCCCACCCAAGATCTCATCCAGATCCGCACAACATGTTGTGATCCGTCCAAGTGATTCCTCCTCACACAGCATATCCCAGGCATTCTGTGCTCCTGGAGAACAATAAAATGGAATATTTACTCTTTAACTAATAAATAAACCTTGCCAAATAACTTACTGTTATGCTCTGCGGCTTATATTAACCAAGAAAGAATAGTAATTGTGGAAAATGTAAACTGCCTTCTCTTGAAACTAGTGGATTTACAGAATTAACATAAACTGTACAACTGTGCAACAAAGCCCATTCAAGAGAATGTTCTTGGTGCTTTTATCTCCAGATGGGACTATGACATTTATACCACTGACAACGGCATGACTTCCATTGGTTCTTCCCAGTCCCGCTCTCTGAGATGCAACTTCCAGAATAGCAAGTGCCTCATTCTCTGATATTTTTAAAACTGTATAACAAAAGACAGGGTTGGATCACAGAATAGAAAAGATAATAGCACAGTATCACAAAAAATATTGTATTTACTTGTCAAATATTTTCAAATATGGTATTCCTTGGCCATGCATTTGACAATGAAAAAGTACAGAATGGAATGCAAACAAACATGTAAAATAAATTTAAAAATAAAAAATAAAAAAATCCATCTGTTCATGGCATCTAATTTATTTTTCATCTCTTATTTCAAAATAAATAAAAGGACTCTTTCTGCATTTTCCATATCAAATAAGCTGTACTACATCAACTCAAAGTCAAAGAAATAGACACTAAAGCTTCATAGCTTAACATTTGCTAGCCTGACATTTCCTTCTAAAAAGTTCATTTTTTTTCCAGAAGAGTTGCACAAATAATCCTCATATGATTCCTAAATCCGCTTCTAAGCGGAATATCAAACACTTCCGGAACACTTGGCTAACATAACGGAGTAATATAGATAATAAAACAGTAAATTTAATCCATGGATGTTCACATGTAATTGCATAAGATCAACTCGAAAAACTTAACTAAGAATTAACATCAATCTAGGTGGACTGTTATTTTTAAACAAAATTGAATCAATTAAATTGATAAATCATCAAATTGCAGAGAAATAGCGATAAAGTGGAATCAGAGAGCAGTCTAACAGAACCTCGAGCAAGATCGAAGGAAGAGACGGAGAATAGGGAGGATATAGAAGTGTAGCCGGCGGATATTAGCTTTCCCCTTTGCGACGCCGATATGGGTAGGCTCGATACCTCCTCCATTGTCGCCTTCGACAAAACCCTCAGTTTGACTTGAACTTCCGCTTCCCAGCACACTTCAGTTTTCGCGCCAAGTGAAGCACCAATATGGCAATATATACATTGCAATTTACCACACATATTTTAAAAAATTTAAATTAGCAAAGAAAACAAATAAACAAAAAAATAAAATAAAAAATACTACCTCCGCCACATTTTATGTGTCTAGTTCAACAAGGATTGACTGAAGTTATTTTTAATTCAATTTTTCATAATATTAAATTTAGTATTAATATATACAAAATTTATATATTTAGAAACTACACTAAAAGTACTATTAACACACAAAAAAATCAAATTCAAAAATAAGTTTAAAATATTAAAGAAAATAAACAAAGAAGAAATAGTTAGTTTGACCCGTGAATAGTAAGTAAGACAGATAAAATTGGATATGGAGAGTACAATACTAACATGAAAGAAGTGACCCGTGAATAGTAAGTAGGACAGATAAAATTGGACATAGAGAGTACAATAGTAATATGAAAGAAGTGGTCAAGTAGGTGAAAACGTGAAGCATGATTATCTTACCCTATTTTTCTAATGTAATTTATTTTTACTGTGTGGGTGGGCATAGGGATGGCAACGGGGCGGGGCGGGGCCGGGGAGTGGGGTCCCCGTCCCCGTCCCCGTCCCCGAACTGAATCCCCATTCCCCGTCCCCGCCCTGTTCCCCGATCAGGGATGGGGAAATATCCCCATCCCCGTCCCCGCGGGGATTTTTCGGGGACGGGGATTCCCCGCCCCGTTTTTTTTTTTTTTTTTAATTTTTTTAATTCTTAATATTTAGGCCAATTTCATTATTTATGTGTTCACAATAGGTAATTAAAGGATATAATGTCATAATGTGCCCAACCAATCAGATAGCCATTAGGTCCAGCGAATTCTACATAGCGTATCTTGGAAATACTAGATTCTTTAAATGGCAATTATTCAAGCTCTGGACCATTCAAGAATGAAATACAAATTTGCTGCTGCTTTCAACTAGAAAATATTTCGACTGTTTTCAAAACAAAATAATATATATCCACTTAGAAACATTAAACTAATCACTATACGTAGTGTCTCATAGAAGCACCAGAACAAGTGTGCATTTCTGGCACTCAAGGTTTAATAAATTTATTCGGGGAATCGGGGACGGGGACGGGGATCGGGGATCGGGGATCGGGGTCGGGGTCGGGGCGGGGGATGCCCTCCCTGTCCCCGTCCCCATCCCCGGCGGGGATGGGGAAATTCTCCCCATCCCCGCCCCCGTTCCCCGAAAAAATTCCCCGAACCCGCCCCCGTCGGGGCGGGGATCGGTTTTCCCTATCGGGGGCGGGTTGAATTGCCATCCCTAGGTGGGCAAATTATTCTATGGACCCGAGTTTAAAATTACACAATTTATATACTGAATGTTCACAATTCAAATTGTGCACATTCAGTATATAAATTGTGAACATTAAGTGAGTAAATTGTGTATTTTGAATCCAAATCCACTTTGCAATATGGACCCGACTCCATGGTATAACTGTTGGAGGACACTGGTGGTTGATAACCTTCGATTCTTTTTCAAGTATTTCCCTCTTTTGTACAATTAAACCGAATTAAAAGTGATAAAGTAATACAACCCAGTTTCTCGTAACCAGGTATAAAGGTACTATAATGCACCTTCGAATAACAGTTATAAATTTTCCCGTAAATAAAAGTATAAAGTTTGGGGTACTATAAATGTTCTATATAGACACTCTAAAATCTAAATGGTATATGCTTTTCACAGAGATAATAAATTTTGGTTTCTTGGAAGATTTTGCTTGCTGTGTAATAAATAACATGATACTCTCCAGTTTGAGGCTTTGAGCACATGAAAGCATTCAACTCTTGAAGTGATTGTGGGTTATATTCTTGAATGAGAAGAACAGAAGCTTCAGAAAATGGCAGCTTAGACTTGTTGCTTCATAGATGCCTGAATCAGAGATGTAAGGGAGGGATGAACTCGGGCTGTCTTCAACGACCGAGCTTCGCTTTTTCCCTCGGCATACTCCTCGCCTAACGGCCACCTCGGGCGCAGATCAATCTGTTCCAAGGAGACACGGTTAAGGATTACAAGTAACGAAAATGATCTGCAGCGGGGGTATCTTCTTATCGGTCAATTTTGGACCAAATAACACAAAACGCAGAAAGCCAATTGGAATGGAATAGTAATATAGCGCCAAGAAAAAAATAAGTTATAGGACTCAAGGTAAAGAGGACGGAAGCAAGGAAGACGAACCATAGCATCTTCGGGTTCATATGCAGGAGGTGGAGGATCAAATCTTCCCACGAGGAAATGCTCGATCCCAGTCCAAGCAACCATCACACCTAACATAAGACGGCAGAGTTTTCGACTTTTCGTCTAGAATTTCCAGATTATTGACATGCCAAACAATTGTTTAAGTTACTCACCGTTGTCGGTGCAAAGGCTGGGAGGGGGGCACACGAGTTGCAGGCCGTTCTTCTTAACAACCTCGTTAAGCCTAGCCCTGACATACTGATTCGACGCAACGCCCCCAGACACAACCTGAAGAAGAAGGTAATGTTCGAATTAATCTAACAGAGATCAGTGAGGTGCTGTGAAGAATATAGCTAAATACAAATATGCTATAGCAGAAAACACCCACCAAATGATTTACAGACGGTTCAATCTTCAAGGCCCATTCAATTGCCCGCTTGCACTTATCCTCTAAATGTAGTACTGCCACTCGCTGCATGTATTCTTGAAGGACGGGAAATCAAGAACTCGAGAGATGCAGGATATTAAGCAGAGATTGTAGTTTAAAGTCACTCATTTACGGAGCTTAATACCTGGAATGATGCAGCAATATCAGCCCGAGCTTTCCTATCCTCACTAGAAGCTGAAGAGACGGGTATTCCAGCATCACTGCAGTCAAAATACATAAAAATAAACAAACAAAGAGGGAGAGAAAATATTCAAAATACATAAAAATTGGCTTTTCTCGTATGAACAGCATACATGTTTTTGGCTTCAATCGCCAGCCTCACTTGTGTCTTCAGACCTGCATATGAGAAGTTGCAGTCTTTGTGTTGTTTCATAGGAACCTAAAAACCAAAAATTTTCAAATTAAGCATCAAGATAAACTACCCGAGTGCTATTTAAAATGCCACATAACCAGAAAACGACAAAAGGGTATAATTATGTGACGTAAATTCCCTCAACCAGTGTTGCAAAAATCGCGCCTAGGCGCTAGGCGGTCGGCCTCCTAGGCGCTCTAGGCGCCCTAGGCAGTCCCCAGGCGCCTAGCGATTTTTTCAACATTGCCCCCAACAGTAACTTACATTAAATTTTACAGACTCGGCATCACCCTCTAGAGCTAGTTTCTCGATAGCTGGGCCCCCACTTTTCCTCAAATCAAGACCAAGCCATTTTGCCGTTTTGTCGTATGCCTCACCGATTGCATCATCAACTGTGGTCCCAAGTTGAATATAGTCACCAAGACCGCGTGCAAGAATCAGAAGGTTGTGCCCTCCTAAGAAACAATGATCGAGGTAAACAAAATGCAGTCGATAGACAAAATAGCTAAAATGTCTATTACAAAAAATCAATTCCAGCTAAAGCTACGTAAGATCAAAGGGCATGTCTTTTAGTACAAAATTTACTCATCTATCTTATAATCAGACTATGTTTCTGAACATTCATGTCCAATTATATAACACATGAGCACTGGAACAGAGAGAATAAATCTTAACCACAATGACAAAATATGGTCAAAATTGTTTCTTAGTAGCAATCAAACGACAAAATCCCCCTATCATACTCCAGCATCAGTTTTCATCAGCAGAAAGAATAATTATACAGTAAATTTCAATTTTGGTCCTGTGACTATAGGGGTCCGGTTAATTGTAGTCCAGGACTTTCAAAAATGTTAATTTAGTACCTTGACTATGCAATTTTTATCAATTTTGGTCACTCCGGCCAAATTTCGCCGGAAAATTTTAATAGTTAAAATAATGAGGGTATTTTAGTAAAAGATGGATTCGCCGGAGAAGAAGAAAATATATGTGAAATGACTAAAATACCCTCATTATTTTAACTATTAAAATTTTCCGGCAAAATTTGGCCAAGAGTGACCAAAATGGATGAAAATTGCATAGTCAAGGTACTAAATTAACACTTTTGAAAGTCGTGGACTTCAATTAATAGGACACCTATAGTCATGAGACCAAAATTGAAATTTACTCTTATATAGTACTATACATTCAAAAGTGTTACCTGAGACAAGCAAAGCCATGAAAGGAAACTGCAGCTTTCTTTCCACTAACCTAGATGAAAGCAAACATTAATTTTAAGGCAGGCAACCGAAGATTCTTATATGCATACATGCATGCATATGTGAGTGTGTGAGAGCTTGAGAGTATTTGATGGAAACCAAACCAGTAATCACAGCAATCTCCTTTGAAGGAAGCAAATTTTTCCACATATAGAATAGGTATTATAAATTTTACTCATTCCTACATGAAACCTAATCTTTACCTGGCTACCAAAGTATGAGCTTCCATGTGGTGAACACCAACAATAGGTAAACTGTGAGCACCAGCAATTCGCCGAGCCTTTTGTACACCAACTACATACAAAAGAATGAATAGTAAGCAAACACTATTCTCAAGGACCACATTCCGAGCTAACCAGAAAATTCAAAATATGCTGAGTTTGGTTGATGCAAAGTTGCAAACAACTAAATGGAAACCTAAGTTTATATTTTTATTTAATGATTTATAAAATAAGTGTGAATGGAATTTCTTCCTTTTGCTTCCTTTCATTTGATTGGCTTCTTTTCAAAGTAGGAAACAAATTTTCCCCTAGAAAGGCACAAAAGCGAGAAGAAAGTAATGAATGGAAAACTATTCACCACGCAGACACAAGCTTAAGCCGGGACCAATTGTAACAGCAACAGCAGTAAGATCCTTCTCCGTTAGTTTAGCTTTATCAAGGGCATCTTGAACTACCTGAAATTCAAAACAAGTGTATCTGTCAGCAAAAAGTATTTGTAGGTAGTATTATAATGTAGAAGATTGTGTACAAATATTAAAGCTAAAATGGAATATTAGGGACTGTTTTCATCAAGAGTATAGATTAGGTACTACTAAAATCACTTGCCCGAAGAAAAATATTGAACCGATGACGCATTAGTTTCTGGAAAACACTTCAGTTATCAGACTGGATTAAAGTTCTCTCCTCTCCAGTTAGGGACTTGGAACAATTCCAAACTTAACTCAAACTCTTTCAAGTTCACAGTGATTACAGTAAAGCATTCCCAAGAACTCTCCACTAAAACATCGATAGTGATTAAGTAAAAACAGGTAGCAATATAGCATACCTGATCAATAGCCTGAGCATGTGCTTCTTCTGCCATTTTAGGAGCAACACCTCCATATTTAGCAAGCAGTTCTGCCTTGATCCAAGGGTTAATTTTTAGTAAGAAAACAAATAATCTTTATTGTATTATATAAGTTGGAAAACTAAAAACCAAATAACTAACCAAAGAATATTGAAAATGGTAGCACATCAAATACTAATCAGGCCATGTTAACAAGAAAGGCGGCATAGGAGAGCAATACAGTGCAAACAAACGCACATTATATGTATAATACCTGAGAAGAGATAACTTGGCTTAATATTTCACCATTGCTGTTCACCTGAATTCAAGAATCCGTAACAAAAACAACCCAACTTTAAAACTAATTCAACCCAGATAATCCATAAACAACATAAATTTACAACTAATTTCACCAAAAGGAATCTGAGAAGTAATTATATATACACACACAGACATATATATACATAGACACACGCATAAATGGACATGTGAGCTTACAACAGCAGCAGCAGTATCATCACAGCTAGTTTCAATGCCCAGAACAACCAAACTTTCGTCTGGGATTAATTGGTTTTGAGTCTGCGCCATTGGCGGATTGAAATTTGAAGAAGAAAGTTGAGCTGAGAGAGATTTGAATGAAACGCGGAGAATAGAGCGTGCGGGTCGTAATGGTCCCTGTTGTGCTCCCAGTTTGTTGAAACCTCTGATTTTGAGGTAAAGTGAAGGTCTGTGAAATGGGTTTACGCGGGAAATTGCGGAAGATAAGTTGGGAAATATCGTCGCCATTCCTACCTTCCCCGACACTGCTAACTGCTTGCTCGACAGAGGTCGAGAGAAAGAGGGTGTATTGGTAATTTGTAGACTGGGCTATTGGGCCGCCATTTCTCTATAATTCCACCCATTGATTAGATTTCTTTTCGAATATTATTTGGAACCCCAACCCTAAAAAAAAAATTACAATGCATTATCTGTTCATAAATATTTTCTCAATCCAAGTACAAAGAATCAATATCGCCTAATGATTAGATTTTAGAAATTACTTTAAAAAAAATTAAAATGTTAACAATAATTGAACCTATGACCTTTTACTACGAAAATCATGTTTCATTTCCTTAATTACCCTTACGGGACAAAATAATGTTTAAAGATTCGGAACCCAAACTTATTAATTATATACCTATGTATCAATAATTTTTAACTTAAGTGTTTGTACACTTTAGCACATGCAAATTGTAAACCCTTCCATGTTTTCCAAATTTCAGTTTCCATCAATTTAAATTAAGAAAAATAGTTAAATCGGTTCCCTTTGGAAAAATAGTCAAATCGATTCCCTAAAGTAAACTGAATAGTACAATTGGCCCTCTAAGAAAAAAAAAATAGTTTTGATTAACTCCTTTAAACAAGTAAAAACATCAATTAGGTCCAATGCTTCCCAACCTAGCCGGTAATCGCTTACATATCAACTCACGTGGATTAATTCTGCATATTCTATCATAAGTGAAATTATATATATATATATATATATATATATATATATATATATATATATATATATATATATATATATATACATACTAGAACCCCCCAAAAGAAACTCGTCTCTCTTTATTGTCGAAACTTTTGCGCTAACAACACAAAATTTGTCGGAATTTCATTGCTACTTCTCTAAATTTTTTCATAGAATTGAGTCTAACAAGAGACAACGAACTTCAAAATTGACAAAGAGGTATGAATCTATTACAGAGTACTAGTTAAAAATTGATTTTGGTTTGAAGATTTTGAATTTATTGCATGTTGGTTTACAAATTTTAATTTGCTAATAAGTAATGTTACATTTCCCTCATAATTGTGTCATAAATTACACCTCTTTATGATAATATTTTATTAATCCGTACCCTTTTTTTTTTGGAAACAAATATTTTATTAGTTTGTTTTATATTTAATTAATTAAGTAAATTTTCTTTTTTAAACGTTGGTTGAAAACAGTCAATTTTGCCAATGATTAAAAATATTATTATCATGCCAAACTGTAAACATTAAAAAAGGAAAAAAAAAAAAAAAAAAAAAAAAAAAGCATTATTCATCGTCACTAATATAAATGTGATGCTCTCTATTCATTCCACATCATTGTTGTACTTACATTTTTAATTTGTTTTTGAAAAATATATACTTCCCTAATTTAAATATTACTGTACTAATTATTTTACTTTTTCATTTTAATCTCACGTTTTATTTTTTCATTTGTAAGGGTCATACAACATTCAGGTATTCTCACCACAAATTCAAATTCAATTAAGGTGACATCCACATAGCTTGCCTCTTATTTAGGATATAAATCTTGCCAAAAGTCTTTAAATATAATTCACAGAAAGATTAGAAAGATATTTATTTTTTTTTCTTTGAGGGAAAGGGAAGAACGAAGCCCCGACAAAGAAAAAAAAGACAACAAAATCAATCTCCTCGGGTGCTAGGTAAGGTACCCGGATCATGTCTTTCTGGACGCGTGCCGCAAGGTCAGCATTCGGACAGGAAGACAACAAGGCCAAATCAGGACCCAATTCGCGATTTCTCGCAAGCCAATCCGCAACTTGGTTCTGTTCCTGCAAATCAGGACCCAATTCGTGATTTCTCGCAAGCCAATCCGCAACTTGGTTCTATTCCTGCAAATCAGGACCCAATTCGTGATTTCTCCCAAGCCAATCCACAACTTGGTTCTATTCCTGCAAATCAAGATCCAATTCGTGATTTCTCGCAAGCCAATCCACAACTTGGTTCTGTTCCTGCAGAATGTGGTAACATTAACATTCCAACTTTTCCTCATCCAGCTCTTGCATTCATAGAAAGATATATTTGAAAACGATAACATTATCTGTCAAAGATGACTACTCTTAGAAAATTCAGCAGATGGAATAATATATTTGTATTCATTATCAATCAACACCCATTATTAACTACCATATATGTTAATAAATTACCCCATATAGTCCCCATTCTCTCCTCCCCTCTAAACCTCATTTCTTCTCTATGAAGTCTCAGCTCCTCCATAATTTCCTGATATCTGAGTAGAAATGAATATGGAGCAAGCTGAAGCACATCATTCCATGGACGCAGACGAAGCTGCTGCATCCTCTTCATTCTCCATTGAGTCCCAGGTATACTACAACAACGAAAGACGAAAACTTTTTCCAATTTTTCCATTTTTAGTTAAAAACATGCATCCATCGAGAAATGTTGTGTAGCTCTGCAAAATGGATGAGTAATTGGGTTTAGGAGGGTTGTCTTTTTACTCTATTGTTTACCCATCATTAATTAGAAATGTTGTCAAATATTAAAATTAGCCAAGATAAATCTAGCTTTAGAATGCAACTAACATCATCCCAAAATAAAAAACAATGTTCAGTAGCTTCTTTTAATGTTTCAAAGTAAATTGTACCTTGATGGGTTTAAGCTCAATGTATCCATAACAGGAAGAGAAAACGAGACTCCTGGATTCTTGCACCAGAGATGGATCAACAGATAGCCATGGAAAACCTGCACTCAAGAAGAAAACTGGTGGATGGAAATCAGGAAAACTGCTGTTAGGTAAGTTTAATTACATGGCAGCCGGTAACAGATCAAGAATGAGTCTTAAAGGTGTATTGGCTGCCATTGGATGGTCCAAATATGTAGAATATCTTTAAAACGTTAGTGATTGACTATCTTTTGTTTGCTTGATACAGCCAGTGAAGGATTGGCTGCACTTGCCTTCACTGGAGTTGAAGTAAACATGGTCCTTTTCTCCAAGTCTGTTATGAGAAAATCAAATGCAGATGCTGCAAACTTGTTTAGCATGTGGATGGGAACCCTCAACATTTTCCCTCTCGTTGGAGCATTCCTCAGTGACTCTTACATGGGAAGATATTTCACTTGTACCATCTCCCTTGTTGTCATGAATATTGTAAGTGAAGTTGCTTTCTGAAAGCTTGATTTTTGAAAGTGAAGATCCTGAAGTTGATCGGTTTTGCAGGGATTGGTGGCATTGTCCCTGTTAACTCATGTGTCTCTGCTTGAACCTGAAGGGTGTGGGAGGATAGGAGAAGTGTGCTACCCACAATCAAGAATTGAAGTTGCAATGTTCTATGTCTCTATATATTTACTAGCTATAGGGAGTGGCTCTATAGAACCTGTACTTGCAACCTTAGGAGCAGATCAATTTGATGAACAAGATCCTGAAGAGCGCAAATCAAAGTCCAAATTCTATAGCTACTTTTATGTTGCATATAACCTTGGATCCCTGATTGCAGAGATGGTTTTGGTGTATATTGAAAATCTAGGGAAATGGGCACTTGCCTTTTGGATATGTGCCTTATGTGGTTTTGTTTCACTGACCTTGCTAATAGCTGGGGAATACCGATATCGCCATATCAGACCTTTCAACAACCCTGTATCCAGGTTCTGCCAGGTGATTGCAGCTTCTCTGAGAAAATTAAAGCTTCAAGTCCCGTCGCATGGAGAAGGATTGTATGAAGCTCATGGAAGGGCTGAGAAAAGTTGCAGAAGAATCTCACATACAGATGGTTTTGAGTAAGTTTGTTTTCTTGACTTCAATGACTTGTCTTTTTTATTTGAACCATGTAATGCACTCTGTTGTTACTTGATCTTTGTTTTATGCCAACAAACAGGTTTCTTGATCGTGCGGCTATTAAGGTTTCATCAGAAATGACCTTGTTGCCTGATAAAAGCCAAGTTCCAAATCCCTGGAGAGTATGCACTGTTACTCAAGTGGAGGAAGTTAAGCGTGTTTTAAGGCTTCTCCCAATATGGGTTTGCACCATATTGGCATCCATAGTGTTTGTTCAGGTTTTTTCTCTCTTTGTGGAGCAAGGAGCTGCCATGAATACCAAGATTGCAGACTTCCATATGCCTCCGGCTAGTATGGCCTCGGTTGACATTATAAGCTCATCTGCCTTCATCATTTGCTATGAGAACATCATACTTCCTCTATATGTCAAATTGATGAAAAGAGAACCAAAGCCTCCCAATGAGCTGCAGAGAATAGGAATAGGGATGATCATTTCAATAATAACCATGTTGATAGCAGGCCTGGTTGAGCAACACAGACTAAGATATGCTAATAGGAAAGAAGAGACAAGTTCTCTGAGCATTTTCTGGCAGATTCCTCAGTATGTGCTTGTAGGAGTATCTGAAGCATTTGTATATGTAGCTCAGTGGGAATTCTTTGCATCACAGGTACCTGATAGTCTGAAGAGCGTCGGGCTCGGTTTATCCATGTCCTCATCAGCCTTAGGCAGTTACCTGTGCAGCATTATACTAAGCATAGTAATGAAGATCACAACCAAACACGGGAATCCAGGTTGGGTACCACCAAATTTAAACGACGGCCACCTCGATAGATTTTTCTTCCTGACTGCTGTCATAGTTGCATTAGATCTTGTATTGTTTATTTTCTGCGCAAAGAGGTACAAAGCAATAGTGCTAGATAAACTAGAGGAGACAGACATGGAGGGAACACCTTTGCGTTGAAGCTATGATGTTGAAGAAATGAAGAACACATCCCATCTCATGTAAGAACATTGAACATAAGCAGGAATAGGAAATTAGAAATTCACTTCCACAAGGTGAGGTTTGTTTAAGGATATGTTGTGTTTAACTATAGTATACTATGTTGATCTCATCTGCCAAGACTTACGGTTCTGTACTAAGCTATCCATTATGGCTGGAAAATTAGATATTACACCAAATTCACTTTAAAAAATAGAAGAGTGATGAAGAATACAGAAATTCAGTATATATTGCAGCATTTGATAACTCATTATCTTGAATTCTCGATGATGCCTTGTGAAACAAAAACATTTAAAGAGCATCGGCAATCAGTCCTTAAGTTATGAGATATTTTAAAATCTATATTTGTACTATCACAACGTTCTCTCCTTTGTAATCATGGACTTGGAACATCTCCTCCTAACTTAATTCAAACTATTTCAAATTCATAGTCATTACATTAAAGCAGGTTCTGAAACTCTAGGCTTAAACATTCATAGTGACTAAGTAAAACGGAACGCATACCAGAATAACAGCCTGTGAATGTGCTTCTTCAGCCATTTCAGAACCAACTCCTTACTCCTCCATATTTATCAAGGCGCACATTATAGATATAATACCTGAACTCAACAATTCAACGCATATTTAGCAAGACGCACATTATTTCACAATTTCTGTTCACCTTAATTCAGCAATTCGTAACAAAATAACCAAATTACAACTAATTTCACCAAAATTATCCACAAAGAAATCATAAAAGTAATTACACACACATATACACATGGATAATGAACTTACAACAACAGCAGTTTCACCACCGCTAGCTTCAAAGCCCGGAGCAACCGCACTTTCTTCCGGGATTAATTGGTTCTGCGTCTGCAACATCGCGGGATTGAAATTTGACGAAGAAGGAGCTGAAGAAAGTTGAGTTGAGAGAGAATTGAGAGTAAGATAGTCGAGAGAGAAAGATGTGTTGTAGCCTTGTAGGTTATTTATATACTGGGCCGTTGGGCCGCAATAGAGCTTTGATCCACATTTCTTGCACAGTAGTTCGATTTCGGAAATGCTTTAGAAATTTGTCCTGAGCCCACCTCTTCTCGGCAATTTATATCCTACACCACGGCGCGCGTTGCACTATGCGCCCAGATGCAAAACGACGTCGTTTAATTATTTTTTTTTTTTTGAAATTTCCCGCCCCAGTGAATGGCAGTACTTTTTTCTTAAAAAAAAATTCGCTGTTCAAGAATATACATAATGTTATACTAGAATACACATAATGTTATACATGAATGTACATAATTATATAACAAAATATACATACTCTTTTTAAAAGATAATACACATAATCTAACATAATACATAATAAACATAAACTTTTAACATAATACACATCTGGTAGGGAATATCCCGACCGACATAGCTTCACCACGACCGAGGAGCCTTTGTCTCTTTCTCCTTGTCTTTGCAGGTAACAGGTCGGGTTCCACGAGAAGAACCCGGTCGTAGACCGACCAGAGTTGCCCGAGCGACGGCGTCGACCACCGAGCGGTAGCCCTTTGGCGAAAGAGCTGACGAAGGACACGTGGCGGCTCTTTACATCGACAGGCAGGGCACCCGGGAGGATGACACGTGGTGGCTACGTGGAGGACATGCCGAACGGCTGGAATCCTGTCCCCGGCATAGCGGCTATAAATACCCACAGTAGCTACAGTGTAAGGGACTTTCGGACGATCGATAGGTTGTTGTTAGAGAATCCCGACCGCACTTAGTCGGTACTCAGAGCAACCAAGTAGATTGTACTTAGGGTCTTTACCGTGATCAATAGAGATTTTACTTGCTTTAATTGGTCTCGTGTTATTCTATATTGCTTACATATAATTAGCAGTATCATTTTGGCGCCGTCTGTGGGGATCGTGCAAGAAACCAACGTCTTGACGAGCACCCGATCACCATATCGACATGTATCCGTGGGCACACAACAACTTCGCCGACGACCAGGCGGATGCGGCGAGCTCCTCCGACCACTATGCTACCCAACAGCAGGGGCAGACGATGGACCTCAACCTCAACCTCTCACCACCGCATCCGTCAAATGCATACCCGGCCGCCCAGCAGCCGGTGAATTACATACAACCGGGATACCCACCACCCGGTCTGCCATACCAGCAGCAGCCGATGATGTATCCCGCCCAGTATCCGTACCCGGTCCCACCTCCACCGTACGGCTATTGGCCAGGCCGCACAAGTAGAGCCGCAGCGTCAGTCCACTTCCCGGGCTCGACGCTCGGCTCATTCGCGGTTGGGGTCGGGGGGTGCTGATGCGATGGAGGCACCAGCCCAGGCCGTTCAAGCGGAGGACCCTGAAGAAGTTGCCCGAGCGGTAGCTTTCAATCGTCTCCGACCGGAGATGCGCTAGCGTTTGGGACCCCAAGACCCGGACCGCGGGCACGAAGACGTACAAATGCAGGAAGCTAGCCACGAGGCTTCATCCGGGTATAGCGGGTCGAGATCTCACCGACGGCGACGCGCTCGGGATACAGCCCAAGCCGCTCAAGCCGCCGAGCTTAACGAAACCCGAGGATTGCTCTACAACCTCCAGGCTGAAGTTGCGCAGCTCAGGAGTGCGTATCCCACAGCACCCCCGGCCGATCGATCGACCCTACACCAGACGCCTTTCACGGCAGCGGTAATGGCTCAGCCTTACCCGCTCGACTTAAAGGTCTCGGGAGAGAAGAGTTACGACGGTCGGACAGATCCTGAGGCCCATGTGAATGATTTTTTCAGCAACATGATGCTGAAGGGCGTTTCGGACGCCGTGATGTGCAGAGCCTTTTACTCGACTCTCACCGGTCGGGCAGCAGAGTGGTTCCGTACCCTGCCCCCGGGGTCGATCGATAAATTTGAGACCCTGGCGATCAAATTCGTGAGGAAGTTCATCACTTCCAAAGTGGTGAGGAAGTCCTACATGTATCTCGAGAAGGCCAA